TTTCCCCTTCCTTCCTCCTCTCCACCTTCCCCTTCCCCCAGACCTTCCCCCCCATGCCGTCTTAACCCTGCTCTCTCCCTCTCAGCCTCCTCTCTTGCCGTTCCCTCCCCACCCGTTCCCCCCCAACCCACTCCCCCACCCCCCATTCCACTTCCACCATCCCCCCCCTCACCCAATTCTCCACCACCCACTTCCCCCACGCCCGCCCTCCCCCCTTCCCTTTCTCCCCCACCCACTCTCCCCTCACCCGCCCTCCCCCCACCCTCTCTCCCCTCACCCGCCCAACCCCCACCAGCCCTTCCCTCACCCGCCCACCCCCCGCCAATTCTTCCCCCCCCATCCCTTCCCCCACCTACCCTCCCCCCACCAGTTCTCCCCGCACCCGCCCTGCCCCCACAGCACCTGTCGAGCGCCGCAGCTACAGCCGCCGCTACAGCCTGGCCTGCAGAGGACCCCGGGAACAGCAGCAGATCCTGCAATAGCTGGGGGACACGTGGACTGATGGAGGGGGTGTCAGAGACACGTGGACTGATGGAAGGGGCGTGTGGGCTAATAGAGGGGAAGCCAGGGACACGTGGGCTGATGGTTGGGGCGTCAGGGGCACGTGGAATGAGAGGGGGGACGCTGGGGGTGCGGGGCAGGGCGTGAGGGTCGGTATGTGCTGGCCTTTGCTGTAGCGCGGGCACGTTTGCTGGCTGTGGCTTCGGCTGCTGCTGCTGCTCCTTTTCCTCCTCCTGCTGCTGCTGGTGCTCCTCCTCCTCCTCCTGCTCCTCCTCCTGCTGTTGCTGCTGTGGTTGTGGCTGTTGGTCAATGGCTGAAGCAGGAATGGCTTCATCATCATCAGCAGCAGCAGCAGCAGCAGCAGCGCCAGGAGCATCAGCGAGAGGAGCAGCAGCGGCGGATACAGCAGCAGGGCGGGGAGCAGCGGTGAGCGCATGGGATTCAATAGCAGTGCTGCCTGGGAGGGCAGCAGGGGCTTCTGCAGCAGCGCCAGAGGCATCAGCGTCAGAAGCAGCAGCGCGGAGAGCAGATTCAAGAGGAGGAGGAGCAGCAGCAGCAGCAGCAGCAGCAGCAGCAGCAGCAGCAGCAGCAGCAGCAGCAGCAGCAGCAGCAGCAGCAGCAGCAGCAGCGTCAGGGGGAGCATCAGCAGGAGCAGAAGGGTGAGGAGCAGCGGTGGGCGCACGGGAGTCAGGGGTGGTGCGGCCTGGAGGGGCAGAAGGGACTGCTGCAGCTGACACGGGTTGTGTGGCGAGAGATGGGTGTGAGGGGTGTGAAGGTTGGGAGGGGTGGGAGGGGTTGGAGAGTGGTGAGGGCTGGGAGGGGTGGGTGGATGGGAGCGTGGCAGCAGCGGAAGGAAGGGGAGGAGGCATGACAGCTGCAGGCGAAGGGGCTACTGCTGACAGGCTCGGCGGGGATTGGTTAGGAGGCACGCGGGAAGGGGAGTAACGCGGGGGAGCGGGCATGACAGCAGGCGCAATGCTGACCGTGCTAACACCGGCGCCGCCTCCCACGCCAGGTTTTTCAACCGTGCCAGCAGTATCACCCGCAGCAAGTACGGGAACCATTACACCCGCGGGAACCACGGAAGGAGAGCCGTCGTGCTCAAGCGTGCTGTGAGCGGGCGGAGAGACTCCAGTCAGCTGCGCGCTGTATGCTGCGGGCGGAAAAACTCCGCTCACCAGCGCGCTGGTCGCGGGCGGGGAGACTCCAGTCAGCCGCGCGCTGTGTTCCGCGGGCGGGGAGGCGCCACTCAGCAACGCGCTGCCCGCGGAAGGAGAGGCGCCAGTCAGTAGCGCGCGATCTGCTGCGACCACAGAAGGCGGGGCGCCACTCAGCAATGCGCTGCCCGCGGGCGGGGAGACGCCAGTCAGCAGCGCGCTGGTGGGCGCAGGCGGGGAGACCGCGCTCGCCGTTGTGCCATGCGCGGGCGGCGAAGCGCCACTCAGAAGCGCACTGCGCGCAGGCGGGGAGTCTCCGCTCAGCAGCGCGTGACTGCTTGCTAACGGGGAGGTTTCTCGCCGCAGCGCGCGCCGCAAGGGGGAGAGTCGACTCCGCACGCCATGCGCGGGAGGCTTCCCCTCCCCGCTGCCCTCCCCTTCCGCGCCCTCCGCGCTGCTGCCCCCCACGTTCCGCGCACGTACCGCTGCTGCCCGCTGCGCATGCCCTCTCTGCTGTGAAACCCGCCATTCCGCCTTTGCCTCCCCACCCCGCCACCTCCCCGCTGCTCCGGACGTGCCCCCTGGTGCGCCCCTCCCCGCAGCGAAGCTCCCGCGGTCCTGTTCCCCCCACACAAATTCTGAAACCTCTGGCGGCGATATGCCAGGCAATATACCTGGCGACTGAACTGGCGATATGCCAGGCGAAATAGCATGCGAAATACCAGCCGACGTACCACTCCAAGTTACCACGCCAGGCGACACACCACCCCACGGTCTATGTTCGCCACCCACAGACCCGCTTGCTGGTGTTACCTGGTTACCAGCCTCTCCAAGTACGGCACCTGAGCCAGGGTCCGTACCCTGCTGCAAAAAGAAACGCCCTCGCTGGTTCCCTGCTTCGCTCATTCTTGACGTAACTCGAGGTGGTAACTCGCCGGTGCTCACTTCGCCTTCGCCAGGATTCGCCTCCGCCCGTGGGTCCAGCCTACTGCGACCCACATCTCTCTTCGCCTCGATTTCGCCACGGCCGCGATGGCCCCATTGAGAGTAATCTTGCTGAGCCCTCGTACTGCCACACTCCTCGCGTAGAACTAGCTGCTCTTCCCCTTCTCCCTTTTCTCCTCCGCTTTCTCTTCTTCCTGCTCTTACTCCTTCCGCTCCTTTTCCTTCTCCTTCTTCTCCCTCTCCTACTTCTCCGCCTTCCTCTCCTCTTTCTTCCCCTCCTTCCCCGTACGTGTCTGCGGCCGCCTGTATCGCCGCCACCGCGGAAGCCGCCGCCCGCTGCCACACGATGCTCTGCGGAGTGGCGACCGGTGTGCTCCCCGCCCCCCTTCCCCCTCCCCCCTCCGCCGTCATTGCGCGGAACGACGCGCGCTCAAGGACCGACAGTCTCGGACGCAGGGCGGATCTTGCGGGAAATCTTTCAGCCAAGGTTCCGACAACTGGCGGAGCAGGTTCCCCCAAGGAACCTGGGCCGTGCACTCCGGCGGACGCTGGAAAATCTGCAGGTACCGGGGGTTTTTCCGCGCGCCCGTCCGCCTGCGCTGGGTGCGCTGCAGCGGGGGGAACCGCGCGATTGTCGCCATTGTTATCCAGAGCTGCTACCCTAAATCGAGCGTGCTTATACCGCGGGAGAACCGCGAGCCCACTATAAAGGAATCGCAAGACGTTTCTTGTCAAGCGGATTTGGTTATATGAATTATAGAAATAGCGGGATGATGAATCTGGGAATACGACGCGGCAGCGACGCACCCCGCACCGTGTATAGCCGCAGTAGGTAAATCGCGATATTCGCCAGAGCGAAATGGTAACGCCTACGGGCCTACTGACGGTTACTCGCCAAGCCCTGGAGAACGCGCAGTCGCGAAACGAGGCCGTATCGGTGGGGAGGCGACCGAATAGCACTGAGCGGGAGGATGCTAGGCGGAGGAACTCGGGGAGAGGGAATGATTTGTGGTGCGCCTTAAAAAGCGTATAATCGAAGAGGCGAGACGAAAGCGGTACTGAGCGGCAGGATGCGACGCGGAGGGAGAGGGCGAGCAAGAATGATTTACGAGGCGCCAGGAGAAAGGTATTTGGGCTGAGCCGGCAGACTATTGGGCGGACTATTGGGCGTTTTAAGCGGACGGAGGGCGCCGCGCGCAGGAATAAAGAGGATAAACCCGCCGCCGCTGCGCCTCCAGGCCCCCTAGTACTAGTCTTTGTAATCACGCTTCTCTTGCTGCTATAGACTCTCTTCTGCGACAAGCGCGCGATCGCGAGCGACGGGTCAAGGTCCCCGGCGACGGTTTGTGCGACAGGAGGACAGGACGAAGCGACGTGCGTGAAGGGAACGAGCCTTGTCATTACTCTAGCGCCGCATAGCTCTTCTGGTGTGCTTGAGCCTCAACAGATGCGGGCCTGCGCGCCACGGTTCCCCTCAACAAGCAGGTGAGCTCTCTCCTTACTAGAGCGCACGGGTCCGCTTATGCTGCGGCAGCACGGGGAAAGCTAAAAAGGTCTTTCCACGTATTCAGTGAATGAACATCGGGGGTTGCGCTGTAATAGGTAAAGATCAGCGGCGTGCTGTCCGCACGGTCTTTAAAATGCTGGAGCTACAGAATTAAGACGGGATTGGCGAGAAAGCGCGGGACTCTTGCATAGTAAAGCAAGTGGTGCGCGTGGGTGTGCAGTCCGTAGGAAAGATGCGGATATGGGGGGATGCGGGGGGGATGCGGAATCTTCCTCCACGTCCTTAGGACAGCAATTAGGACTGTCTGCAAGCGCAAGTGTTGAGTTATCGCCCCCTGGTTCCTTTGCATACCCTAGCCTTTCTCTGTTGGTAATTAGAACCTCATGTCGACTTTCCCCTTCGCGCAGGAGCAGCAGGTGAGTCATGCTATCAGGAGAGGCTGTTGCTGTTGAAAGCGCCTTTCCCGCTTGGGAGGGGGAGTTATTCGATTGAACAAGAAGCCTTGAGCCTCGCGATCTTCTCAAATATGGTGGGATGGGCAAATTTTGCTGGACTCGGGGAGGGGACGCGGCTCGAGTATGCACACCTGCTATTCACAGAAGAGCGTGATGGCCGGGATCCACCCGCAACCGCGCCGCATGCGCTAAAATTTCCACCTGAAATGCAGATGCAGAATTGATGGCTTTTGCGAATCGAAGCAGGTTGCGACGTGTTATCTTTTCGCTGAAACCGTCGTTCGCCAGTCAAGTAATCGAGTTGGGGTTCGCAGAGGCTCCTCTAATTCGGGATTTGTGTCTCTGCTCTGCGGGCGCCGTGAGTCACGGGAAAGCAGGTTGAACCAGCGAATCGTTGGTGTTGCCTGAGCGTGGCTCGCGCTGGTGTAGCGGGAAATGTTTTCCCGCCCTTTAGACACGTGGCACTCACACGATCAGGTGCTACCTGGGGAAGTGCATCACCGCCTCAACGAGAGGCTCCCCCAACTTGGGGATTGTGTTTCCGAGTACAAAACATTCTGGTCTATGTAGGGGTTCACACCCTTACGAGCATCACCCGCTGAATGTTCCGAAAGTTGATTTGATGCTTGGGGTATTTACATTCCAACAGTTTCAGGAGTTCCATTATTTCCATTCCGATTTATTCAAGAAACACCCCCTAAGAAAAACACACTGCGCGACGGCGAGGTTAAAACTCCTCAGTAATATTAGATGCGCTACAAGGTATGAATTTCAGAATCACTCAACTTCAGTATGTTCTGAAGGTTTGGTTTCGTTTATTCCAGTCCTTTCCAACTATCCGCAAATTCAACTGTCCGTTTCGGAAGCCACTGAAGAATAAGAGCGATTCTCCTGTTTTACGACGTTAGACGCGCGCCCTACAGCCTCAGCACTCCTTGCACGACTCCGCACAACAATTCGAGTAAGATAACTTCGTGCGTATCCTGCTCGGAAGAGTGCGCCCTTTCGTTGCCACCGTGCTTCCGCCACCGCCTCTCCGCCAGTCCTTTTCCGCCAGCGCTCCTTCCCCAAACCCCCCATTCCAGTTTCCCCAGCCCTACCAATGCCCGTCCAACTTCCGTCGCGTGTCTTGCTGTGCGAATCGCGTTAAATTCCCGCATCGCGGCCGTCCTGCTCCTCCGCACCCTCCAATCCCCTCCTACGAGTCCCCACCAGGCGCCCTGCCTGATCCCTCCCTCCTGGCTCTCTTTCTCCTGGCCCGTCCCTTCCTGTCCATTCCCGCCCCTTCCCGCCCCTCCAGCCCTTTCAAGCCCCTTCCCTCCCCTCCGCCTCTCCCGCCCCTCCCTCCCGCTCGTGCGGCTAATCAGCCGTCCATGACAATGAGGCAGCGAGCAGCCGTGGATAGCGGCTTGAGCGCTGTGGGAGTTTTGTGAGCCGACTCTCTAACCACTTCTCGCCCCTCCCTCCCTCCGTCCCTCCCTCCCTCTCTCCCTCCCTTTCTCCCTCCCCTCCCTCCCTCCCTCCCTCCCTCCCTCCCTCCCTCCCTCCCTCCCTCCCTCCCTCCCTCCCTCCCTCCCTCCCTCCCTCCCTCCCTCCCTCCCTCCCTCCCTCCCTCCCTCCCTCTCTCTCTCTCCACTCCATGCGTACACCAGCTGTGTGCCAATCACCCGCACCCAACCATGAGGCAGCGAGCATGCACGGACGGCGACTCAAGTGGGGCCGGCAGTGCCTCACGGAAGGGCGAGGAGCAGCCAGAGTTTCTCGATACGCAAGGTTGGGCGGTGGTGCCAGGAAGGGCCGTGCTGGGAAGGGTTGTGTGGCTGTGCCTTCCCACTTTCGCCTAGATTCCTCTGGATGAAGGGCTGGGATGTTGCAGTTGCAAGGGTGGCAAGGGCGACGGGCCACCAGAATTCCTTGACACGCAAGGTTGGGCGGTGGTGCTGGGGAGGGTGGTGCTGGGAAGGGTGGTGCTGGGAAGGGTGGTGCGGTGTTGCCTTCCTCTTCTCCGTTATTTTCCTTAGACGGAGGGTTGGGATGCGTGGCAGTGGCAGGGATGTGAAGTGGTGGGGTGCATGGCAAATTGTGTATGTGCGCTCACTCTTATCATTCGTGGGTGAGAGGAAGGTGGGTGAGGAAGGGAAGACGAAGGCGGAAGGTGCAGGGATCAAAATTGTTGTGATGCATTGCGTGGCAATGCCATGGTATGTGGCAATGGCAATGATTATGGCATGGCATCATGGCATGGCATGCATGTGGCATTGCATGGCGTCTTGGCATGGCATGGCATGGCATGGCATGGCATGGCATGCAGAGCAGGAGGCGATGATTGCAACTTTTGAAAAGCAACACCGCGAGTCATTTCGTTTCTGGAAGGTCAGTGGGTGTGTGTATTCTTCTGTTATACTTATAATTATCGATCCCTGTTCTGTCCTGGGTGTATGTGCCTGCATCTCACCCAAGTAGCACTCAGCAAGTGACTTATTTGTTAAGCTGAGATTTACTGTGTTCACATGTGCTTCTCATGGCTTCTTCCGTACACTTAATCCGGGCTATGATCAGAATGTGGCACTTATTTTGCCTGCCCGTTCGGCCTGTTCCACATGTGCTCCTCATGGTCTAGTTTTGAGGCGCCTCAAAACTGTTCCACGTGTGCTCCTCGGGGTCATGTCACCGTTGTCTGGCTTGCAGATCTGCATATCGCTGTTGCTGCTCGCGTATGCATCATTCATGGTGCATGGGGTTATAAACCTCGTGGTCTCTCCCTGGAGCCAGGTGTGTGAAGAGGGGGGGGGGAGGGGGAGGGGGGAAATGCCATGTGCCATTCACAAGGCCGTGTGCATCGTTCATGGTGTATGGGGTCATCAGCCTCGTGGTCTCTCCCTGGAGCCAGGCGTGTGTGCGTGCACGTGTGTTTGTGTGCGTGCATGTGTGTTTGTGTGTGTGCACGTGTGTTTGTGTGTGCGCGCGCACGCGCGCATGTGTGTGTGTGTGTGTGTGTGCGTGTGTGTGCGTGTGTGTGTGTGTGTGTGCGTGCGTGCATGCGAGCATGCGCAGGCGTGCACGTGCGCGTGTGTGAGCGTGTGCGTGTTTTGAGTATGTGTGTGGCAAATCCAAGTGGCATTTCTGACGCATCACCAAATGCGTCAGCATCCTCACTTTCTGGCTATCCCTCCTCATGACCTCTCATCATCCTTTCAACTCTCGACGCTCCTGTCACTCTTGCTTTTCTCGGCCTACCTTCTCATTGTGCTCCTTCGTGTTCCCCCTTGTATTTGATCATCGCTGTTGTTTCTCTCTTATCATTGAAGCTCCTCGTAAGAATTTCTCCCAATTTTGGGTTGCACCTCCCAAGCTCAGACTTAAGATTTTGATTGATTCATTTTTTTCCCCCTCTTCCCTTTGCTATATCAATCAGAGGAGGAACGCAGAGCTGCGGCAAATTCTCGGCTTCACTACCCTTGCTGCTGCTGGTATGCTATGCCACCTCTCCCTCCCGCTCGTTCCCTCACCTGCTTCGCGCTCCTCACGTCCCCGTAGCGACCTCTCCGGTACTCCTGTTTTATAGTTAATAAAAACAGGAAAGGCAGGCCTCACCCGCTCCTTCCAACTTCCCTCCCTTCCATTCTGTCTTTCCTCTCTCTCAGATGTGGCATCTGTAACAGCCTCTGCCCTTCTCCTTCTCTCTCTCTCCCTGCACGGTTCCACGCACCACCTGCTCTTCACCCTCCCTTCCACTCCCCCTCCTTCCCTCTACCCTCCCTTCCTTCCCTTCCCTTCTCTCCTTCAGACGTGGCATCAGTAGCAGCCTCCGTTTTTATCCTTGCCTCCCTCTGGCTGCATGGCACTACACGCCACATTCTCTTCTCCTCCTCTGCTGCTCTCTCCGCAGCACTCGCAGTCTTCTGGTGCTACACCCTTTCACAGTACGTATCGATTTTTTAGGCCAGTTCTTTTTGTGCTACACCCTTCTAATGCTATACCCTCCCACAGTGCGTATTCCTGCCCGTCTGTCCGTTCGGAAGGTTATTCTCTCCACAAAAAAATAGCTTCTTTCCGTGCTACAGGACGCAGTGCTGCGTCATGGGCCCAGTTTTAGTGTAGTTTTTCTTTCTTACAGAATGCGTGATTGTGTTGTGAAGGTGTGGAGGCAATTTCTTAGTCTTATGTCGTGTCTTTCAAAGTACTATTTTTCCCTTGTAACCTTTTCTTGCTTTCCAATAATCATTCTCTTGTGCCATGACTTAACTGTCAGGTTGGCAACACCGTTCCGGTGGCGGCTCTTCTGGTTACCCCTCACAAATGCAGTGTAAGAGAGCTTGCCACCCCTGCGCCTCTCATGGCTGTTCAATCCTCCTGCATCTCCAGTTGTTTGTTGGCCCGTCATCACCATCCCTCCAATGCACGTTACGCAGCTTCTTCTCTTATGTGTTACACATTTCTTGTTGCTGAGCTACTATTGATAAGCATCATATTGTTCAATTGATACTCTACGGTGGCTCATTTTGATTTTATCCCTGCGCAGGTTTGTACTGCTTGCAGTGTACATCCACCATTCGTTCAGCAGCGTGGAAAGAGAGATAGCAAAGCTCCGCGGTCTCAAGTATGATCACAAAAGAGTTTAAGGTCTGAGAGGACAGAACCTGTTTACATTGCAAGCACATCACGACGCGAGGTAGCTTAGTAGCGAACGCTGTCAGAGCCAAAGGACCGTATTCGGTGCTCACATCTTTGAGAAAGCAAGAAAGCAGAAGCATAAGAGGAAAAGAAGCTGGAAAGCCCATGCCACAACACCAAAGCCCTGAACTGCATAAAACGTGGCCCATACAGGTCTCGAACCTGTGACCTTCGCGTTATTAGCACGACGCTCTAACCAGCTGAGCTAATAGGCCGATGCCAGCTGTCGCTCATGCACATACCTGAAACAAAACGATTTTGGAAGCCTCTAAACCATATTGCACTGCACTGTCTCGTTCTGTAACCCATCTCGTAAATGTCGAGGAATTCGAGCACATTCTCTATCTCCACAAGTGCATCCAAGTCATTCCTAAACTAGAACTCAGGCTCCGTGAGCAGATGGCACCATGCATGGTGGCCCTGAGCGCCTTTCACGGCAAGCGATGCCATATCGCATCCTCGTGGCGCTCACAGGCTGTGCGAAGCGTGCCAGCCCGAGCGTCACAGCTCTCTCATGTCGGCCTCATATCCCGAGCCGGAGATTAGGGTGCCATGCCAGGTATTGAGACTGAGACGCTTCCAGACGAGCGATTCATGCGATTGATAAACGGAGAATGTCGTTTCTCCGGGCTGACGTCGCGGCGTCGCGTGTGCAAGTGGTTCCCATCTCCTCCATTCATAACACGCTCTTCACAAGCAGAACCTCATCAGTCGTTCCTGCACTCCGTTCAAGCCTTCGCTTCCATCTGCCTTCCATTCTCGGTCCTCTCGCGGCTTTTTGCTCACCGCAGCAGCAGCTTTCTCGCAGCATTCGATCTCCCAGGTTCTCGCCATGGCTACGCCGTCGCCTCCCGCGCAGCGCCAGGCGCAGCAGCCCGGCGTGCAACACGAGATGGAGCCGCAGCCGTCCGTCACTCGCCAGGCGTACAAGCCCGCCGAAAAGCTCAAGGTTTGGATCGTTGAAAGTTTAGAGGCTCGTCTTTTAGGTTTAGCTGATGCCTAAATCCTTTTCTTGCTGTCATCCCTTGTGCAGGATAATGTACCTAGCTCTTTAACGAATATACTTAAATCTCTCTGCTTGTTTCTTTTTCTCGCTGCAGGGTAAGATCGCGCTGATCACGGGAGGCGATTCCGGAATCGGGCGGAGCGTGGCGCACCATTTCGCGTTGGAGGGAGCGGCTGTGGCGTTCACGTACGTGTCGCCGCGGGAGGACAAGGACGCCCAGGAGACCCTCCGCTTGCTAAGGGATGCCCAGCGCCCCGAGCACAAGCAGCCGCTCGCCATCCCCGTGGACCTCGGGCACCATGACCAGTGCAAGGAGGTGAGGATGTTTTACTTCCCCCCCCTTTTTTTCATTTCCATTCATGTGAATTTAAGGTTCAGACGATACTGCCTTGGGGTGACAGCTGGCTATGCTAAATCTTCTTGTCCTGTATGGTTATGTGAAATCTTTCCATGGAGCAGGTGGTGCGGAAGGTATCGGAGCACTTTGGCGGTAACATTGACGTGCTGGTGAACAACGCAGCGGAGCAGCACACCCACAAGACCCTCGAGGAGATCTCCCCTGAGGAGTGGGACCGCACCTTTAAGACCAACATCCACGCCTACTTCTACATGGCAAAGTAATTACACGCATCTCTAGCATCTCACTGACATGGTTTTCATCATGCATGCATACTTCTGCATGGCTATGTAATCACGTGCACTACTTGCTTCTCCTGGTTGTTGAATACACCTTCGCTTTTGCAAAACATAGCCCTCTATCAAGCAGGAGGCAATGCAATTCGTCTATGTTATCCCCTTACTCTTGCACCTCCAGGTATGCTCTGCCTCACATGAAGGAGGGCAGCTGCATCATCAACACCACCTCTGTCACTGCCTACAAGGGCAATCCGTCCCTCCTGCCCTACTCCACCACCAAGGCTGCCATTGTTGGCCTCACTCGCTCCCTCGCGCTCATGGTGATTGACAAGGGCATCCGCGTGAATGGTGAGCATAATGTGATGTGTTCATACCTGGCGTCACACAAGGCATTTGATATGTATACGAATGTGACTGGACCACTGCTGCTTGCTGTTTCACAGGTGTGGCGCCTGGGCCTGTCTGGACGCCACTAATTCCTGCCTCGTTTGAGGAGGAAAAGGTGGAAGGGTTTGGCAAGCAGGTGCCCATGAAGAGGGTGGCTCAGCCAGATGAGATTGCTCCATCCTATGTGTTCCTGGCATGTGATGATTCTTCGTACTTCACTGGCCAAGTGCTCCATCCCAATGGTAAGAAATTACTAGATATCTTTGGGGAAGTGTTTGTTTCTTGCTGCAGTAATTATCGTACTGACAGAGTATTGATGCTGTGCAGGAGGAGTGATTGTGAATGCATAGATATTTTGTACATTTGTGAAGGATGAAGTGGTTGTACAGGATGCATAGATATTTTGTACAGTTGTAGTGGATGGATTGTTTGCTGGGTGAAAGTGAAAATTATCCTCTGATTACAGAAATGCCTCAAAGTTAACGACTTCCATCAAAGTTACGGCAAACTACAACTACGACCTGGCATTGAAACCGTCGCGAACAAGCTACAGCAGCACCACGCTTCATATCGAATATTGGCGTCAACGTGACGAGATAATCCCAAGATATCATTTCTGGTCTGTCTTGGGGAGTAAGCTGGTTGGTAGGGGGTACCTCGCTGAATCGAATAAAACATCGAGCTGTTGCTCTCTCTGCCAACGGTGTCGGGCATACCAACTCTACCTTGTGTCAACCATAACAATATGGCTATGGGGGATGTCCAGATGGCTGATATCGCTCCTCCTGAGGAGGTGGGTGAAAAGTTGTAGAATGTACCGCGTGAATTGAGACTAGTGACAAAGCCGAACGCAGGTCCGCAGGAGAATTGAAGCGTTAGTCCTGGAATTTCTGCGTGGTCTCGTCAGCCATGAACGCCCGAGCATAAAGAGCTTGTCCCTGGTAAGAACGTCGCTGCTTTCTTCGCTCTTGGGGGACATTTGTCATTCTTACAATATTGTAAACTAACAGGTTCGACGCGACGCGTCAAACATTAGGGCGTATGGCGGTGACGATGAAATAGTCAAAGTGGGTCTCGTACACACGTTGCAAGAGCGGACATTGACGGGTCTGAACGGGAAAAGCGTACTCCCATATGTTCGTGGTGTGTGTCTGGCCAGCAAACGTGTTTTCGAATTTCCTGCATTTTATGAAGACAGGATGCCTGATTATCCTTCATGATTTCAGTTTGGAAAGTTCTTGCCGTGGTTTACAAGCTTCTTGAAGATGGTAGAATGTCAACTCAGAGGGAGATATACTATCGCTTGCTAGGCGAAAATCAGGAGTATTTTAAAAAACAGCGTGATTGCAATGCAGCGATTCAAGGTACTCTATCATTCGTTGTCTTTAAGACTTCCAATCCTAACTCTATTCTGACATTTCATTTCCAGAGACCGTGTCCCTCCTTCGCTGCAGCAGATGTAGCCTGGGAATCTATGCATCAAGCAAGGGTACAGTGGCTGGCCGCTTATCTATTAGGGTACGTTATGCCCACAGGATTTTTGCTTTTAGAAATAGGTGCAAGGGGCGTTCAGGAATGGTCATTAACTTCCCTTTGATACAGGAAGGAGAGACTGGACAATGGATAGACTGCACCAGTCGGGGAAGTGCTGGTGTTTCAATCACTGGTAACTTATGGCATATCGAAAAGCTGACTTTCAAGACAGATGCGAGATACATTATTGTAGTTGAAAAGGTGCGACATTGCAAAGCCTTCTTCGTGCATGTCTTGTCTTCACAAGTTCTGTTCTGACAGTGTCCAAGAATGGCGTCTGCAGGACACCGTATTTCAAAGGCTTGTTCAAGATCGTTTGTTTCAGGAGATTCCATGTATCTTGATCACTGCAAAGGGTTTTCCTGACCTTGCAACGAGGTAAGTGATTGCTTTCGTGTTGCGAATCTTATGTTTTGTTTGTTCATTCCTAAAATGCTCTTGCCTGCCTCAGGGCTTTTTTACGGAGCTTACACCTGCACTACCCAAAAATTCCTATTCTTGGCTTGGTGGATATGTGAGTATACCACCTGAGTCTTAATCGAAGTCGCATACATTAGTATCTGATGCTCAATGTGACGGCTCTCTGCAGGAATCCAGCAGGACTGTCAATTATCTGCACATACAAATTTGGATCAGGCCAAATGGGGCTAGAGGGTCCACGATACGGTACAGCCAATTGCAAATGAAAACTGGTATTCGTTTGTTTTCTTTCCGTGTGCTTAATGGGGCTCCCTTCTTTTGCCAGCATGTGATGTGAAGTGGCTTGGACTGAGATATGGCGATGTGAAGTATGTCCCTGACGATGGACTGCAACCACTTTCGAATAGGGACAGAGTATTGGCCCAGAGTCTCATGCAGAGTGCTGCTCTTCAGGTAAGGAGTTTTATACCAGCAAACATGCATCATTTCACCGTCTCATATACCATACCATTTCAACAGATGTCCAGCTCTTACATTGATGAGCTTGAAGCCATGGTGGACTATGGGAAAAAGGCGGACATTGAGGCGCTTCATTCGAATGGAGCGGATTTCCTTGTAAAGTTCATTATCCAGAAAATAGTGCATCAGGATTACATTTAGCAAGTCGCAGATGAGGTAGTGTTGTTGTGTACACCTTTCTTGTTTGGTAACAATGCTTGGTTAGTGGCTTTTGTAAGGTCATTCTACAAGGCAGAGCTGTCAAACACTATCCTAAATCTATGAGGGCAATGTCATCTACCTCCTACTCCATGTCCCAGGCCTCCGTTGCGCATTGATGCTCATTGCATGACTTGCGATGATATTAGCCGCATCAGCATTGGGAGAAGCAGACCTCGGGCTAGCTGCTCGGGGGCTCATAAACCTTGGTGAAGCTCCCTTAGGAGCTCCAGGGCTCGGTCGTAGAGGCGGTGGACTGAGTGCTCTTGGGCTGGATCGCATGGCAGCATTGGCAATGAGGGCACCCACATCTGGTGCACCTGGGCTGGATGCAGCAAGCGAGCACCGTGGGCTGAGCGAGCGGAGGGAATCTGTCCTCCCGTTAGAGTAGAGAGGCCGTGGGCTTGCCCTGCTGGATTCGGATCGGCCGGGAGCTGTCATGTTGCCATTGGCGTAGCTGGGGCTTGGGTCTCGGATTGTCAGTGATCTGGCGCTCACAGGACTGGGCCTTCGAGCTACCCAATCGTCCCTCTGCACAAGAATTATCATATGTAGCACAAAGGGCAAGTCGGGATGAGTCGAAGAGAATCTGTACAGGTAGCAGATCATGGGTGCTGCTTGAAACTTGGGGTCGGTATTGGATGATTAAACATCAGCTAAACTGAACGGAAGATGGATGAGTGGTCGCCATAGAGCCCCTTTACCTGTTTTGGGTCTTCGCTTTCCAGCATGTGGACGATCTGTGTCATGCGTGGCCGCTTGAGTGCATTGGTCTCCACACAGCGCATGGCAATACCGAGGACATACTCCGCATCGTCAGGAGACACCATGCCTTGCAGGCGAGGGTCCACAATCTCAACCAGCCGCTCCTGCGAGCTCAGCTTCTTGGCCCACTTCACCAGATCCATCTGTAGCAGCAGCATGTCAATCAGAGGCAGGTCGCATGGCAATCAAAACCGAATGGAGCATAGAAATACAACCAGAACTTTGCCACAGAACAAGCACAGAATCAGCACTGCAGGACTGAAAGTCACAGCATCATGGGTAGTGGTGGGATGTGTTACCTCATCAGGTGGAGCTTCATTGTCAATCGGCTTTCTTCCAGAGATGATCTCAAGGAGCAGCACGCCGAAGCTGTACACGTCGCTTCGTTCCGTCAGCAGACCCGTGTTCATGTACTCTGGGGCCACATATCTGAGCACAAAGGGGGAACAAGAGAAAGGAACATTGACAAGCCTTTATTTACAGCAGACCCGGGGTTACATATACAGCACGAACAGGCCCAGATTCATAAAACAGAATGAGACCAAACATGAACAGTAAACCAGAGGTGGAAAACTCATGACTCAAAAACACAGTAAGCAATAGAGGGGAGCACGCACCCAAATGTCCCGACAATGCGGGTAGCGGCGTGGCTCTGGTCGCGGCCCATGACCTTGGCGATGGCAAAGTCGCCCAGCTTGGGGTTCCACTGGGCGTCCAGCAGCACGTTGCTGGCCTTCACGTCCCTGTGCACCACCTTCATGTCCAGGCCCTCGTGCAGGTGGGATAGACTGCAGGAGGAGGATACAATGTAACGGGAAAAGAGAGGAAGGTGGGGATGAGTTTTGAGTTGTCTCACGAGTCCCTGTGCACGTTGCTGGCCTTCACGTCCCTGTGCACCACCTTCATGTCCAGCCCCTCGTGCAGGTGGGAGAGACTGCAGAAAGAGAAGGGATGAACGAAGGGGACAAGAAAGAAGGGAGAGAGGCATGTGAGAAGGGTTAGTGAAATTGACTCAAGCGCAATTGATGGCGATGTTTGAGCGGACTCATATGGATATGCAGGAATGTGAGGAGGAAGGAGGAGAGGGAGAAGGAGGACAAGGAGAGGGAGGAAGAGGAGGAGAAGAATGATTCTCTCACCCTCTCGCGCAGCCGATGGCGATGTGCATGCGCATGGGCCAATCAATGGGCTCCATGTTGCCGCTCTGGTGCAGCCACGCGTCAAGGGAGCCGTTGGGGACAAATTCGTACACCAGCATTCGCTCGTCGTCCTCCGCGCAGCACCCCAGCAGCGCCACCAGGTTCGGGTGCCGAGCGTGGGCGAGAGATTCGACTTCGAATCTGAATTCGCGAGCTGATTGGTCCAGGCTGGTGTAGTCAGGGAGGGGGCACAAGCAGGGAGAGGGGAAACGCGGAGTTGAGAGGGGTGTACAAGGTTCGTTTGACCGCAAATTGTACACCAGCATGCGCTCGTCGCCCTCCGCGCACCGCACCAGCGGCGCCACCAGGTTCGAATTCCCTCGAGCCGAAACTCTCTTGCTGATTGGCCAGGGTGGAATAGACAGGTAGGGGAGGGAAAACACAGAGCCGAGAGGGGTGGGAAAGGGTAGAAAGTGGTTGAGGACTCGTTGACTCGTTTGACCGCAGCTCGTAACTCCAGCAAGCGGTCGCAACACCGCGTCGCGCCACCAGGTTCGGGTGTCTGGTGTGGGGGAAACAGGTAGGGGGGACACGAGGAGGTTGTTACGACGTGTTGCAATTTAGGCAACAGCTGGCCAAAATTTGCAAATGCGGTAACTGAAAGGGGATTCAAGTCAATTATCGAAGAAGGGCCATTCAAAAGGACGGGAGCACAGGGGCATTTCCTCGAATGCACTCACTTTCTTTGGGAAAGTCGCTTCACCGCCACCGTCGTCCCGTCGGGCAGGCGAGCCTTGTACACCGAGCCGTCTCTGCCCGTACCCAAAACATTTCTCTGGGACTGCCTGCCAAAGTCATTCGTGGCCAATGACAGCTCAGCAACCGTGAAGAACCGCTCCAGGCTGGCACCTTCCCCTGCCACGTCATCTGACGCCTCAGGTGCCCCGTCAGCACCCCCTCCGGACCCTCCTGAAGGGGGAATCCAAACTCCGCCTCTTCCCCCCATCCCGCTTCCCCCGCCGCCCATCCCCCTCCCGCTCCCGTACCCGCCCTTCCGACTGCTGCTCCGCAGCTCCCCCAACACGTCATCCTCCCCCTCCCCCTCCGCCTCTCCCCCCGCCTCCTCCAAATCCGCCACCCTTAGCGCCCGCCCCGCCGCGCCATACTTGGGAGTCACAGCAGTTGCGCCAACCGCCATCCCCGCGCCAGCGCCTCCCCCCTCCGCCCGCCCTTCCCCCCTCTCGTCCCCGGACCCACTCCGCCGCATGGTGCTGCTCGGCGGAGGAGCGGGTGACACGTCATCCTCCCCCGCTCCTCCCCCATTCCTCCCCCCTTTCTTCCGCGACGCGGCTCCGGCCGGCATGGATTTCAACTGAGGGATGGGAACCGCTGGAGGGATTAGCACCGGGCGGTTGGATCCGCCAGATCTGATTTGATTCTCGTCAGAATCCACTGGAATTTCCACCACGGTCGGAATCCCCTCTTCCCGGAGGGTCGGCACAGGATCGGCAGGTTTGGGCGGCGTGCCGTGGTAGCTTCGGTTCGGCGAGGAGGACCGGTGGCTGCCCCCGCCTGGGGAGGCGGAGTTGCGGTTCCCCGTGCGCGACCACGAGGGCATGCGGGGGGGGGTGCTGTCGCGGTTGCGCGGAGCGGATGGGGGGATGGCAGGAGGAACCGCTTCATATGCCATCGCACCACCAGAACCGCCAGCAGCACCAACAGCAGCAGCAGCAGCAGCAGCCACCGTCGTTACTCATTCTCCTGCTCGACCCGTCCCTGTGTCCCTTAGGTGACGGGCTGGTCTCAGGGCTCCTATTCGACTGGTTACCCGACTGGTTACCACTCCCCCTCTCCGTCTTCGGCGGGGTATGCTCCTTGCGTTCCTTTCTCCCTCCGTCCCGAGCCGCTGGCTCGGCGGATCCCGAGCCTGACTTCCTGGTTCGGGGACTCTCCGGACGAGTCTTGTGTGGGGAGGTCTGGGGGCTCCTTCCCGAACCAGTAGCAGCAGCACCAGCCGCAGTAGCAGCAACAGCAGCAGCAGCAGCGGCAGCAGCGCCTGTCTTGCGGTCGCTGCCGCTTCTGCCGCTGCCCCCAATCGAACGGGAGCCTAGAGCACCAGCAGCGGCAACAGATGCACCCGCAGCCGTTGGATCGTGCTGGTCGCCACGTGGCGACGATCCGACGCTCTCTTTATCCGCATTCGGGTTGCTCCGGGAGCCGTCATTCTTGGGAGAGGGGGAATGCGATTTGCCGGACCTGCCTTTGCTCTTGCTTCCCGCGCCTGCGATCGCAGCTCCGGCTGCCGCACCTGTGGCGCTCACTGCCGAGGCTGCAGCTCCGGGTTCCCGAGCCGAGCGCACGGCAGGTTCGGGAGGCAGCTCCACGACCGTTACAGGTGGCACGTCGACTGTGTGGTAACCCGAGTGGTAACCACTCGCTCCGTTATTACCAGACTCGATATCGATACGGTGGTGCTTCGACGGAGAATGACGCTTAGAAGGCGATTTCTTTTTAGATGAACTGCGACCAGAACCCGCGATTGCCGCTCCCGCCGCCGCACCTGCCGCGGCCGCCGCTGCCCCGCTTCCTCCGTCTGCGTCTCCGCCCGCTGCTTCCGCGCCCCCGGGGCTGCGCGCCTTGCCCTTGGACTTGCTTCCGCGGTCTCCGCGCTTGGAGGCGGAGGGGGGGTTGAGCTCCTTGTCGCTGCGGATTGCCCTAAATGCCGCCGCGCGCTGCACACGGGGAGCGGGGGAAAGGGGGAAGCAGGGAGCGGGGGAGCGGGGGTAGCGGGGAAACGGAACGAGGGGAGAGGGGTAAATTGTGAGAGAGGGAAAGGAAGAAAGGTAAGGGATGGGAGAGGAGGGAAGGGAAAGGAGGAGAGTTGAAAGAAGGGAATACGACTCGGTTCCTCTACTTACCGCGCGCGACTGCTTCGGCTTCCACCAGCAGCAGTAGCCAATCAGAATCGCCGCCACAATCACCAACAGCGCGCCTCCAGCAGCAATGCCAATATACACGCCCATGCTCATCCCCCCACTGCTCCCCCCGCTGCTCTCCCCGCTGCTGCTGCTCGCGCTTTCGCTGCTGTTTCCGCCGCTGCTTCCGCTGTCCGCCGCCGCCGCGGTACCGCTGGAGAGCGTGTCTGCTGGCGCGGAGGCGGAGGGGGTGGCGGAACCGGGGGGAGGGGAGAGCGGAACGAGCGGCTGCACGGGCTGTGGGTCTTCCGCGGGCGGCGGAGAGGACGGCGGGGCGTTGACGGAGGGCGCGGGGGAGGACGGCGGGGGAGATGGCTTGGTGGGGGAAGGGGAAGGGGAGGTAGTTGGCGGGGGGTAACTCGGGGAAGCGGAAGGTGCAGAGGGAGAAGGTTTGGGGCTTTTGGAAGGTGATGGGAGCGGCTTTTCCGGTGAGGGTTTCGGTGATTTTGACGGGGGCTTGACGACTGGTGGGGTAACCTTAGGAGGCGATTTAACGACGGGTGGTTTAACGACGGGCGGTTTCACAACCGGCGGCTTAACGACCGGCGGTTTCACGACGGGCGGCTTGACTGGCGGTTTCACCTTGGGCGGGGACTTCTTAGAGACGTATGGCGGGTCGCCGGGACAGGTGTCGAGCCCCTTAAAGCCCGTGCCGCAGAACCCATACCCGTTCTCGGAGAAATTATACTTGGAAGGGGTATCGCGGAGGTAATTAAGTCCCTTTGGGACGCGCCCTTGAAGCTGATTATGCGCGAGCGAGATGGACTTAAGACGCTTTAGATTGCCGATAGACGCGGGAATCTCCCCCGAGAGCTGGTTATTATTCAGCTCGAGGAACTTAAGTTGCGGTAAGTTGCCTAGCGACGCGGGGATCGTGTCGGAGAGGATATTGTTGCTAAGGTCGATGGCGAGGAGATTCGACATTTGGCCGAGGTCCGGAATAACGCCCCCGATATTGTTGCAGCAGAGGTTCAGAACCTGCCGTTAGGTACAGGCACATTCGGTGAGCAAGGACTAAGCACTCGAACTGCCTATATTGAAAACGTTGAGAATTTTCCACGATCAGAATCGGTGAGGACGCATAAAGAAACAGAGGCCGATCAATAGAAAGCTAAGGGTAAATCATGGCCTCGGTGTCAGTGTGAGTCAAGACTTTATGGCTGGCGACATCGCCTCGCGTCTTGTTTCGAATGCCGGCGCGGAAAGTACTCACCATCAGTGAAGGAAGGTTGGCGATGTCGACAGGGATGTTACCATGTAGCGAGTTTTCGCCAAGGTCCAGCCACGTAATCGTGTTGATTTGCGAGATTTCAGGCGGTACTTCACCAGACAGCCCGAGACTGCGTAGCGAAATCTCGACCACCTCTTTCTTCGCGTTACATTTCACTCCCTGTGGAAGCAGAAAACAGAGAAAAAAGAATGCAACGGACCACTTCTTCCTTAAAACAAACGAGAAAACAAACAGATGAAGCCGACAGTATGAGGAATGGTAGTGTGAGGCAATGGGAGATCCGATCGAATTGCATGTCCCTGAAGCACGGAAAGACTATGACGGTTTCTTGGACACTTATCAATCGCTGGGAATGAAGAGTGGGAATGAAGTGAGTGGATTGGTTGCGCTAACTTGGCATATATGGAGGGAAAGCGTAAGCGAGACATACTTTAAATGGCGGATTGGCACACGGGTCGGAGTTGCTATCCCACGTGGACAGGATCTGGTTGCTCGGATCCAGCTTCATCGCGATTTGCGTCCAGTCTGTCGCTGCTACTAAGGAAACGGCGCTCATGACAATAACGAGAACAGCGGCTGCCCTCATGACTGGATGAAGATCCCGCTCCATTAACTTCGCTTTCCTACGCATCTTCAATATATTGTCTTAGAAACTAGGCTCTAGGTTCTTAAACCTGCTCGCGTGAGGAGGTAATATGACGGACTCAGGTGTCTAGCCTTGAGTCGCGGTTCGCATCTCCAAAGCGAGTAGCCTGTCGCTTGATTCGGACTTTGCCAGTTTCAGCCGCAACGCCTTAGTTACTAATGCTACAGCTCGAGTTTAGTTTCTACGAAGTAAGGCTACCGCCGAGCGGAGCACACTAAAGCGCTCTCGAGCATGGAACTGAACCGCTTTGTGGTTCAGGCGAACGAGGTCAACGCAACAATAGCAGATGCTCGTCTCTCCCTCTCTCTCTCTCACACCCGCTCGGCGCAAATCTAGCACCCTACACTGCACAATGGCAACAGGACCGTCATCAGCACACCCTTTTCGTGAGGGCTATCATTTGAAAGCAAGGGCAAGCAGCAGCAGCGGATAGGACCGAGACTGTTGCTGAATGACGAGGTTCTAGCCTGAATCCCCGGCGCGTGGTGCTTGCGGTGATGGTGGTGGCCGTCCCAACATGGGTGAGTGGACGAAGCTAACAGTGAATGACAGCAACATTGAAGGGTGGTTTGGGAACTTGGGATGGATATCTCTCCCTCCCTGCAAACTCGTGAGACTGCCGTTGTCGTGGAAATGTCAAATTTCGCAAAATGTCACTCCGACATCCCATCTCAAACCGAGGCGCGGGTTGAATCTACGAGGCGCATTTGGGGCGATTCGCCATCTTGTCGTGCGTCTGGGTCCTTGACTTCAGATAGATGTCGTCCAAGCTTGGTGGCTCGGTTCGGCTCAGCACTCACGGGGCCTTTTGGTCCGGTTTTGGCGCGAGACGAAAAGCAAACTCGGTGAGGCTTGACGCGCGCTAAGCCTGGTTTGCGTGAGACTGTCTGCAGGGCACCCGTTGAAAGCTGGCGTTGAATGATGAAGCTGATTGGCCAGTTGGACTTGCTGGCTCGGCCAAACCTAGAACAGAAATGTCGCATAAAACACACGGAGCTGGGCCAGCGATTCGTCAGGTGAGCTCAGCGTTTTCGCCTGAAAGGTGCTGACGAATGTTACAAGTTTGGGAACTCTCCTTCACAAAAGTACGTAATATAACACTGATTCGTGAATTTCAAATACAAGGAAGCAGGACGGCTAAATATATTTCGCTTTACAGCTTTTGCTGCCATTCAGCGACAACATCTGGATACTGAAGATAACTACCCAGTGACACGATCGTTCAAGTCGGTTTCACACTATGATTTCCAGGAAGCAAGTGTTATGATATCTACAAATTGTGAAGACATTCCTACAATCAGCGTGCCTGCTGAAATCTTTGGTGCTGTTCTGCAGGCGTTAATTGGCCAAAAACCGGGTGCGCAGAATATTCGCTGATAAGGTCATTCCTGCTTATCCAGGTATGGTGATAAGAAAGGTCCTGCCAAACCTGTTTGCGCCAAATTTGACGCCCCCGCCAGCAGAACACGCTTCTTTTGGTGTGCAAAAGTTTGACCTTCAGCTGGTTCGCGGCTGTTTCTTTGACGGGCAAAATGTCCAAACATTCGTGCGGTGCTGATTCCACCTCGAGAGGTAGCATCAGCCTCCGCACAAGTTATGCGGGGCAGTACCAACCTCGCCAAAACGCGAAGGTGCGGCTGGGATGGTGCTGGACTTCCATGCAACATCCGCGCAACTCCACCAGATTGGATGCGCCCTGAAACCACGCGGAAGGCCCTGCCCGCACAAAATATGCGGAACCAATAACGCCTGCAGAACAGCGCCATTGACGACGAGGCATATTTTCTGTTGAATGACCAAAAGACTCCCGAAGCTGACGCGAGCTCCATTCATAAGCCTCTGGAAACTACGCTGCAAGAAGCATATTTGCATCTGGAGGAGATTGACTTCAGTTCTTTTTCTGTTCGTCGTTACCATGAAACAAGAGGCAAGAACAAAGAAGCATTTTCGAATTTTCATGACATTAATCTACGGCGTCAAAGCTTGGTGTTGCTGGAGTTAAGAGGAAAGTGGCGATGCGTCAGAACAGGTGAACAAGCTGTGGCAATTTTCACTCGCCGTCATTGTCGGAGGAAGCTATGGAGAGCTGCTGCATTGGAGCATAGGGTTCGCCCAACCAAGATTGTGGCTAAAACCACTCTTCACCGCTCTCAAAATGATGCAATCTTGAGAGCAACCAACGCTCGTCAAAACAATGTTCAAGTGGTCCAGCCACACATGAAGCAGGCCAGCAGCATTGCTAACGGGCAGGATGAAATTTTCAGGAGACTGATATATAAACCACCGTAGAGGTTTCCGCGAGGGTACGGTATGCTATACCTAGGCCCTCTAGCACGGTTACGACCGATGGGTGGTGTTTTTAGCGTTGTATAATGCAATTTCACCTCCTGCAACAAAAGAAAATAATAAAAAAAAATAAATCACTGATTCGTTATTGATAAGCAGTTCTTGTACATGATCCTCGTTATCCTAGCATCAGTAGAGGCTTGCGGATATCTAGCACAGCTTTCCATCTCCTATAAGCAGAAACGCCTGCAAAACCGTATCCCTGGTTCCCCAAATTTCCTGTTGGCCAATTTGCCCCGCACCAGAGATTCGCGCATAGCAGAAAACATCGCGCATGCGACTACACTCTAAACGTCGTGTATGATTGGTCAGCGCATTCGCCCATCCAGTCAGATTCAGCGACTATCACAGCGTGCTGCTGTCATGGCTGGAGTGTATACACCCTCCACGTGGACCAAAGTTGCCGCGATTTCAGGTGAAGTTAATTTACCGGAAGACTCCGTCGCCGCGCGTCGTTTCCCGTGCACTTGTTAGGTGCCTTCAATTCTTGCTAAGAAGCAGCAGCTTGACCTCCGTCCGCCGTTTTCGGCGCGCCTTTGCGTAAAGAAGCACCTCGTCTATTGTCCTAATGCATGACGCTCTCGTTATACTTCCTCACCTCAGTTCCCCCCACCTTCCCTCCTTTCCCTTCCCCCCACTCCCTCCTTTACGATTTCCCCGCAATATGCAGGCGCGGAGGCGGTGAGGCTGGGCGCGTACGAAGCTCACGCGTTGAAGCCAGAAAAGCGTCCCACCTCCTATCCCCCTCCCTCCCCTCTCTTCCTTCCCCCACTCCCCTCTCTTCCTTCCCCCACTCCCCTCTCTTCCTTCCCCCACTCCCCTCTCTTCCTTCCCCCACTCCCCTCTCTTCCTTCCCCCACTCCCCTCTCTTCCTTCCCCCACTCCCCTCTCTTCCTTCCCCCACTCCCCTCTCTTCCTTCCCCCACTCCCCTCTCTTCCTTCCCCCACTCCCCTCTCTTCCTTCCCCCACTCCCCTCTCTTCCTTCCCCCACTCCCCTCTCTTCCTTCCCCCACTCCCCTCTCTTCCTTCCCCCACTCCCCTCTCTTCCTTCCCCCACTCCCCTCTCTTCCTTCCCCCACTCCCCTCTCTTCCTTCCCCCACTCCCCTCTCTTCCTTCCCCCACTCCCCTCTCTTCCTTCCCCCACTCCCCTCTCTTCCTTCCCCCACTCCCCGCCCCCCATTCCGCCACTCCGCTCCCCCCTTCCCCCCGTCTGATCTCCCCACAATATGCAGGCGTGGCGGCGGTGGGACTGGGCGCATACGGAGCGCACGCGTTCAAGCCCGAGAACCCCGTGTATAAAGAGGTGAGAGGTGACTTTTGAAACGCCTCATAAACATGGAAGCGCCTCACAAGTGGGAGAACTCATGGATGAAGAGGTAAGAGTTGATTATTGGGTTTATTAATTGCTCCGTCCCTCTCTCTTTTCCTTGTAACTCTGGTCATGCTAAGTAGCGCATTGTTCTCCAAAGCCTATCAGGTGTGGCGAATGGGCTGTGTCTACCACTTTGTCTCTCCGCCGTTGTTCTCTACCACTTCGTGCATTCCGCTGCTAACATGTGTGCTTCCTGTCCCCGTCATAATGTTGTATTATTCTTCATATTGCGAGTTTTTCTTCCGATTGAAATATACTGCTTTTATCAGGTGTGGCGGACAGGCAACCTCTACCACCTCGTGCATTCTGCTGCTCTCCTCGCGTCGCCGCTAGTCAAGCGACCCGACATTGTAAGCCCTCTCTCTCTCTCTCTCTCTCTCTCTCTCTCTCTCTCTCTCTCTCTCTCTCTCTCTCTCTCTCTCTCTCTCTCTCTCTCTCTCTCTCTCTCTCTCTCTCTCTCTCTCTCTCTCTCTCTCTCTCTCTCTCTCTCTCTCTCTCTCTCTCTCTCTCTCTCTCTCTCTCAAGTCTTCTTACCTCACAAACTCTCCAAACCCTTTGTTGGAGGATTCGGAGCAGCGTCTTAGACTCTTAGGAGTAAACGCTGCTTCTCTCCCCCCATCACCGCTAGTCAAGCGACCTGACATTGTAAGCCCACTCGCTCATCAAGTCTTCTTACCTCACAAACTCTCTGGATCCTCTTTTCTTGGAGGAGTCTGAGCAGCGTCTCTGGAGTAAACGTTGCTTCTCTCCTCCCATCACCTCTAGTCAAGCGACCCGATCTCGTAACCTCAATCGCTCTTAGAAACTTTTTTTTTCCTTATTTCCTTGGGAAACAAGTTTTCATCATTTTAAACCGACTCAATAACTTCACAAATCAACGCAATCGGAATTATAAACCGGCCTCGTAAGAACCGGATAGCTCTTTAGATTGGAGCTGCTTTTTGAGATGCAATGACAAAATCCGCATCCACTCACTCACTCCTCTTCTCTTTCTTTCCTTCCTCCCCCTCTTTATCCTGACACCCCATTCCCTACCCCCACCCCTTCTTCCCCCCCTCCGCCCCTCCCCCCTTCCACTCCCCCCGTTCTCCATCGCTCCTGCTCCCAGTACGGCAGTCTTCTAACCTTTGGGATTGTTGCTTTCTCGGGCAGGTGAGCACATGCCATAAGTTTATTCTTTAGTCCATTCGATTTGAATGAGCTCATTAACCCCATCATCACTCGTTCATTCGTTGAGTTTAAACCCATCCAAGCCATAAAAATTGCCATAATCCTCCCATTTCCCCCACTTACTCCTTTCCTCCCTTTCATCCCTTCCTCCCCTTCCTCCCCTTCCTCCCCTTCCTCCCCTTCCTCCCCTTTCCTCCTCATCAGCTGCTACAAAATCAGCAGCATATGAGGGGAGAGCCTTGGGTGTTGGGGCTCCGTATTGACTTAAAGCCCTCCCTTCCCCCCACTTCCCACTCTCCCCATCCGCACAACTCACCTTTCCCCCCACCCTTCATCATCAGCTGCTACCTATCAGCAGCGTATGAGGAAGGGCTTTGGGTGTTGGACTCAAAATTACTCCTCCTTTTTCCCCTCCCCTCCACCTTTCCCCTCACCCCTCATCAGCTGTTACCTATCAGCAGCGTATGAGGACAGGGCCTTGGGTGTTGGGGCTCCCTTTGGGGGATTTGCATACATTGGAGCCTGGCTTTCTGCTGCCTTCTGAATGGCTGTGCATTATAGTGTACATATATCTGTATCCTTCCTGTAACCCAGACGCAAATTTATATCTGTAACATTGCTATGGCATGTGCATGCACAAGGTTTGTGAAATTATAATGGAGTACTACAGTGGAATACAATTGCGAGGTTATAATAAGGGCCTTGAATCGACTGCCCTTCATGCCTCAAATTACTAGCTTTTACAGTATTCCTGAAGACAAGCCAGCACAACATACTGGTAGATGGCTGAGAGCTCAGAGACTCAAACCCCAAAACACATCTACTGGTACATGCTATTTCCATTGCTGCTAAACACCCTACCCTGAAGGTGCTCTTGCTGTTTCACAGTGCCTTATGCCCCACTCGTGTGCACCATCTCCCTTCACAATCAAATCAGGCAGTGGATTTATGCCCCACCCACGAAGTCAACCACTTGGCGACCTGCACGGGGTGGGGTGCGGTGCGGTGCGGTAGGGTGCGGTGGAAAGAGAAAGCGGGTGGTTGAGAAGGATGGCTGTTGAAAACGTTTGGATCGACACAGCCGTCACTTGTAGATCTGGATGGGTGGTGTGCGGTGCAAGGGTGAGCGATGTGGGTGGGGAGGGGACTCAGTCAGAGGGAATGTAGGAGGGATAGCTTTGAGTCTACCCAAGTCAACTAGAGATCAATCCAAGTCAACTCGAGTCAGCAGTGCACTCACATCAGCCATGGCGGCTCAATCTTTGGAGTTGGTGGCGAGACGAATCACAGCCAGCATCACCACTGCCTGCAGCTGACCGTTAAGCCGCACTCCACAGCCCCTCTTCATCAAGTCAACCCAAGTCAATGCGAGTCAACCCAAGTCATACCGACTCCGCACTCACATCAGCCATGACGGGTCGGTCTTTCGGGTTGGGGGCAAGGCAGATCACAGCCAGCATCGCCACTGCCTGCAGCTGGCTCGGGTCGTACCGGCCCTCTAGACGGTAGTCTACTAGCCTGTGGAATTCGCCTGCCTTGGCCACTGGGATTGCCTGTTGGGGAAGACCAAGGGAAGACGAGTGTCTAGGGAGGGTTTGTCTGGTGCAGGAACTGCCAGCAGCTGGCTCGGGTCGTACCTTCCCTCTAACCGATAATCCACTAGCCGATGGAATTCTCCTGATTTGGCCACTGGGATGGCCTGGCAGAAGGAGGGGAGGAGAGAGAGGGGGATGAGGGGTTTCAGGTTGGTGCAGCCACTGCCTGCAGCTGGCTCGGACCACTGGAATTGCCTGTCCATCACTTGGTGGACTAGTCGATAGTCCACCAAGCGATGGAACTCCCCCGCCCTGGCCACTGGAATTGCCTGTCCATGCGAGAAAGAGGCGGTAGGAGAGGAGGAGCAGGGGAGGAGGAGCAGGGGAGGAGGGGAGAGAAGAGGGGTTAGTCTGGAGCAGATCAGCATCGCCACTGCCTGCAGCTGGCTCGGGTCGTACCTCCCCTCTAGACGATAGTCCACTAGCCGATGGAATTCTCCAGACTTGGCCACTGGGATTGCCTGTAGGAAAGGAGGAGGAGAGACAGTCGAGGAAGGGTTGAGACTAGTTACAAGCCACTGCCTGCAGCTGGCTTGCATCGTACCAACCTCCAGTCGGCAATCCAATAGACGTGAATAAATTAACCCTCACCCTCACTCACCCAAGCGAAGAGGTACGCTGGTGTTTTGGATGGGTGGAAGGGGATGTGCCCTGTGATGAGCTCTAGCAACACCACTCCTATACTGAACCCACAGTCGCCGACCCAATTACTTGAATAAAAGAACCCACACACCCTCCTGCGCAACTAAGCATTGTGAACCTTCTCATCAAGGTGAGCCCACAATCACCCAAGCGAAGAGGTACGCAGGTGTTCGGCTTGGGTGGAAGGGGATGTGCCCTGTGATGAGCTCTAGCAGTACCACTCCCACACTGAACCCATCCAGTCACCCATTCACACACACATACTCTCAAACACCCACACACCCTCACTCACCCAAGCGAAGATGTACGCGGGTGTTCTCGATGGGTGGAAGGGGATGTGGCCTGTAATGAGCTCTAGCAACACGACTCCAAATGCAAACACGCACGCACCCAGCCAACCAAGCAATGCGAACCCGCTCACCAAGATAAACCCCAACTCACCCACGCAAAGAGGTAGGCCGGTGTCCTAGAAGGATGGAAGGGGATGTGCCCTGTGATGAGCTCTAGCAACACCACTCCGAATGCAAACACGTCCACTGCTTCTGTGATCTTGCCTGTTCGCACGTATTCAGGTGCCACGTACCTGCATGCAAGAAATACAGGGAGGAATGTGAGGTTTCTGTGGGGTCATACTGTGATGAGCTCTAGCAACACCACTCCGAATGCAAACACGTCCACTGCTTCTGTGATCTTGCCCGTTCGCACGTATTCAGGTGCGACATACCTGCACACAACCAAGAGGGGAAGGGAAAGAGTGTGCCTTGTGGTCATCCTGTCATGAGCTGGAACAACACGACTCCGAATGCAAACACGTCCACTGCTTCTGTGATCTTGCCCGTTCGCACGTACTCCGGTGCCACGTAGCTGGAGGGAAGAGGGCGAGAAAGCAGGGTGGGTATGCACAAACACTCTAAGAGTCAACTCAACATTCAAGTTGAGATATCTCTTATGAGCACAGACTTCGAAATTAACCCCTATATTCTAAGTTCTGAACTGAAATGAACCGGCAGGACAGCTATAAAGAGGGAAAAAACAACTTACCCCTGTGTGCCCATAATGGCTGTGACGGTCATTGGTTGTGTGAAGTGCTCCGGTGCAACTTTCGCCAAACCAAAATCAGACACCTGGTGGTAGGGAGAAAGGGGGTGAGAAAGAGGGAGGGGGAAGGAAAAAGGAGGAGGTTAGGAGAGGAGGAGGTATAAGGAGATTTGATATCTAGGCACTTGGGACGGTCATCGGTTGTGTGAAGTGCTCTGGTGCAACTTTCGCCAACCCAAAATCAGACACCTGGTGTTGGGGAGAAAACAAGGGGGCGGGGTTGGGAAACGAGAGGATGAGGGAGGGGGAGAGGGAAATCACGGAGGACGGGGAAAGGGGGGGTCTGATGACAAAACATTTGGGATGGTCGTAGGCTGTGTGAAATCCTCTGATGCGACTTCCAACTAACCAAAGTCCAATACCCGGTGACCGGGAAAAAAGGGGTTGGGAGCTTGATCAGAAGACACTCAGGACGATGAGCAACAATCGGCATGGTCACACGAGAGGCAGTGGGGAGGGCAGCAGGGGGAGAAAACGAAGAAGAGCAGCAAGAGACTGACGGGCAGCCATACCACGGGCTCCAAGTCTTCATCCAGCAGTATAAACCCCGACTTCACATCCCGGTGAATAATAGGCATGTGGACGTTACAAGTTACAAGTCAGCCGAAGGACGCCAGCTTCCCACGGAACAGGGGAACCGCAAGGGGCAAGAGGCAAAGGCCAAGGCAAGGGAGAGCGTACATACCACGGGCTCCAAGTCTTCATCTAGCAAAATGTTCCCCGACTTCACATCCCAGTGAATGATAGGAGGGCGACACCCACTGTGCAGAAACGCCAAGCCCCAATGGACGACACTTTTTCAGAGAAGGAGTAGGGCACATTGCACAAGGGACAAGGGAGAGCACACATACCACGGGTTCCAAGTCCTCATCTAGCAAGATGTTCCCTGACTTCACATCCCGGTGAATGATAGGAGGGCGACACCCACTGTGCAGAAACGCCAAACCCCTCGCCGCCCCGCTAGCAATCTCCAGCCGCTGCTGCCACGTCAGCGGCGGCTTGCGGTTATCCCGTAACCGCATGTCGAGCGCGCCGTTCGGGAGGTAGTCAAAGACCATTAGGAGCTCGCCAGCTGTCACGCATGCGCCGAGCATGCGCAGCAGGTTCGGGTGCCGAACCTTCCGGACCACCCGAAGCTCCGTGAGGAATTGTTTCGTGTTGACCGCACACTTTTTTTCGGCCAGGGCAGGCCCCCACCAGCGCAACCGCTTCACCGCAACTTTTTGCTTGCTGCCCGCAAGAATCTCCTTCATTCTCCCGCTCCCACCTTCCACTCCTCCCCCAAAATCTGGAACAGCCATTGTAATCGTCCCCAGAAAAACCTGCCCAGATCCGCCCTCCCCCAGAACATTCTTCGGGTTGAAATTATCAGTTGCTTGCAATATCTGTTCAAGTGTAAACTCTTGCTCCCCATACTCTTCTCTCCCGTACACCTCCCGAAGAATTTCCGAAGGTGGGGGAGGGGGGAGGAGGTCGGTGGAGGGGTGGAGAGGGTTGGGGGAGAGGAGCACAGTAGGGTCTTGTTTCCATCCCCCATCTGCTGCTGCTGCTGCTGCTGCTGCAGGGATGGGGGACGGGGAGGGGGAGGGGGTAGGTGCGAGGGGTGCTGCTGCCGGTGTCCCTGCTGCGGCTGCCGCTGCTACTGGTGCTCGTTGTTGTGTTGCTGCTGCTGCTTCTCCTCCCCCTCTCCCCACTGCGCCGCCCATCCCCTCTCCATCTATCTCCATCATTTCCCCACCTCCCCTCCCTTCTCCCTCCCCTCCCTCCCCTCTGTCCCCGCTCCCCCCCCGCGAATCAGACCCACTCCCAACAGCCTGGCACTCTCTCGGGTCAGCTCTTAACGGGTCAGCTCTTAAAGGGGATGCAGAACCAGGGGAAGGGGTATATGCGGCAGTAGAAGCAGCAGAGACAGCCAAAGGGGTGTTTAGAGCAGAGAGGGGAGAGACAGGCGATGCAGAAGGGTGCAGAGGAGAAGGAAAGGGGTTGGGAGCGGTGGAGAGCTCTCCGGATTTGGAGAGGGAGCAGGCGCCGTGGGAGACGAGCATGACTTTGGTGGTGGTGGGGAGATGACGGGCGAGATGAGCGACGGTTTCTTGAGTAGCTGAGGAGATGGATGAACTGGGGGGAAAGGGGGGAGGGAGTAGGAAAGGGGGAAAAAAGGGGACGACAGAGGGAAAAAGGGGGAAGGAAAAGAGTCAGAAAAGGGTAAGCAAGAGGGAAGAGGGAGAGAGAGAGAAAGGGAGGGAGCAGGCGCCATGAGAGACGAGCATGACTTTGGTGGTGGTTGGGAGATGACGGGCGAGATGAGAAACGGTTTCTTGAGTAGCTGAGGAGATGGAGGAACTGGGGGAGGTGTTGCAGAAGGGAAGGTTGGGGACGGGGTGGGAAGGAGAAGAGGGAGAAAGAGAGGCAAAAGGGGGATAACAAGGGAAAGAAAGAGGGGAGGAGAGGAGAGAGGGAGAGGAACGGGAGTAAGCAGGGGAAAGGGGAGGGAGGGAGGAACAGGCGGCGTGGGAGACGAGCATGACTTTGGTGGGTGGAGAGGGGAGACGACGAGCGAGATGAGCTACTGTGCCCTGAGTGGCTGAGGATGGAGGAACTGGAGTTGGGGAGGGAGGAGGGGGAAGAAGGGAAGGGAAGGGGGGGTGCGAAGTGGGGAGAGGAGAGCGAGCGAGGAAAGAGGGAGAAAAGAGGGGGTAAAGGGGGAAGAAAATGGGAGCCATCCGTATCTGCTACCATAACCCTTACTCCCACCAGTGGCTAAGAACTCACCTCTTAAAACCAGGGTCTCACGTAGATCGACTGTTTTGCAGTTGATGGCTTGACCTTGGCTAAGATTGGTTGGCGAGGTGCAAAGAATAACGAGGGGTGTGGCGAGGGCAGCGAAGGAACCACAAAATCGCACTTTGTGTCCAAACCAACCAGGCATGGAAATTGGTTCGGTGCCAAAGCTAGAACACCAGCAATTTGTGCGAGCATTCTGTGAGTCTCATGTACCATCGAAATGTTTTGCAATTGCTTCAGAGGCAAAAACGTCAGGTGTCGCACAGTCAGTTGCCAGACCAACCTCTGGACTTCGCCGCCTCAAACAGGGTGACTAAGGGTCAATTGTTTTGCAGTTGATGACGATTTTTCTTACGTGAGACCCTGGTTTTAAAGCCCAGACAACCTTTCTTGGCTGCACCCAGCGCCACGATTCCTGTTGCCAGCGTCAACGCGCCTTGCACCCGCCTACTAAAGCCCGGTATCCCATTTCTCTCACCTCTTAAAGCCCAGACTGCCTTTCTTTGCCGCGCCCAGCACCAAGATCCCTGCTCCCAGCGTCAACGCGCCCTGCAGAAGGCCCTGTGAAGTCCGTCTGTTCAAAGGTGACCCCTGCTTTTCACTCACCTCTTAAAGCCCAGGCTTCCTTTCTTGGCCGCGCCCAGCACCACAATCCCTGCTCCCAGTGTCAACGCGCCCTGCAAAAGGCCCTGAGGCACGTCTGCTGCCCAACACACACACACCTCCACCCTGACCTGTTGTTGGGGAGGGAGGGGTAGGGTACGAGTGAGGGTGGATCATCGACGCGCCTTGAAGCATCCCCTGGGGCACGTCAGCCGCCCAACACACACACACCTCCACCCTGACCTGTTGTTGAGGGAGGAGAGGGGGCATGAGGGGAAGGGACGGGAGGGAAGGTATGAGTGAACTCTCCCATAAAGCACCACGACCCCTGCTCCCAGCGTCAACGCGCCCTGCAGCAGCCCCTGAGGCACGTCAGCCGCCCAAGACACGCACACCTCCACCCTGACCTGTAGATGGGAGGAGGAGGGTGAGTGTGGTGATGAAACAGCAGGCCCTGAGACACGTCAGCCGCCCAAGACACGCACACCTCCACCCTGACCTGTAGATGGGGAGGGAGAGGGGGAATGGGGGAAGGAATGCGTGAACCACTATCCCTGCTCCCAGCGTCAACGCCCCTTGCAGCAGACCCTGGGGCACGTCAGCCGCCCAACACACGCACACCTCCACCGTAACCTGTTGTTGAGGGAGGAGAGGGGGCATGAGGGGAAGGGGCGGGAGGGAAGGTATGAGTGAACTCTCCCATAAAGCGCCACGACCCCCGCTCCCAGCGTCAACGCGCCCTGCAGCAGACCCTGAGGCACGTCTGCTGCCCAGCACACGCACACCTCCACTCGCACCTGTTGTTTTGTTGGGAGGAGGGAAAAAGAGATAAGCTCCTACTTCCCTTTCTCCCCTCCTCCCCAACCTTTACCATCCCACCCTGCTCGCCCCGCCTTCCCCCCTTCCCCCTCACACCGTTCCCCCCACCTCCCACCAACGATCTCCCTTCCCCATCCCCCGGTGATTCCCCAAATCTCCCCCTAACCCGTTTGGCGCAAGCTACTTCCGCCAATGGCTGTAGCGCTGCCAGCACCAACCTCCTCGCCTCTATATCCCCCCGCTCCCGTCACATTCACGCCTTTCCCCCGTACATCCATCCCCAAAATCATCCCCATCCCCCCATTTCCCCCCCCCCCTCGTTCCCCCCTCACCTGCTTGGCGGAAGCCACTTCCGCCAGTGGCTGCAGCGCCGCCAGCACCACCCTCCGCGCCTCTATATCCCCCTGCTCCCCCCGCTCCTTCTCCCCCTTCTCCCCCTTCTCTCCCCCCGTTTGTATCACCAGCGCCACCACCCTATCCCCCGGTACAACCAGCCTCGATAAAGCGAAATCCACCAGCGCCAGTCCATCCTTCGATACAGTCACACCCGCGCTCCCGGCTCCGCCTCCCCCCGCATCTCGTCCGCTTCCTCCGCGCACCCCCCAAAAGGAGCCTCCTGATTGGTGCAGAGTCACGCCGACGAGAACCAGTTTCGGTCCACCGTGACGAACGGAGCCGGCGGGAGACGCGGCGGGATTTGCGGCGGGATTTGCGGCGGAATTTGCGACGAAAGGGGAAGCTAAAGGGGAGTCGCCGAGAGGCGAGCGGAACCGGGGGGAGATTGGCGGGGATCGAGTCAACATATCGGCACTTAAAAAATAGAGGATTAAAACAAAGTTATATTGGCGTGTCTCGGAATTTAACGGTAACAGAGAAATACAGACGCCCAAAAAATCGAAGGTATCAGGGAAATGCAGGGACTTAATCGTTGATCCGGCCCGCGGACAGGTTGTGAAGTCCTTTCCACGAGTGAACGAATAGACCTGGTTTCTCGATTACCAGGTTCGAACAGATGGTATCTATGGTAGTCGCGAAAGATCGACGCTCAAATCGACTAAGGCCCACTGAAAGCCCTCTGGAGGTCACAACGTCTGCTTCATTGCGTGAATGCGGAGAAGATACTCGTTACAAGCTCGTGACGAAATAGACGAGAGGCAAGCAGGATTCGCGAAGAGGAACGCGAGAAATGCAGCTAATTGGGGTGGATGACGAAACGAAGGATTCGTGCGCGAACGTCGCAGCCCCGAAGAGACAGTATCGCGCTAGCAGCAGCATAAGCTAAGCAGCTCTTTCAGAAGTGACTACTGAAACGGAAGTTTAAACTCGACTAACTTGAGATTACAGTATTACACGAGAGCTAACTCCAAAGAAGCAATACACGAGAGCTAACTCCAAAGAAGCGACTAACCTCGAAGCCACAGCCTCTAGGATCTTATGCCTTCGGTCTTTCTGAAAAAGGAGGTGTTGGACGTGTAGAGACCTGTGGTGCTTCGCTCGCAATCGCGAGGTTGTTGCGTGAACACTAAGGTACACTACAGCACAGTATGGATGTCTATATTCAGTCGCAAATGTCGGGGAGCCGTGTAAGACGAAGGCAGGAGAATGCTGCCAGTGCCACCCATCCACGCGGGCCGCGGGCAGGTGAAATTCTCGTGGATTGGAGAGCAATGGACTGAGGATGTACTAGCCTATGGTGGTGTGGTGTTCCGCTCACATGAAGGCTACCGCGTCTCCTCCTACTCAGTCATAAAAGCAGGCGGGATAGAGCAGGGATGGTCCATGGGCAGTATGGGGTGCGGTGCCAGGGCGGCATGCAACGCCAGTGGGTGGAATATTCGTGCACAGAATCACAGTCGAGATAAGCAGGCCAGGTTCACTCATCTACACAGCGCATCGAACGCTCTAGAATGAACAGCTCATATCGCGGATGGAGTTTTGGTAACCTGGTGAAAGCTTTACAAACGCATGCTCGGAAACGAAAACCGAAAGTGTACAGCTCTTAACTAGTAACGATTTCTTTAATGACGAATCCTTCTTCAGCCTCATCCCGGCTCATGGTGATCACAGGGACTTGCGTGCGCGACAATACCTAGGGAGGCATGTACAAGTGATATCACTTTTCGCGGATCCAATTCCTTTCTTACTGCTTCCCTCGTCACTCCGTTCCAATCCTGCCATTCCTGAAGTCCCCCGATCGTTTTCGCAGTCGTAGGACATGTCGCAGTCGTCCGTCTGCGACTTTGAGAATGAGTCGATCGTGACGTGTAGAAGGTGATTAATTCGTCGATATCGTCCATAGAGTGATAGCAGCTATTAGGATTCGAACCCGCGACCACCATGTCGTTCCTACCCATCCTCGACTACGGTGTAACACCTGCAGCCACCACACCCAACGGCGATGGTAACCCTGTAAACAGCAACCCTAACAGCGGTACCGTGAACAATACGGCAGCGATTTCCTCTGCTTCTGCCAGCTGTAGTAATCCACCCTCTCGGGCAAACCCTGGGGGGAAGGGCGCAACAGCGGGCGGGGAAGGCGGACCCGCAAGGGGGGAAGGCGCAAAAACGGATGGCGCGGAGCAGCCGAAGAAGAAGGCGATAAAAGCGGGGAGCAGCGGAGCAGGAGGAAAGAAATCCGCGGGTAAAGCGGCGGCGAAGGGGGAGGAGAAGGCGGAGGGGAAGAAGGCAGGGAAGGGGAAGGCGGGGACGGGGAAAGGGGCGGGGAGGGCGGCGGGAACTGGCGCCTCGTCTTCCGCGGCCGGCGCGGCTGCAGCGGCGCGGGAGAAGGAGGAGCGGATGAAAGCGGCGAGGGCGCAGGTGGAGGCGCACGCCGCCGCGCTCGAGGCGCATCGATCCGCCGTCTTTAAACTGCAGGCGCTGCTGATTCGCGAGGCTTACTCTAGCGTGACCGATCGTGGCGCCAGCAGCGGCAGCAGCAGTGGCACAGTCACACAGGAAGCAGGCAAACCGGAAAAAGTCACATCACCTACTGTCACACCATCGTTCGACGTGCGAGCCAGCCAGTTAGCAGCGGCGTGCAGATTGCTCAGCAGAAGCGAGTACGATGCTGTAGTAGAGGAACGTGCTATAGGCGGGGTTTGTGGTAACCCGCTTTGCAACCAAGTGTTACAAGCTCGGTACGGGGAAGGAAAAGGGAGGTTCAAGTTGGTCAGGGCTGAAAGAAAAGTTTTTAAGAAAGCGGAGATTTCGAGGTTTTGCAGTGCTGTGTGTATGCGCACGAGTGGTAGTGTAGCTCTGTCATTGCCTGAGCATAGGGAGCTGCTCTATAAAGATGATTTGCAGCAGGTGCTGGATGCAGCGGGGGTGGGGAGGGGTGTAGAGGTGCGGGAGTGGGTGGGGGATGAGGGTATGGGAGAGAGGAAGGAGGAGGAGAAAGAGGAAGGAAGAAGTAGTGGCAGCAGTGTTGGTAGCACAAGTCACAACACTACGAGTAACAACACTGGCAGCAGCAGCAGCAGCAGCAGCGGCAGCAGCAGCAGCGGCGGCAGCAGCAGCAGCGAGAAGATTGCTGAAGTTGCTCGGGTAGACGAGGTTCATGTCTCTGCGAGCACGAGCAGCAGCAGCAGCGGCAGCAGCAGCAGCCGCAGCAGCCGCAGCAGCAGCAGTTCTAGCAACGCTGTATCTGCACCGTTGCAGCTGAAGGAGAACTTTTCAACGGGTTCTGGCACAGGGGAAAATGGGGCAGGAGCAACTGGCGCAGGGGGCGCTGGCGCAGGGGGGATTGACACAGGGGCTTCTGACCAGGGGAGTGCTGGCTCAGGGGCTACTAGCGCAGGGGCAGATAAGGTAGCAACAGAGCGGCTGTTTTCGTCTGGAGGCTTTGAGTCTGCAGTGCATAATGCGATTGAAGGGTACGTTCCTCGGCATGGTAGTGAGGCACTCAATAAAGGGTACGTCTCTCGGCGTGCCACAGGCCAGAACATGCTGGGAGGGGGGGAGGGAGGGGAAGAAAGAGGAGAAATGAGAAGGGAAGAGAGTGTGGGTGAGAGAGAGGGAGTGAGTGGAGGAGAGAAAAAGGGAGAGGGAGGAAGAGAGAAGGCGGGAGTGAGAGGGAGAGGAGATAACATTGCTCGGAGCATTATGTCTCAAGTGGTCGCAGGGTCAGGGACATGTGACGAGGTGTTTGTACCGAGTGTGGGGATGGAGGGGTGGGTGGGGGGCGAGCAGGAGGAGAGCGATAGGAGCGAAGTTGGGGTGGGAGTGGGAGGCAGGGCTGGTGGGCCAAGAGACGCAGCAGCAGGGGCAGAAGCAGGGGAAGCAGGAGGAGGAGCAGGGACAGGGGCGAACGGAACAGCAGCAGCTGAGACAGTCACAGGGAAAGCAGAAGCAGGAGGGGCATTAGGGAAAGCAGCAGAAGTCGAGGGGCGAACAGCAGAGCTGCGACCAGCTCTGAAGAAAGCAGTGCGTGGGGAGACGGGCGGAGGGGCAGTAGGCATGCAGAGGGAAGAGGAGAGGCATGTCACTTGGGCTGCAGATGACAGGCTGGCAGTGGCACAAGCGGAGGGGGGAAATGGTAGGGGCGAGGGAGGTGGAGACTCAGAAAGGATAGGGCAGGAGGAGAAGCGGGGAGAGGGGAGTGCAGCAGGGGAGAGAGGTGGGAAGGAGCGGGGGGGAGTGGGGAAGGGGAAGAAGCAGGGGGCGGTGAGGGATGGGGCAGTGAGAGATGGGGCAGTGAGGGAGGGGAGCAGTGGGGGAGGGGAGCAGTGGGGGAGGGGAGCAGTGGGGTGGTTGGCAGGGGGGAGGATGGGGTGGAGAGGAGAGAGGAAGGCTGGGGAGTGGAAGGAGGAGCAGAGGCAGCAGCAGCGGGTCGCTGTGGATGGCTCGAGGCTCCTCCCCCAGGCTTCATGATGCAGGTGAGGGTTTCTGCTGCTGCTGCTGCTGCTGCTGCTGCTGCTGCTGCTGCTGCTGCTGCTGCTGCTGCTCGTGCCTTCCCTACTGTTCCCCGTCTGCCCATCCCCCCACCAGCTCCCCTTCCACTGCACTCTCCTCATGGCACTGCAAGAGTGGGTCACTGCTGACTCGATGAAAGCATGTCCCTTGCTCCTTTCACCACCCCAACTTCCCTTGGCCATTCCCGTTCGCTGCCTGCGTGTCTGTCTGCCTATCCCCTTACCAGCTCCCTTTCCATTGCACCCTCCTCATTGGTGCTTCAAGAGTGTGTCCCTGCGTGACTGGATGGAAGCACCTCTTTGGATGGCCAATCCCCCCTTGCCGTTTCACTATCTGCCTGTCTACCTGCCTGTCTATCTGCCTGTGTGTGGCTGTCTCTCTTTCTCTCTGCCTGTCTGCCTCCCCCCCTCGCCAGCTCCTGTTCCTCTGCACTCTCCTCATGGCGCTCCATAGTGGTTCACTGCCAACTCAATGGAAGCACCTCTTTATTCCTTTCTTCACTCCCCCTTCCCGTGGCCACTCCCGTTCGCTGCCTGCGTGTCTGTCTGCCTGTCCCCTCACCAGCTCCCGTTCCACTGCGCTCTCCTCATGGCACTTCAGGAGTGGGTCACTGCCGACTTGTCTTCAGAATGGTTTATCTCTCCTTGCTCTTTCCCTGCCTGCCTGCCTGCCTGCCTGTCTGTCTCCCTGCCCCCTCGCCAGCTCCCCTTTCACTGCACTCTCCTCATGGCGCTACAAGAGTGGGTCACTGCCGACTCGCTTCGCCTCATCTACCCGTCACCACCACAACCAGCCCAGCCGCTACAGCAATCACAGCAACCAGCACCGCAGCAGCCAGCACAACCAGCAGCACTGCAGCAACCACCATGTGTGACTGCAAGCCTGGAAGCAAACGGTTGGGAGTACCCTACTCTCCTGGGGTCCGTAAATGATCCTGCCAGAGCAGCTGAGATCCGAAGGACTCTGGGTGAAGGGCTTGGGAGGGAGACGGCAGGCGTGGTGGAGGAGTTGGGGCTGCTGCTGCCACTGTCAACCGTGGAACATGCACTGGTGAGTTGACTCCCCTACCGGTATGCAATCGGATGGGGTGGGAGTATCCCACTCTGGGGGATGGTCTGGGGAGGGAGACGGCATGCGTGGCGGAAAGCCTGGGGCTGCTGCTGCCACTGTCAACTGTGGAACTTGCACTGGTGAGATTGCTGTGTGGAACTTGCTCCGGGGATGCACTTTTCTCTAGTCAATTCCTCAACCTGGTAAGTGAACGGATGGGTAAGCTTGGGGCTGCTACTGCAGCCTGCTGCCACTGTCGACTGTGGAACACGCACTGGTGGGTTTGCTGTGGGGGGTTGTACTTTTGAATCCACTTTACATGCTTTCTTTGCTGACCTTCCTCTGTTTGCCACCTTTGCTCTCCGATCCCCCCTCCGCTCCCTGCGTCGTCCCCACTCGCAACTGCTGCCGTCGCCACTGTTGCTGCTGCCGCTTCTGTCGTTGCGGTCACCCGCCTCTCCCTTATCCCTCCTTCCCCCTTCTCCCTCCAACCCCCCTGATGCAGACTCGTCTGCTTGCGACCTTTGCCTTCCGCTCGCCCCTCCCCTCTCTCCGCCGGCCCCACTGGCAACTGCTGCTGCTGCTACTGCTCGAGGCCCTATCGGTCAACTGCCTGCCCGCAGCTGCTGCTAGTGCACTCAACTCACACCGCCATCAAGTATACAAGGTATGACCACAACATGAGACAGCACCTGCACATGCTGCTGCTGCTGCTATTGCTCGAGGCCATGTCGGTCAACTGCTTGCCTCCTGCTGCTTCAGATGCACTCAACACCCTCCGGCATCAAGTATACAAGGTACGTACTTGTAGCTTCTGCAGATTCTTGTTCTGCTGCGGCTGCAGGTGCTGCTGGTGCTGCAGCTGCTGCTGCTACTGACTTTGCCAGCATGCCTCCTTGCATGCCTGTATTCACTTGCGTGTGCGTGCATGTGTGTGTATGCAGGTGGCAGCAGCAGCAGGTGTGGACAGGGACAACTACCTCTTGCTCAGGCAGATGCTGCTTCCCAGAGGGCCTTCAGTTAGCAACCCGAACCAACACACAAACGCTGCTGCTTAGAGGGAAGATTTTGCAGCATCACCAGCAGCAGCGCAGGTGTCAACAGGGGCAACAGCCTCTTGCTAAGTCAGATGATGCTTCCCAGAGGGCCTCCTGCTCGTGTCATGATCCTAATCAGAACACAAATGCTGCTGCATGAATGTACTTTCTCTGCAACACTAATGTTGGATTGGGTGGGTGAGTCAAGCCCTCGAATCAATGACACAGCCAATTACTCAAAATTGATTTTGCCACTGACTCGAATCTGGATCTGAAAGGTGTACTGTACTGTACCCTGAACCTGCACAGAAGTACAGTCTGTGAGTGAATAGCAAAGCAAGAACAGCAGCTGGAGAAGAAGTACGGTATGCAGTAGTGGTCTAACATAGACAACCTCCTGGTGATGGTGGTCAGTCACATGAAGTCTCCTCCCAGTGTAAAGGAGTAATGCTCTACCACACGCCCCTGCACCATTCCACCTTCCTTCTCCCTCCCCCACCCCTTACTACCGATCACGGTCCCAACCATGCCACCATCTGCCTTGCTGGCGCTGAGCTGGCGTGAGTCAGCACCAGCACCAGAAGGGACAAACTCCACAAGGCCTATTTCACAAAGGTGCCCACAAAGGGGCAGCTTTTGGGATCGAACGGTGTGGAAACTGCTGGGGAGTTTTCCTTCGGGCAGCTCTTGAGCAACCGGGCAGATGGGCAGCCAGGATCCGGGCAGGTAGTTGGGGTCGCAAGGGATGGCTAGTCTCTTCAGGAGCTCCTGAGGGGTGCAGAGAGGTGCAGAGTGTGATGAACAAGAGGAGCTCAAGGGGAAGAGACTTGCGCAACTGGAGTTTCGACTGAGTCACAACAAAATTCATGTCAGCTGAATGTTTCACAGATGTGTGAAAGCATAGAACACACAATGAACACGGATCCACACACCTGCAGTTGCTCGTGAAGTGTGAGCAGAGCAATAGAAGGAACTGGGGCCAGAAACAACGCACTGGTTGCTACTGATGCTGCTTTGGAACCCTCAGCAGCAGCCGCAGCAGCAGCGCCCCTGTTGCTTGTGCGAGTAGGATCAACTGATTGGCTGCTGCTGTTGCTGATACTGCTGCTGATGCTGCTATTGCTGCTCGTGGTTGTGGCGGAAGAAGCTGCATTGTTCCCCCCAGGGTGAGAATTTGGGCTTGAAACAGCTGCAGCACCAGCCGCACTAGCACCAGCACCAGTAGTAGCAGCAGCAGCACCAGCAGCACCACTGGATGCACGTGTGCCTGGGCTGCTGATGCTGCTGCTATTCCCACCATCTGCACTCATTACAGAGTTATTCCCTGCCGAAGCATGGCTGTTGCTGTTAACCGCCGTGGGAGAGAACGCGGGTCGTGGCACAGAAGCTGCTGGGAAGCTCCCGACCGCAGCCAAGGCGACTGGAATGGGGTGCTGCTGCTGTGCGAAATTCTCTATGGCTGTGCGAAGCTTGGAAGGTTCCAGATCAGATGGGGTGTGGAGGGAGAGACTGCAAGAGAAAGGGGAGAATAAAGAGATGAGGCAGGGGGAAGGCGAAAGAAGGGAAATGAGAGGAGATGGTTGCATGAAGCTTGGAGGAATTCAGGATAGGTGTGGTGTGATGGGAGCCTCAGGGGCGTCTGGTTGCTCCAGGATCGTTGAGTGAGGCGTTCAACGGGGGAATGAAGGGGAAGAAACATGGTCAACGAGGGAAAAGAGGATAAAAAAAACGGGGGGGGAGGCCAAGAGTTTATAAGACAAGTCAACGGCTGTGCTGCCTGCATGACACGAAGCAGGCCAAATGTCTCTATCAGGCTGCTTCCAAGCCTCCTACAAATATTTCCTTTTAAAATTTGACATAAATTCACAAATGTCAATGGCTGTGCTGCTTGCAGACCTAACACGCGGCCTGGCAGATGTCTCGATCAGCTAGCTCTCTAGCCCTCCTGTGTTTTGTTGTATTTACAGTCGACTCGAGAAACACAAATGTTAATGGCCGTGCTGCGTGCTGACCTGACATGCGGCCTGGCAGATGTCTCGATCAGGTAACTCCCGAGCCGTCGCCTCGCCAGCACATTCCAAATCTTCACGTGCGGAGGAAGAAAATTCACACAGATGGGACAGAAGTGCGGAGGAGGAGAGGAAAGTTGAAGAACGCCGTTGAAGCATCGAGAAGCTGAGGACGAAAGCGCGTTGAAGGATTCTGAAGATCCACGACGCGACGATAGCGCGTATGAGAGACAGGTCTGTTCAACCGCTAAGTAACCTACAAAACCGTATCCCCGTGTCTGTTTTTTCAGAGCTGTAACTGTATAAATCTCCATTCTTATGAGTATGCCCAAGGAGATGATTGACAAATCTAAGCGCTTCATGAAATAGTCATACCCTGAGTATCTGGTTCTCCAAAGCCGTGTCGAAATACAGTTCAACGGCGAACCCTCGCGTCACGCTTCTGCCGAGCGGCGATGCCGGGTACGCGTCAGCAGCTACCGGCTGCCGGCCGAACCCCATTGCTGAACGTTAGATTCAGGAAAGGCGAAATCTACTATGGTAACAGTAGTGTAGCAACAAACCTTTAGTTCCAACCTAGGTTTCGGGGACTTAGCATAGCATTCAGTCCGCGACCAAACGCAGTTACATCAGATTATCGACGACGCGAGTCGAGACCAGAAAACACGTGGAGAGACTAGCTGCCGCATACCCCGCATTTTCTCATCGCTCTATCACTCCCCTACGTACTCGCTTTGCGGTCAGCTTCGTTTCTGTGTAGTAAAACTTTATGCCCTCTGAACTAGTTTAACAGTTATAATAATTCTTATTTTGATTGGCGAGTGAACTGAAGGCGCACTGTAGATCACTCGCCGCGGCTTCACAGCATCGAGTCTGGGTGAAATCCTTTTGCGTAGGCAAACGGCGTCGGCGAGGGATCTGCCTCAAGTGAACCTCAAAAGGAGTTTCCTCGCCGGCTGGTTGGAATCCACCGCGCCAGACAGGTTGGGACGGTTGCGATTGAATGGAATAATGTATTACAGTTCACTGGATTTCAGTACGGTTCGGTACGTTTTTCTACGATGCAAGGTATCTTGTTCTAACAATCGAATGGTTGGGTAGGGTTGCAACAAATTCGTACCCAACAGCTAACAAGCGCCAGAATTCAGACACCGCAGGGATTGGCTGGGACATATCCTCGACCCTCGGATATGTGACTCTGAGTTGTGCTATTTCCTCAATCCGCGCCTCACCGTCTTTTTTTCTTCTGGCGTAGCACAGGCTTATCCCCGTCATTATACGTACTAGTTCAATCCGCGGGCGGCGCCTTAGCCGACATGCCGACTCTCAGCGTCCAGACAAACGTACCTGGTGATAATGTTGTGATCACTGATGTCATGAAGGACTTGAGTAAAGTCGTGGCTAGAGTTCTCGACAGGCCTGAAGAAGTAAGCGTTTTCATGACATATAGTTTGCGAAAGTCTTTGATATAATATTCAGGAACAAGACTGAAGCTCAATCCTGCGTTTTCTTGGCTTGCAGTATGTGATGATTTCCGTGAAAACGTCAATCCCAATGTGCTTTGGTGGAACAGAAGCTCCTGCGGCCTACGCCGAAGTTAATGCAATCGACAGGCTGGGTCCAGAGACGAATAAGAAACTCAGTGCTGCCATTTCTGAGATTCTTGAGGCCAAATTAACTGTTCCACCCAACCGCTGTTACGTCAAATTCTATGATGTGAAGGTACGTGGCTCAGCTTCCAATCTTGTTTCTGAATCATGAGGTTTCATGCCGTCCTGTCTGTGTTTTCAGGTCTCGGATGAAGGCATTGATCAGAGTGCAATTGTCTACATGCTTGTCATCAGTAGATGAATGCACACTTGCCGCTTAGTAGTTAGTCCAGCTTCATCCACTAATGGATTTCATATTTCTTGTGCAGGCAGCAGACTTCGGTTGGAATGGCTCCACGTTCGATGGCTTAGTATGAAGCTAGTCCTTTACGCATCTGCTGCCTTGTTTGCCTTGGCCTAGTACATATATTGATACATTTCTATATATAACTGCCCCTATCATAAATTAGTGTAGCTATTTCGCTCAAACTACTTCGGGTGCATTACTACTGTCTTGATTTGCACACATCGCTGGAAGCACCTGGGCGAATCAGCGAAATGCAGCAGCAGAGCCGCCTAGAAGGAACTGCGGCGGAGAAGGAATGGCTGCCATTGGGCGGAATAGAACTGGATTGCAGTACGGTTCAGTAATAATCGTTGCGATGCATAGATGTTTTCTTCAAGCAACCAAATGGTTGGATAGGATTGTTTGTTATTCCGCCTGGGAGTCAACAGAGCCTGGGACAATCCGGGCGCTGTAGTCTAGAGGCTGGGAGATCGACTATTTCCATATTCCGCGCATCTTCCGTCTCTTTTCTTCTGGTATAGCACAGCCTCTATATCCGTCCTACTTGCGTGTTGAATCTGTAGACGGCGCCTTGGCCAACATGCCGACTCTCAACGTCCAAACTAACGTTCCTGGTGATAACGTTGTGATCAGCGATGTCATGAAGGACTTGAGTAAAGTCGTGGCTAGAGTTATCGGCAAGCCTGAAGCAGTAAGCAAATTCGTCAAATATAGTTCCCGGCAGATTTAGGTACTACCTAGAGAATGGTACTGAAGCTCAATCCCGCGTTTCCGTGGCTTGCAGTATGTGATGATCTCCGTGAAAACATCAATCCCAATGTGCTTTGGTGGAACGGAGGCTCCTGCAGCCTATGCCGAATTGATTTCAATCGGCGGGCTGGGTCCAGACACGAATAAGAAACTCAGTGCAGCCATTTCTGAGATTCTGGAGGCCAAGTTAACTGTTCCACCCAACCGCTGTTACATCAAGTTTTATGACGTGAAGGTATGTGGCTCAGCTTTCACTCTTGTTTCTGGTTCACGAGGCTTCATGCCGTTCTGTGCTTATTTGTGTGCCGTGCCTGTATTCAGGTCTCGGATAGAGGGCATTTATCAGAGTGCCATTGTCTACATGCTTGTCACCAGTAGACGAATGCTTATTTTTGCCGCTTTGTGATATACCCAGCTTCAACCACTAATGTCTTTCCCATTTCTTGTGCAGAGATCAGACTTTGGTTGGAATGGCTCCACGTTTTGAAGTTAGTCACCTGTGCATTACTTTGCTTGCTTGGTACTCCCATCTCCCAGTTGAATGTTTGTCTCGGGCCTGTGATTTGTCAGCAAGTATAACGGTTTTAAATGAGAACCTACAACTCATTACAGCAAAACGCACCACACTGATAAATATGATGGCTAACACAGTAACCTAGGAAGGTACCGTACCAATCCAGACAGCAGCACGGAACTTCATCTGTGATGGATGACGAGAACTAACTGGTTTAGGAGGCGGCCTCTTTTTTGAAGTGATTGCCACCAGTCAGTAGCTTGAAGGCGTAGAACAGGGTCATAATGGCACTGTAATTTTTCACAACACGGACAACACAGCGAATACGGTAAGGTTGAAAGAATCTGCCTGGGGCGAAGTCGCAAAACAGATTTGCGTATTTGCCAAAACATGGAGTCATTCGCTAGCAGCGTTTGTAATCCCCCTTGCACGGCGAGAAGCATACGAACTCAAAAGGAACAAACATACCTTAACCCAGCAACGACTCCAGCTGGGAAGATCTTCTGGGTGGTCATATATCGGTCGCCAAGAACGTAAGTCAACGCGCCACCGATGGCTGCAAGTTACCAAAAAGCGTGAGGTAAAAAATGGACCCACGCGCCAAGATATTATTTTCTGAAAGAGGAGAAACTAAGGATACTACACTTACCTAGTTGGACGAAAATGGCTGCGAACGAGTTTTTCCGCTGCTTGAACAGCTTCAGCTGGATTGCTGCTACCAAACAGAGAATCGCTCCTGACCCTACTCCGCCAATCAGTGACACTGTGCTTCCTTTCCGCAAAAAGCCTATCAGACCGCCAAGGATAAGCAGCGAGCCATACGGAATGGTGAAACAGAAATCGTGCATGTTGAAAGGCAGGCAGGCAGCAAGGTAAACCGAGGGAATGCCACGACACTGACGCTGTACAAGGCACGTGACGCTGTACCTAGGACGGAGAGGATGTCAGCGATAGATTTCTTGAAAAGGGTAGGGAAAGCCTGATTGAGATCGTGGAACGCAGGCGCCGATATACATTTGTGCAGTTTTGGTCCTGGTGGTCGGTGCCTGACATGGGAAAAGAGATCGATGACTGCCACCCCCAATTGGTTGTTTTCGACGGAACCCGGTATAGTCCCGAACAATTCCAATTGTTAGGCAAGTTTGCTTGCAAAAACCAACCCAGATTTACGGAAACGTGTATAAGGATGCCTCATTAGGGCTGGAATGTTTGTACACAAATGGAATATCAAAGTACCTGGATTACACAAGGCAGCCATAAAACCTTCAGACTACAATACTTTCTACATCACAGTAATTCATACATCTTGAAGTTGCAAATGGTACCGTAGTGCCGTACATTCATGTGGATCCTTAGTAGCGGCCCACAAAGATACCCTGTTGCCTTTCCTCGTTCCACTTGTCAATCTGGAAGGGTAGATCATAAGCACAAAGAAATGGTTAACATCAAGCCCAACATGAGCACAGCAAGCAGAAGACAATGCTCACTGACAAGCAAACGTATCCACTCGGATCCAAATGCCACAGCCCCACAGCCACATAAGAACGTACCCACTCAGCAGGGCACAATGTCCGGTAGGCCTTGGCAAACTTCTGGCACTCTGAGGCGCCCTCGCCCTTCTCAGCAATGCACCTGGCAAATCACCGTGCATATCACAGAAGCCACGGAAAAAAAGACTAAGTGAAGTGCTAAACTAATGCATGCCATCAGTTGAATTTGAGTTTCGGGAGATGAAGGAAAACAGCACGCTGAATTTGAGAAGGAAGCGAGATGCGAAGACAAAAAAGTGAGCTGCGAAGACAAGGAGCGAGCGTGATCCTACTTGTGGAACTCGTTGTAGCAGGTGAAGCAGTGCTTCGCCTGGTTGGCTGTGGGGAACCGGAAATCCATCGGCACCGTCTTGATGTCATCCACCTGAAAGAATGCAGTGCAATACAATGACGGAAACGACCAAGGAACAACGGATAGCATAATAACCGAACTTCATGTCGGGTAAAAGGCGGATCTCGGATAGCGAAGAAACTAACTGCTTTTCCAGATGCGGAGCGGAACGAAGACACGGAAAACGGCAGAAGGAGCAAAACAAAAAGACAAAAAATGAAAGCGGATAAATGAGTCTGATCTTACAGTGATGACGCGCTTTCCCTCGACCTCCGCCATCACGTCCAAGATCGCAACCGGAATACCGCCTTCGAAATGAAAACTACAAGGACAGCGTCAGATAAAGCGTCTCCAACAAAAACTACGAATACCCAGGTAGACCAAGTAATCAGCGTAAACCACGCAAAACGCTACGCACCTGCGAAGGTTATCGCTCAAGCAGTGCTTGAGAACGGTTAGGAGCGGCTCTAGAACTCGAGGTAAACAGAGCGTGGAGCTTCTAGGGCTGTTCTAGCAGGCAGGGGCACACGTGGGCGAAGGAAATGCGGGAGCACAGCCAGAAGCGGAGGGTGGCGGAGGAAGAAGCGGAAACCGGCGGAAGCAATAGCGGGGAGAACGAAACCTGGGGGGGAGGGGGAAACGGGGGGGTTGACTCGCTATTGTAGTCTCCTGGATGGCCGCGTGCGGCGCAAAATTGACTGGAATTACAAGAAACTTGCCAATCATAACATCCATATATTCTCAGCATTGTGAAGCATTTCCACCAAAGTAAACTCTAAGTAATATAGCCTTGCCATTATACACCAGGCTCCAACGCATGCTCACGTATAACTAGTATCCAACGACGTCGCCTAATTTCAGAAAGGCGGGGATGGTGTTGAGCTCAAATTTACGAGCAAACAGAAAGCAATGGGTGCGCTTTCCTCCTAGTGCGCAAGGCCTACTCCCAGATAAGGTCAGCGTGTATATGGTCTCTGCTGGCACCATGTAGTCTTGCTGCAGAGAAAACATTGAAGGGAAAGTAAAATACAAATAGTTGTGAATGTGATGAACAATAGTAACTGAAGTAGAAAAATGAGAAGCAGCAAAACCAGGGGGTGAAACCTGCTTGATTGTATTCCTGCAATCTTTCTCACCTGTATTTTGCGAATAAAATTAGGATTTATTTCTTCCACGGTGTACGAAGCCGGGTGCCGTGAAATTGCCCCTCCCCAGTGCACATACAACACACTTCGAGTGTCGACGTTCTCAGGGTCCTCAATCTGCCCAGGAACAAAGAAAGTGAGAAACCATCTACAATCCTATAACTTATAATCCCCCAGGAGCATCAGCGGACATGCCTGGAGACTACAGCTGTACCATGAAGTTCGCACAATCAAGCAAAGGTCAGATATGGGGGACAGACATAAGAAATAGCACCAGTGTTACATGTCAGCAGTACAATGTGGAACATACCGCAAGGACTGTTTGGATGTAGCTTTCATCAGGGATCTGACATGCAAGGGGGCCACATTATCATGCCATCCGTGTCATGCCAATGAAATAACAATTGGGAGCCAGGGAGCAGAAAATTGGGGTTCTCCTAGCACTGGGAACTTTGCATAGGACTTGACTTTTGAATGTAGAGGAAAATGAAAGAAGGTAAATGTGGGGCATCTTACCAGTGCTGGCAAAAAAAAAGAAGAAGATTGCGTCTACCATTAACCAACAGCTCCCTATGCATCTTAAGGGTTCACCAGAAAGATCCAGCATGCATCACATACCTCAGAGAAGGTTTCCAAAAAAAGGTCATAGTACTTTCGGTCCCTCACAATGAGGGCTGCATGGGCGCGTGTCAGTGCAAACCACTGCACACGTGGCAGACAGGGCAACAAAGCAAGCTTTTAGACGTCTCATGACTTTCGGTCCCTCACAATGAGGGCTGCATGGGCGCGTGTCAGTGCAAACCACTGCACACGTGGCAGACAGGGCAACAAAGCAAGCTTTTAGACGTCTCATGACTTTCGGTCCCTCACAATGAGGGCTGCATGGGCGCGTGTCAGTGCAAACCACTGCACACGTGGCAGACAGGGCAACAAAGCAAGCTTTTAGACGTCTCATGACTTTCGGTCCCTCACAATGAGGGCTGCATGGGCGCGTGTCAGTGCAAACCACTGCTCACATCACAAGCAGGGCAAGCGGAGAAGATAGATCGGGCAACAAGGCGAGTTTTGAGACGCCTCAGAACTTTCGGTGCTTCGCAACGAGTACTGTATGGCCTCGGGATATCAACACACTCTCCTTTCAGCTTACAGCTCCCTTCCTCTTTCTCTTCACATTTGCATTCCTCCCTTCTCACCTGCGATCCCTTTCTGAACTGGTGGCGTTTGATCGTTGGAGCCATGGTGAACACCCACCGCCACCCGCTCTCATAGCTGCTCTAGGAGGGTGAGGGCGAGGGGTTACGGGGAACGGGGAGGAAGGTGGGGAGGGAGAAAGCGGGTATTGGACAGGGAGCCATGATGAACACCCACCGCCACCCGCTCTCATAGCTGGGTGGGAGAACATGGAAAGTGGGGTATGGTAAAGGACGAAGTTGTGGAAAGAGGGGCCGTGGGGCAAAGAGGGGCCGTGGGGCAAAGAGGGGCCGTGGGGCAAAGAGGGGCCGTGGGGCAAAGAGGGGCCGTGGGGCAAAGAGGGGCCGTGGGGCAAAGAGGGGCCGTGGGGCAACGAGGGGCCGTGGGGCAACGAGGGGCCGTGGGGCAACGAGGGGCCGTGGGGCAACGAGGGGCCGTGGGGCAACGAGGGGCCGTGGGGCAACGAGGGGCCGTGGGGCAACGAGGGGCCGTGGGGCAACGAGGGGGCCGTGGGGCAACGAGGGGCCGTGGGGCAACGAGGGGCCGTGGGGCACAGATGAGTGGAAGGGGGTATGTGAGCAAGGAGCCGTGGTGACCACGCACCTCTATTGGAGGTGGGAGAGAAGGTGAAAGCAGTTGATTGGAGAGTGCACTTACTGGAGCAATTGGGGCAAGTCACACTACCAGCAATGAGTGCACGTTACACGACTCACTACCGGAGTTGTGCGCAATGTACCTTGTAATGAGTTTTAGACGCGGCTCGAGTCTCACCTGGTGATGAAGCTGACCTTGGTGGCAAACAGATACTCCCATACTAAGGTGAAGTTAAAGATGGGGAGGTGTGATGGGGACATGCCGTGCAAAAACGATTGTGTGCACCTGGTGATGAGTTCTGGACTTGCCTCGAGTTTCACCTGGTGATGAAGCTGACGTTGGTGGCGAACAGATAGCCCCACACGTGGGTGAAGTCGAAGATGGGGAGGTGCAATGGGGGCAGGCCATGCCAAAAGAATCGTGTGCAGTTCAGTGGTGAGTCGAAGTTGCGGATCGAATCTCACCTGGTGATGAAGCTGACGTTGGTGGCAAAGAGATAGTCCCACACGTAGGTGAAGTTGAAGATGGGGAGACACCTGGGTTCAATGAATGTGGACCGGTATTGAGAAAACAAGAGAGGAGGTAATAGTAGAAGGTAAAGAGCAGCGGAGCATGTTGAAGATGGAAAGGGAGTCATCAAGGTACAGGGAATGTGGACACTGAAGACGAATGACAAGGTTGGAGACGCCGGATCAGCATGGGCAGCATCACAACCTCACACCACCCTATCACCTACCTCACAGAACCACTAATAAGACACTCCCACCCAACTCAAACCATCACCCACTCACTTGTCCGAAACCCGCTCAAACCACCTCACAGCGCCTCACTGCACCTCACAGCACTTCACTCCACCTCACTGCATCTCACGCCACCATCCACTCACTTGTCCGGCTCGAGCACGAATTGCTGGATACCCGGAACAGCAAGGGAGGCATAACCTCCTCACTGCACCACCCACTCACTTGTCCGACACGAGTACAAAGCGTTGGTTCCCCGGATCCTCGATGGCTGCAGCTAGAAGCAGATTTGACATCATGAAAACATCACACCTTTCAACGACTTAGAACCACACACCACCACTATCTCACTTGTCGGACACGAGCACGAATCGCTGGTTGCCCGGATCCTCAAGGGCAGCAGCCAAGAGCCGCTTCTCTGCACGGATCAGGTTCGGCCCGCCCCATGAGATCTGAGCACATGCGACAAAACGATGGAGACTTGGGGTTGAGGCGAAAAGTCGAGGGTTGAGAAATGTGGGCATGGGCATGGCAAGGGCAGGGCCCATATACGCAGTGGTACAACAATGGCTTGCCGGCACTCACCAGTGCCAAACAAAACTCTCTCGTTTCAAATGCCTGTTTGAGCAACGCTTGTTTGGACAACGTTTCAACAATGGTTGATTGATTAATCCAACAGATCCTGATTATACAGCATCATCAGCAAGGCAGGTGCTCACGTGTACTCCCGGCACCTGAGTGCCCTTGAAGCTAGGCGAGTCCACCACGTCATGTTAGAGGCGTCTCAGAGAGATTTTTGTATGCACACTGATACTTCACGTGGGAGGTATGTCACATAATGCATGATAGGACAACTCACCCGCACTCCTGGCACCTGAGTGCCCTTGAAGCTAGGCGAGTCCACCACGTCATCCAGAGTGAAGTTGGGCGTTGACACATGCACGTGCACGGAGTACTTGCCCTGGTGGCCCTGTTGGGGAGTAATGAAGGGGGGATGATGGTAGAATGGGTGGTAATAAATGGGAAAATATGGAAAGGTATGGGTTAAGCCGCGGGATATGAAGCCGGGATGGAAGGGGGATGGGGGACATAATGAGGGTGGGCGGGGGGGGAAGAGGGGGGGAGGGGGGGGGGGGGGTGGTATCAAGGAAATGTGGCGGAAAAAACAGTGAGATCACATGAGAGGCAAAGGCACGATGAGAACAACAAAACTGAAAGGACAAAATAATGTTTTCTATCTTAATTCACTTTGATAAGGCAGCGGCATGTGGTAGTGTTAAGACCTGAGCCACACTACATTCAGAAATAGCAGGGAATCCAAGTAAGAAACTTAGCGGGCGAAACTCTTACTTTGAAGAATCGCTCCCATACAGGTGCGAGCGGCAGCGGGCCTCGCACGATGAACAGGAACGCGATCTTAGGAGGCACGACATCCGTCCTCCCAGCAGCTGCCAGCTCAGCATCCTTCTCCAGCTGCGCGAGAGCTCGCCGCGTCAGCTGCTCGTCCACGTCATCAAGCAGGCCCGTGTCCCACACGGGGAGACGCTCGGACGCTCCCCCGAGGATCACGAGCAGGATGGCGAAAACGGGTAACCACATGAGGAGGATCGCGAGGCGGTTGATGGCGACGGTGTCGCGAGGCTTGGGGAGGAGCACGCGGGGGGCTGCCTTAAAGCCAATGTGCGGCGCGGGACTCTCCTTCGGCATGATGAAAGGTTAGCAAGAATTAGAAATATCCGAAGAATCTGTACGCACCACGATACAAGCCGATTGTTCACGGAACCTTCAGGGAAGCTGGGACGGAAATTCAGCTAAGATCGAAGCACGAGTAACGGGAGCTTGGAGTGACTAAGACCGTATGAGGCTTGCCGTACTGCGGGCTTCCTGGAATGTTCTAGAGTCTTCTAGTTGGAAATTCTTAGGATCTCCAGGTTAAAATTCCTAAAGGCCGGTAAGCAGCCGGGACGGATTCCTGGTTAATCGCTTCGTTTTCTACTCACACTCACGAACTACAGCTGAAATGTCGATGTTACTGTCATCCCAGTATAATAGCAAAACAGTTTTTAACAAAACATCGAATCGAGAGTGTCATGACAAGCTAAAACTGCATCTTATGTGCTTTCATGCAGTCAGCACGCCTAGGAAAACGACGGCATTGATCAATGAGCACTCCTTGACCGTGTAAACGTGTGCCTCTGACTCAGTCACGATTAATGCGTCAGTGTGACAGTCTGTCACCTGAAGAATTTACAGTATCGCAACCTTCGTTTCTAGTACGTCTCGGCGTCTAAAACTAGTTCCGCAACTTAGACACTGCGGTATGGTCTCGGCTTTCACTGAGCAGGCGGCAGGGCCGTGATATGCAATGCAAACCTGCGCGCAGCAGGAGGGAAAATTCGGTGTTCCCTAGGCCATACGAGAGGACTGGTGTGATTCCCACTGAGGTTATTGTAGAGGAGCCCGCGAAAATGAGAAGTGCGGATAGATAGGTGATTGAAGAGAGGTGCACCTTGAGCAGGACGAAAAATACTCGAGATGTGATTCTTCTCAACTATGAAAGAGATGAAGTACAGTTCACTTGGACAAGTACAAACCAGTACACCTACAAGCTAATACAAACCAGCTCGTTTGAGATGGCAATTAATAAGACAATAGTAGCAATCCACATTTGAGGCTGAACATGGTCGTAATTGTGTTTCAGGGGAACATGGGCTGCTGCATGAGACCTTCCGTCTCTGGAAGTCCCAGCATGATGTTGAGATTCTGAAGAGCTTGGCCAGACGCTCCCTTCACCAGATTGTCAATCTACATAGCAAGCAAACAAGGGAAGAAAATAATGAAAACTGCAAGCATGGAAGACTGATGTGCAGCAACGGAACACAATCAAAACGACAACCAAAAAAAAAAAATGTTTTTTAACCTTCTAAAGATATCAGCACAGTCTATGCTAACAACACTTACAACAGAGGTGATGATTGCACGGCCGGGAATGCGATCCGAGAAGACATTGACGAGGCAGTAGTTGGAGCCCCTCACATGGCGTGTGTGCGGCACAATCCCCTTGGGCAGCACCACCACGAACTCCTCATCCTGGATAGAATGTGAGCAAGCAGGGACAAGGGGTAACAAAAAGGAGTTGCATGGTTAGGGGGAAGACATTGACGAGGCAGCCCCTCACAAGCCCACACGGTGCGGCACAATCCCCTTGGGAAGCACCACCACAAACTCCTCATCCTGGATCGTCCACCGTGCAACGAACAAGACCAGGCAACAACAATAAGGAGGAGGATTTGCATGGTTGTAGGGATCATTATTTAGGAACCTCAGTGCAGCACAATCCCCTTGGGCAGCACCACCACAAACTCCTCATCTTGGATCATTCATGTCCATGCAGGAAGCATGCACAATGCACAGCAGATTGGAGGAGATAAATGGTTGTATTCATTAAAACTTGGGGCCTGGAGAATTATGGAGTGAAAAAACACACATTCATTTTTTTACTGTACATGGTTGACAGCATGCCGCCTGACGGGGATGGGAACTCACCTGGTATCTGCTGGTCAGGTGTTCTCTCAGGTCGTCCACTGTTGCCCCAGGTGCCATTTGGACATAGATGGTTGACAGCATGCCACGTGACTGGGAGCACAGGACGGAGAGGTTGTGGAGGGGAAGGGGAGGAAAAATGACGAGGTGAGCGATTCTTGAAGGGAAAAAAAATTGGGTGGGTGGGTGGGGGGAGGGATAGGGAAGGGGGAGAGGAAGAAGGGGGAGGAAAGTGGGGCAAAGATGAGAATGAGAAGAATGAGGACTGATAGACGGCCGCGAGAGCCGTTACAAAACAGCATAGAAGTGAGAACGATGGACAGAACAAGATGCGGTGCAAGAGAGTGTTGTTATATTGGGGTTGCCATGAGGGGGTCGTCATCATTACCATGGGCATAAGGTGAGGAGTGAAGCTGACAGTCACATCTGCTCCCCCGGCAAACTCTTTCAGACCCTGCTCAATCTCAGGCACTGCCAGGCAAGGGGTAAGGAAGAGAACGCAAGTCTGTTCATAAGGTGCCTCAACATTTGCAGCAGCAGCAACAATCTCAGGCACTGCCAGGCAAGGGGGAAAGATGAGGAATGGAGGTTTTCTTAAGTTGGCCAAAACAGTTTAGTATCCACAGCCATAACAAAGCACATCGTGTCTCTGGATGGTCCTACCGTGCCTGTGGTTGGTGACTCCATAGGGATGAATGCCCTTCGCCACCTCTGTGAACAAAATGTAACACGGAAATCATGAAACGTACCGTGCCTGTGGTTCGTAACGCCGTATGCGTGAATGCCCTCCGCCACCTCAGTGTACAGGTTCGCCTCCTTGGCTCCCCGGCCTGCTCCACTCACTCCTGACTTTGCGTCAATGATAATGCCGTCCGGCAGAATGAGCTTCGACTGAAAGAAAGGACAAGAGGTGGGAGAGAGGAGGGAATGGGAGGTGGGAAGGGTTCAGTCATGATGCTCTCCTTGGATCCGCGCCCTGCCCCACTCACTCCTGACTTTGCGTCAATGATAATGCCGTCCGGCAGAATGAGCTTCGACTGAAAGAAAGGACAAGAGGTGGGAGAGAGGAGGGAATGGGAGGTGGGAAGGGTTCAGTCATGATGCTCTCCTTGGCTCCGCGCCCTGCCCCACTCACTCCTGACTTTGCGTCAATGATAATGCCGTCCGGCAGAATGAGCTTCGACTGAAAGAAAGGACAAGAGGTGGGAGAGAGGAGGGAATGGGAGGTGGGAAGGGTTCAGTTATGATGCTCTCCTTGGATCCGCGCCCTGCCCCACTCACTCCCGACTTTGCGTCGATAATAATGCCATCTGGCAGAATGAGCTTGGACTGGGGAAGAAGTGGAGGAGGGGAGAAGGTAAGGGATGCGGGAAAGGAGGGGGCAATGAGACTACACAGGAGAATGTGAGGTCAGAGAGGATAAAGATGTCATTTGTGAAAGTGCCCTGCTCCGCTCGGCTCCTGAGTTGGTGTCAATAGGCATGAGAAGCAGGAGGAATGGACACCTATCCACGGAGATGACATGGAGCATGAGGGTAAAGCAGGTATCACAAACATACCTGATGTTAAGGCAATGTGTACCTGAGGCATCAAGCATGCGACAGCAGCGGGAATGGGGCATGCACGGAACAGTTGGGGCAATACCTGAAGAAGCGGGATGAGCGGCAGCTGGACTGACGTGGGATAGCATCCTGGATTGGCCACCTGGGAGAAAGGCGAGCAAAGAAATAATGGGGAGGTGAAAAGAGAGAATGGAGAGGCGAAAAGAGAGAATGGAGGGGAGAAAAGAGAGAGTGGAGGGGCGAAAAGAGAGAGTGGAGAGGCGAAAAGAGAGAATGGAGAGGACGACAAAACAAAAGGTTCAGAGGTGAACACAGAAAGGACGAAAAGACAGTGCTGCTCACCAGGCGAGCGGCCTTCACTGCGTCTCTGTAGATCTCAGTCAACCCATACACGGCCTCTTCCTGGTGAGAGGAAACACACCCGCACACGCGCGGGTGCACGCACACACTCACACACACACACACACCCCCACCCACCAGCAACAGGAGGAAGTGAAATACAGAGAGAGATGGGACGGTAAGGGTAGGTTAGTGGGAATGGAGCATACTCGTGAAGATGTGTTCTCATCCCTTCTAAAAGTTCTGTCAAGTCAATCCCACGCAGTTCACCCCTCACCTGCAGCTTGGGCGCCCTGTGCTCGCCCCCGTAAGACTGCGCATACTCGTTCACGTCCCTTTAGCAATCCTACGAATCCTCAAAAGTAAATCAAGCACAACCCGCCCCCCTCACCTGCAGCTTGGGCGCCCTGTGCTCGCCCCCATACCACTGTGCATACTCGTTCACGTCCCTCAGCCGGAAATCCTGCACACATTGCCACGTGGCACCAATGGCGGCAAGGAACGTTGGGTAACAGCATGTATAAGAGTGTCAGGACAGAATGCTGCTTAAGATCACCAAGAGAAAGAACACAAGCATCGATCAGAGCTAAAAAAGATAAGATTTCTGGAAGAACCACTCACAGCAGACAGGTCCACAATCTTCAGGAGCTCAGGCAGAGCTGCAATGATTTCCTGCCAAGCCAACAGAGACAGACGAAGGCATTATGATAAACAACTCTCACTTGGATGATAACAGGCCTTCTTGAATTTACGCCATCCAACGCCCTCAATACACTAAACGTGTGAACAGAGTGTTCTGAGATAGCCGAGACACACTCGGGCGGCCAACTGAGGCACGCACACCTGGAAATCCACCTGAGGCAAACCTTGCCCACCCGAGGCACACCTGGATAGCCATCTGAGGCTCACCTGAGTGGTGCCGTGGGGCAGGCAGCAGAAGACAGCGTCCACCTGGGAGAAATCCGCATCTTTCACGGCGACCATGTTGGGCAGATCGACCTGGAGGCAGGGAGGCATGGAGGCATGGAGGGGGAGAGGGAAGGAAGTGAGGGAGTAGCGATGCCATACAAGCAACATGAACCGTGCCACGCGAGGTTCATAACAGTCCGCCTGCATGAAACCCGCGTCGGCCACGCCCGCTATCTTGGGGAAAGCACAAGGAGGTGGGGTGGGAGGGGGGTGGTAAAGAGGGAGGGAAAGAGGAAGCAGGAAGAGGATTTTGAGTGTGGAAAGACATACACTGAACAATAATTTGTTGGCAAGGAGTTCATACTTCCACCAGGAGAACCTGGTGGTCGCTCTTCACATTGCTCTTTCTTTCCAACGGGTCTGACACAATCCAGCAGGAGGACCTGCCTCGCCACGCTTGAGAACATTCCAGAGCACAAGGCCTTGGAAGATTCTCTCGCACGTGGCAGATTCTTTTGCATGCAACAGCGGCTGCCTCAAAATCCTTATGACCTTACATAAAAAATAAACGCCAGCTTGTACTATTGTACCTGGGAGATGAGGTGAGGGAAGACGGAGGAGAGAGGCAACCCGGCCTTGCGATCCGCCGTCATGAGAGTGACTTGCAGTGAGGGATGCACTGCCAGCAGACGAACGATCTGGAGGAAAAATGCATGGGGGGAACAGAGGGAGGGAGAAACAGAGGACGAGACAATTAGCATGGCGACACGGCTTCAGCATGGTGCAGTGACGGATGCACGGCTAGCAGACGAACGATTTAAAGGACGAAAGCACGAGGAGATTAGAGCGAGGAACAGAGGACGGGATGATTGGCATTGCGATCAGTGTCATCATGAGAGTGCCTTGCAGCTACGGATGCACGGCCAGCTGACGAACGATCAGGAGGAACAGGGAAATAGGGGAACAGAGGAACAGAAGAGCAGCCAGCAATGTGATATCAGAGGACATTTTCCAACGTTAGGTGAAGAATGAGTGGCATTGGAGGCACAAAAAGGTGAATTTGAACCTATCCAGCGAATTCAAATGCTACCAGAACAGAACATGCTACTGACTTGCAACTAAATCTCTTTTCAGCATTTCTAAGCGTCTAAATCCTTGTCAATGCAGACGGTAAAGGTGTCCGCTTGCTGAAATTTCTTTAAAATATATGTCGCTAAGAGAGTTGACGAGCCTGAGCTATCATCTCATTACACACGAACGTGCATGCTCACCTCAGCGCCAGTGTATCCGCTTGCTCCGAGCACTCCGACTCGTGCGACGTCGCCCTTCTTCGCAGACGCCTTCTGTGCGACAGCTGCCGGCGCTGCCGTTGCCTCCACCACTGGCATCGGCCGTCGCAGCTGCGTAGACGACGCGTTCGACGAGAGCGCTGAGAGCTTCTGGCCGCTGAGCTGATTCGCGGCGAAGCCGACGCATGATGCGGACTGAAAGGAACGAATACGAATTAGGTGATAAGGATGTGTTTATTCTTCGTAGACGGTATATATTTCCGAGCATCCTAACGGGGTAATTGCAGAAAATCTACTACATACCTGAAGAAACGCTGCCATGGAGGCTGGCTTAGGAACTGAACGAGAACAGAAAATAAGCCTTCCTCTCTAACTCCAGAGGAAAGGGAACGCAGCTTGTTGATGAGAGGCGAACGAAAGTAATAGATTCGCCTCTGATGTAGCTGCTAAGAACAAAACTCCAGCTGCTAGTTACAGCTGATCTCTAGGCTCTAACAATTTCCAGGCTGAAATTTTCGCTGGGCTGGAGAATCTCGACAAGCCCTCCACTCCAGAAAGGAAAACAGAAATCTCTGGTTACCGCATCCAAGCCCGTACTGAGCAGGTTTCTGGGTTATACGATTCAAGATTGGGTGAACCGCCAATGTTGACGAAAGACACGACTGATGCGAAGCTTGAAGTTCAGTTTTGTGCGAGAACCGAGCGAAGTCGCAATATCGTGCGCCCAGCCTCCATAGTGTGTGGTTGCGCCTCTGACGGTTTTATTGGCCAATGGGCATCCACGGATGGCCAAAGAGCAGTCTTCCTCCAACCCCCATCCACTGCTGACGACGCAACATTGCCGCACTCCAGGTATCTGGGAGATGGGATCGCCACGATTGGTGTAACCAAACTCGCACCGATTGGTGGGAGAAAATTCTCTTTAAGAAATACTTCGCTGTTACTAATCCAGTTTACTCGCCTTACTTCTGTTTATGTTTCATGTCCTCAAACCATATTCTGCAACGAGTTTCACCCCGCCCCTGCTCGCACTTGTCGTTTGGGAATTTCAACGATGGTGACAGCTGCGTGAGGGCTAATTCTTTGTTCAAGCTTGCTAGGAGCACGCGTAGCGCGGTAACGTCAAGACGAGACTTGTCTATCAAATCTATCCAACAAATGCGACGGCGAGCTGTCAATTCCGCCGGCACTCCAGTTGGAACGTCACTATCGAGAAGTAGCTATCAGCATGCTGAGTAGAAGCCAGCTTCAGTATGATCCTAGCGCAGCTTCGGAAGATTCCACTCGGGAGATGTGGAACCGACGCAGCGACGCTGTATTTGCAAGCCTTTCAGTCAAAACGAAACAACAAAACGGAAATGAAGCTCCTGACGAGTACCTTTTGTGCTTAACGGAGTCGGAAATCCCGTCTTTTGGGGAGGAGTCGAGAAGCCAGCTTTCATCAGGGCTTCGACACACGACACTGCTAGTGGTTCGTGATCGGGCTCCGATCCTGCCATGTTCTGGAAACTGCGGCTCTTAAAGCAGCAACGCTTGAGGACTTTTTAGCAGCCGCTAGGACCTCACTATTCGCTCACCCACTCTCTAAAGCTCACTATTCAGTTAGCAGCCGCCAGGAAATCCTCGTCGATTCACATTGATAGCGGTGCTGCGCCACAAAATGCCTCCTCGGGACACAACAGCCCCAGCGACCCCTTCCGCAATCTCGGAAATCAGAGGCTCAAAAGCCGTGGAGCGCTGCTCCCCGCTTCAAATTGCTCACGCCATACTGAAGGTATGTTTCTGTCGTGATAAGGAAATCCTACCATATCCTGCATTATGTGAATTTTACGCTCAAAATATTATGGATTCGAAGGAAGTTGTAACAACCCCAACTGTATGTGCAGGAGCATAACCTTCCACATGGCCTGCTGCCTATGGAGAGCCTGGCGGACATCTCCTTCAATTCGTCTGACGGGAAATTCGTTGCAACTCAGGGAAAAGATGAGTGCATGGCGGAATTCGGGGGACATTACATCAAGTTTGACAGAGTCATATCTGGGGATCTCTGTCAAAACGGAATATTCAACCTCAAGGTGCGTATCATACATGATACCACAGCTGCTGCATCGTTCCAGGGCCCATGTCTCATGCTGTATGCATTGAATTATGCAGGGAATCAGAGTCAAACGCTTCCTCATGTGGTTGCCCATCGGCAGTGTGAGAACAGACCCTCCTCCTGGTAAAAACATTCACTTCCAGGTTGGACCCTTCACAGCGTCCCTCCCTGCGAAAGAGCTGTGGGAATACAAATTCTGGGCACCGTCCTTCAATAAAGCTCCTGAGCCACCCAGCCCTTCTCGGTGCCCGCCTCCTGTTCTTCACCTTCCACCACTGGCTACCCGATTCCATTCAGCCACTGCTTTGTATAGTCCACGTTCGCCTAGTGTCAAGGCTACATCAAGTGGATCAACAGTGATAGAAAGGGCATGAGAATTAGCTTGGCTACATCTGACCGTTATGTTTCTCTCTTTTTTAGCCTTAGCCAGTGCTTATGTGCATTGCCTTCCCCAACCTGATCGCTGAATATGTGCCCACTTTTTTTCTAAATATGGAACTTGGATGTGGAGGGAGTTTTCTTTTCACGATAGAAGTGGAAAGACTGGAAGAGACGGCTTTTATGTAAAGGAAGTCAGCGGAGTGTTCATGCTAACACTGGTGGACGGTGTATTACCGATTGGATAGCTTTACAAAGTGCCCAGATGATTACAGTTGCTGTGGTCAAACCGTCTCCATCTAAAATTTCATTTGTGTATTGAATATTGAGTTTTTTCTGCTATTTATTATGTATTGTGTTTGTGAGGCCCTTTGTCGAGTCACAGCCGAAACCAACGAGCTTACGACATGCTGCCACAGGTCGCGTCACGTTCAGCACGACGAAAACTAGCTAGTTTGTTTGGTACCAAACTGACAGCTCAGCTTCGGTACAAAGCCTTAACCAGAGCCTCTGCAAAGCCCAACTAGCTCCGCAAGTTCCATACCTCCCTTACCCAAGCACCACCAGCCACACAGGCTAAACGGTCGGTGTCCATTACGCTGTAACGTCAGGTCAGGCACACATCAAGCCTATTCCGTGCTAGGTTAGCGCTTTGCCAGCACAGCATGAACCTGGCCCGTGAACCCAACCTTGATCAGTCAACGAAACTTTGCACGTTCCTCCCACAAGGGACACCCGATTGGACCGACAGGTTCTTCATCAAAGGGGAAACAGCAACATCCAGCTGGCGTCATCCACGCGCAAAGGAAATTTCGTTTCCGTTGAATTTGCGGCACATGCGACCAGGTTCAAGAATTGGTACAAAAGCTGCGCGACGACAATGACCAATGACAGGCGGCCAGTCTGATCACCGCTCGTCGCATCGTTTTGCCCACACGATTACGACCAGTCACGCTCTCCTAGTTCCCCCTCGCAGCGCGGTTCGCGATTCGAACCTGACAGATTGATGATTTCTCCCGTGGGCCATTTGTGTGGTTCGGCGACGGCGTGTGTCGCACGCACTGTGAGATGAAATGGTGGTGGGTGTCGCACGCCCGCCCACATGTCGCTGGCGGTGGAGGGGACCTTCCCAAAATCCCTTAGTGCCACAGCTGTTGCTGCTGCTGGGTCTACGTTCCTATCCACCTGCAGAATTTGGTCCGTCATAACATAAATACAGCTACCGCCATACTCGACAGATCCATCAAGGAAGGCTGCGTGCATTCCATTCAACGTTTACAACCTACCCAACATACTCCCGCCCTCGCCATCGCCATTGCCATTGCATCAAGGAAGGTCGCGTACAAATTGCCGCGGTTTCGGTCGCAACCTACCCAACATACTCCCGCCCTCGCCATTGCCGTTCCAATCGCCACTACCATCCGAGCCAGCAATTTCATCCCACGAACTACGAGTCGTCGACCCCGTCTGCCTTTTTGCCCGCAGAAGCAGCACTAGCACAAACACAAGCTCGTCCCACCGTCAACGGATTCTGTTCCGCTGCTATCAACGCTTCTACCAATCATGGCGATGACTCACCGCGTCGCACGCGCCTCCTCGACGAGACCTACCTCTCCTCTCCTCTTATCAACCGCCATCGTATGTGGTCTCATACTTCTCGCGGTCGCGCCGCTCGCGAACGCGTCGCGGCTAACTCCCAACGGCACGGTCGCCGCGATGGGGCGATCAGCGGGATGGCGGCGCAGTTTGTTTTTCCTGCCGTTCGGCCGGTACATGTGCGGCAAGTCCAAGCTGAAGGGTTTTACCTCGATGGTGAAACTCCAGTACGGGTACGTCGGTTTCTTAGTCGGTTTTTGGTGTAGACTCAACGTTCGGTTCATGTGCGATAAGTCCAAGCTGAAGGGTTATACCTCGATGATAAAGCTCCAGTATGGACACGTGGATTTTAGAGGCGATGCAAAAATCGGTTCATGTGCTTTAGGTCCGGGCTGAAGCGTTATACCTCGATGATAATGCTCCAGTACTGGTACGCGACAATGCAGGCCGCGACTTCGATAATGCAGGCCGATGTTAGGCATCCTATTTTCTTTCCTGACTTCCTTACTTTCTTCCCACCCCGAATCACCATCGACGCCCATCCCAACGTCGTCTCGAGTCGTTCCAACGTTCCCCTTTCCGCCATGTGGATCTAAACTCCCCTTCTCCGTTCATCCCCTTTCATCTCCGCTCATCCCCGTTACAGGCTCCCTCTGCACTGGAAGGCCACCAAGGGCAAAACCTCCACTTTGCCACCCAGCTCATCTCCGCTCATCGCCGCAATGCGCGTCTGAACTCGCTTCCTTATCCGCGCCCATCCCCGTTACAGGCTCTCTCTGCACTGGAAGGCCACCAAGGCCAAGCACATCCATTTCGCCATCCAAGCGCACCCGGGATCCGCGGCGCACAAGGCGGGCTGGTTCGCCGTCGGGTGGTCGCCCAGCGGCGACATGGGCGGCAGCAACGTGATCGCGTACGAGACAGGCACGGGCACCGCGTCGCCGTACGATCTACAGGGCCAATCCGCCGCCGTCGCCGCCACGTCGTGGGCGCCCGGGTCGCTGGATGTTTCTACGGGCAAGAAGGGCGGCATTATCGTCAAGTGCGTTGCTCGTCCCGACCCGTCTAATGCTTTTAGAAAAGCAGTTTTTCGACTGCTACCACCCTTTCCAAATCTCCAGCACTTACCCTCCTCCCTCTGCCCCCTCCCCCATCTTTCATTCCATTCCGCTGGCTCATCCCTCTTGCTTTCCTATCACCCTTCTCTGTACAATTCGCCGCACGTTCTGCTCATTCCTTATCTACAGCAAGTTTCTCTTCCGGCTGACTAGTTTCTTCCTTGTCACTCACTGGCTAGACTTGCGACGGCTCAGCTGTGACCCACATCAGCTCGGGCACCCAGAACATGCCTGCCCCACTTTCCCGTGAGCCCAACATGCCCCGGTCTCTCTGCCCCCTCTCATCGCTTGCCCTTTCTTGCGTCCAGGTTCACTCGCTCGGCCAGCGATGGATCATCCGTGAAGGTGCACAACAATGGGGGAGCCAACATTGTGTTTGCATACGGCCCTGACTCCAACGTCGCCCTGCACACCGATGCGTAAGTGCCACACAGCACACAGTGCCCCAACTCTTCTCTTTCATCCCCATGCACTGCACACAGCACCGTGTGTTTGCATACGGCCCTGACTCCAACGTCGCCCTGCACACCGATGCATAAATGTCATGCAATGACTGGCTCTGCTTGTTCTGCCTACTACCATCCAGTCCTGAGTGATTCAAGCTTTGGACTTGTACATTTTTCTGACACAAGTTTCTTGTTCTTGTGTTGCTACTGTGTGCGTTGTTTTGTTTTGCAGGGAGCACTCTGTGGCTGACTTCTCCTGTGGCTGCGGGTTTCTCAGGAACGGCTGCTGAGGTCCAGCCAAACACAATGAATGTGTGTTCCTACACCTCTTATCAGACACACCTCTTATCAGAATCGCATGGTTCGACATGCTTCTGTGCGGTTTGATATGTGTGCTTCAGTGCAGTGGCACAAGTCTGAATAGAGGTCTGTCTGACAAGAGGCTGTAGGAACACGCCTGTAGAATCATTTAACTGGCACTTAGTTGCATAAATCTGGCTGCATGACATTTGAATGTTCCACATCACTCGTGGTGGTTTAAAATCCTTCCATATATACGTGACATCTTTGCATGGTTTTATTTATTCATATAATCTTGATTGAATGGCTCGATTATACAAGCATTGTATTTGAAATAATAACTTGAGCATTTTTCCTGCTCGAACGTGGTTGCATATACATGTAGGAACGCAAGATTCCGGTGATTTCTTATCGCGGAACTGATGGATCATCTCGATGCATTTTCGTTCCTTCCCTCCCCATCTCCTATCTGCTTCCGCCTAGAAATCTCCAAGTCCAGAAAGCTTACGGTGCTGTTCGCCAGCAAATCGTATTTTGAAACGGAAATGATGGCATCGGCATCGCGACCGCATATGGAAACGGAGGTGGAACCCACCTCCGAGGTTTGGCCGTAATGCCGTTCAGGAAACTTCTGCGCCTGCGGTTGAGAAATTTCTCAACCGCGTCGGGAACCTCCATCCCCACCTTCCCTTCGATCCCTTTTGAACGGCAATGCGACGGCTGTGCCATCGCTGTGCTTTGAAAAACGCAGCATGGCGATGGCATGGCTAGGGGATGGTGTTTTGCCTGGGGACGAAGTTTCGTCCCCGCTTCCATATGCCGTCGAGGCGTTAGATTTGGTGGACAAAAGTGGGCGTTCGCCAGACGCCCACTTTGTTTGTTGGTTTGGACGGTAGGTGAGGCTCGGCACTTTTTTCACGGGCTGACCAGGCTGACGGAGGTTAACGAACTCTAACTGACGGGATCAGGAAGGCGAGACCCACCTTCCTGATCCCGTCGTTATCCCGTCGTTTTTTGCTATAATGGTGCTGGCGAACAGCCCCTACGATTCATTTCTCTCAATCAAACCCAGAACCGCATTTTTTACCTCCACTCTTCTATTGCTTGTCGTTCCTGCTAGGCCCCGTGTGCATTCTGAGACGTCGTCGCCTTCGCTTTTGTTTCCCTGCTGCGTGCGTCATCGCCAGAACTCCAGTCTATCTCGCGCATGTTTGCTTTGAAGTAGCTCTTACTCTTTGCATTCTCGCCTAACAGTATGGTCCCCGCGATCATATTTCTTGGAAGCAGATGATGAATTGTATTGGTCTCGTTCGTCGTAATGGTGGTGTCTTCACTGCCTTGCCGACAACCATACTACATCACCACCCATAGCCTGATGCTTCCATCCCTTCAAAAATCACCAAATAAGAAGTCAAGTTGTTCCATTATCCCCTCCTGCGCGTCCCTTCCGTGACATCATAGGCGGCGATCTGTTCTTATGATTCGTTTCTTTATTTTGCTCTGAAGGACACAGGAAGCGTATGATGAATTGTATTGGTCTCGTTCGACGTAATGGCAGTGTCCTCACTGCCTTGCCGACAACCATACTACATCACCACCCATAGCCTGACGCTTTCACCGTCTCAATGCCACTTGAGTATAAGGATCCAAAAAGTTGCTCCGATCTTCCCCTCGCATGATTCCTCTGTTAGGCCGATCTTAGGCAAATGATCGGGTTCCACTGAATAACGTTGGGAGCATATGATGAATTGTATTGGTCTCGTTCGACGTAATGGCAGTGTTTTCACTACCTTGCCGACAACCATACTACATCACCATCCATAGCCTGATGCTCTCAACGCTATACAACGTATATCAAGGTGGTCTCTATCATCCACGCCTATTCGATGTTAGCTTCCCGCCCATTGTGATCCGTGCTAATTTGTCCTACACGAAGTCACAGGCACAACATCAGCAATCTGTAAAATAAAAACTAATCTGCCACTCGTTCGCATCCGTTGTAGTCTAGTCGGTTAGGATACTCGGCTCTCACCCGAGAGACCCGGGTTCAAGTCCCGGCAACGGAATCTCGTTTTTGCCTGTTCAACCTCCAAATGTTCATTTTCCGCTTTTGCCCGCACGACATTCTTCCATAGCGCTTCTCACGATCGCCATACGTGTCCAGAAACGCGACGGCGTGATGCGCAAATACTGCCCTTTTTCTCCCTCTCCAGGCTGCCTTCTTCATCGCGTCCGCCCACGCTTTTGCTTATGTTAGCCCGAGTAGGCGTTCGTTTGCATCCTAAGCGTAGGCTGGAGGCAGATGACTTATGCTTGTGAAACTGTTCGACATACTGTTGTCTATCTTGCAATGGCCGGCCGACCTCTTGTTCGTGTACGATTCTAGGCCGAAAGAATGATCTTGGACGGTTTCTGTCAGACATACCCTGCAGAAACTCACATTCGGCGTCCGAAATTTCAAGCTGGCCGTTTCGGACGGTCGTTCCTTCGCCGTTACATGCGCTACGGGCTCTTTATCCCGTTAGGTTGTGAAATCGTCATCGCGATGTAGGCCCCGCGAGGCTGCTGATTTCCGAAGAAGCATGAAGTTGCGGGAAAATAAGCTGGAGCGAGATGCACACTTGAAAGAGGCATCAGCAGTGGAGGCTGATGGGCACGCCACATGCATGCCGATGTTGTAAGTGTGAATGTGCGCCAGTTAAGTCTGGTTGGGAAGTTCTGTCAGGATTTTGCGAGCTGCTGCAGCCTATCGCCCATTCAGCATTTCTTATTTTCTCAACCCAAAAAGCCTTAGTATGTTTCCTACCACTCTCTCTTACTGCCAGACCATGAAGATTGACGCAGTAGTGCGGCAAGGTGATGTGGATGTTGTAATGCTGCCACTTTGCTGATATGAGGCAGCGTCTGGTCTTTGGGTCACCAAAGTCAGATGGCGGCTGTTGCTGCAGGTCCATGTCCTATGTTGCTGAATACGATGAAATGGAATTGACTGTTGTTTAAACTTTTCACTCTCATCCACCCTTTCCCGATTCTGCCGTCTTATACCCTGTGCCCTCTCCCCACTCACTCGCACACATTTGATTGTCTGCTTGGAGGATCGGTGGATGCAGCTAAGTTGGCGCTCGTCATTGCAAAGCTTATGCAGGCTGGCTTCATCTCACTGATGGCGCAGGATGCCTTTTCAGAGCCTGGTGTGGTGGTTGGGCCTCTTGCTGCACGATGTCTAGGTGAGTGAAGCGCATTTGCTTCTAGCATCCATGACTGCTTTGAATATGGCCAGTAAAGTAGTGGATTTCTAGATTGTCAAGCATTCACATATGGAGCAGAACTTTTTTGTCATCCACATAACACAAGTTGCAATTTAGTAAGTGTTTGGTAGGCTGTAACAGTCTGCTTTGATGTGACACTCGCGATCCCGAATCCCCATCCCCCATTGTCATTTTCAGGTTTCGCGAAGTTGCGAAGCTTTCGATGGTGGTGACCCCAAATGTCGCCATCCCAAATTTCTGTCGCATCTCGGAACTCACGATCGCAAATTTCGCCGTCATGTGAGTATCGGGATTCGCGATTTTCTCTCGAACCGCGCAAGGGAGAATTCACGACATTCGAGATTGAACCTCACAACTGCACTTCCAACATTTTCGACAGAAGCAGTCACTGTCGAAACTTTTCTCCCAACAATTTTCACACAATGCCATCAGGTTATTCCTTTCATTCCCTTTCCAGCACCTTAGGCAGAATCCCGCCGTCTCTCTTACTAGCGCTGGTCAATTCGGTTATGCCCTTTTTTTTTCCCCTCTCTTACTAGCGTTGCTGGTCCCTTTTCATCACCTCCAGCAGCATCAGTCAGTTTCTCAATCCCTAGAGGATAAAAACATTACACTGATACTAGCTTGTAGGGGAAATGCTGCTAGTAATTTAGTATTCTTTCTCTCATAACCACAGACGTTGACAGAAATTACATGCACCCGTTTGTCTCGTTGCTATGGAAGGGCTATAGCTAGCAATCACCGCTCTTTACTTCCAGACATTATCCTGCACCTACCCAACTATCTTTTAAAAGCCCCTTGTGAAAGAGTCTTTCGTCGCCTCAAAACTGCTATCCTCCAGCAGCTCACCAGCAGCTTGGCTCAAACTGTTTACCAGCATAATCTTCCGCGTTCTTTGCCAACAATTCGTGCCACCAACGGTTTGACTCGAGTCACCACCAAGAAGCTGCCGTTTCTTAAATCGCAGAGAGACAGCGTCACTCAGGAAGGCCTTCACAGGATTTTCTTCCTCAGCGTTAACCTCTCCAATGCGTCCCGTCCAGTGGCCTTGCGAAGGAGGGTTTGAGTGCCATGCAGATTCGCTGGCGGGAGGGTTGGTCCAGGGTGCAGGCTCGCAGTGTGCATGGACGCCTCCTCTTGCTCGCATCAGAACACGCATTCCACAAGTCAAAGACTCTCAAACTGCAGACTCGCAAGTTCCCAGCAGCGCATCATCAGACTTTGAAGATTATAGAAGTGGCCCAGCAGACCCAGAAGACCCCCAGTCGCCTATCAGCCGCCTCTTTCTGGAAACCACTGACGCTGCTCCCAATCCCCACATGACTCACAAGAGTGCAGAAGACTCTGAAGATCTGAGTGACGCTCCAGCAGTCTCAGAAGATCCACATGGCCCAAGCACTGGCACTGCCCCATCAGACGCAGAAGACCTCCAGCCCGTGTCGCCTATCAGCCGACTTTTCCTCGACCCTGCTCTGAGCACGGTCATTCTGATGGCCATGGAGTTTGACGGGAGCAGTGCGATGGGAGTGCAGGAGCTGACTGGCTTGGTGCGCAACCTGCTGTCCTCTCAGCCGCGCTTCACCAGCCGCATCGTGAGTACACTTGCGATTAGCCAAAGGCCCCGTGTCATGCTGTGATTGCTGGCAGCTCTGTCTCTTTCTTCCTGGACCCTGCTCTGAGCACGGTCATCCTGATGGCCATGGAGTTTGAGGAGGGGAGCAGCATGGGAGCTCACTGGCCTGGTTCGAGATCTTCTGTTGTCCTAGCCGCGCTTCACCAGCCGCATCGTGAGTCGATCTCAGTCCCATGATGTCAAGCGTTAAGCTGAGTCCGATAGCATGCTTTGCTTTCTCTCTCTTCCTCGACCCTGCTCTGAGCACGGTCATTCTGATGGCCATGAAGTTTGAGGGCAGCAGCATGGGAGTGAAGGAGCTCACTGGCCTGGTTCGAGATCTTCTGTTGTCCTAGCCACGCTTCACCAGCCGCATCGTGAGTGGATCTCAGTCCCATGTTATACGTCCCTGCTTACTCATCAGTTGTCTCTCTCCATCTCTCTCTCTTCCACCCTGCCCTGAGCACGGTCATCCTCATGGGCATGGAGTTTGACGGGAGCAGAACGATGACGGGAGTGCAGGAGCTCACTGGCTTAGTGCGGTCACATCGTGAGCTCACTGGCTTAGTGCGGTCACATCGTGAGCTCACTGGCTTAGTGCGGTCACATCGTGAGCTCACTGGCTTAGTGCGGTCACATCGTGAGCTCACTGGCTTAGTGCGGTCTCATCGTGAGCTCACTGGCTTAGTGCGGTCACATCGTGAGCTCACTGGCTTAGTGCGGTCACATCGTGAGCTCACTGGCTTAGTGCGGTCACATCGTGAGCTCACTGGCTTAGTGCGGTCACATCGTGAGCTCACTGGCTTAGTGCGGTCACATCGTGAGCTCACTGGCTTAGTGCGGTCACATCGTGAGCTCACTGGCTTAGTGCGGTCACATCGTGAGCTCACTGGCTTAGTGCGGTCACATCGTGAGCTCACTGGCTTAGTGCGGTCACATCGTGAGCTCACTGGCTTAGTGCGGTCACATCGTGAGCTCACTGGCTTAGTGCGGTCACATCGTGAGCTCACTGGCTTAGTGCGGTCACATCGTGAGCTCACTAGGAGCTGTCCTCCCAGCCCCGCTTCACCAGCCACATCGTGAGTTCAAGGCAGCCCTCCCGCGTGGTGCAGGCGCCATTACCCTCTATTGGCCTGTATTCACCATCAGGAGTGCTGGAGTTGGTGGCAAGAACCCATGTGGGTGCCTGCCCACGTGCACTGGCCCTCCCACGTGGTGCAGGAGCCTGCTTGCCCATCGGACTTGTCTTCTCTCTCTTGCCTCTGTTTACCCTCTATCTGCATATAATCACCACCAGGAGCACCAGAGTTGGTGGCGTGTGCCTGTATGGGTGCCTACCCACGTGCACTGGCTTTCCCACGTGGTGCAGGAGCCTTCCCTCTGTCTCCCTGACTCGTTTGTTCTTGATTGTCCCCCATCTACCTTCTATCTGCCTTTACCAGGAGCACCGGGGCTGGTGGCGTGTGCCTGTATGGGTGCCTACCCACGTGCACTGGCCTTCCCACGTGGTGCAGGAGCCTTCCCTCTGCGCCTCCTGCAGCAGCACGGATGAATCTCAGCCGTCCATGTTTCATGATCAGCGCTCAGCAGAAGATCCTCGTTATAGTGTGCCTCGCTGCAGTGTGGAGAGCCACGTGGTGCGGCTGCAGACTCTCCCGCTGTTCAATTTCAACCAGCCGCTGTGGCAAGTGCACCTGCTGCCCACCTGCACGCACATCCATCGCCCCACTGCTGTGTTCCGGTGAGCTCCCTATCTTGCTCACTTTTCAGTTGAATCTCATCAAGTCCTTGTGTCCCTCTTATAGCGAGTGCACCTGCTGCCCACCTGCACGCACATCCATCGCCCCACTGCTGTGTTCCAATGAGCTCCCTATCTTGCTCACTTTTCAGTTGAATCTCATCAAGTCCTTGTGTCCCTCTTATAGCGTGTGCACCTGCTGCCCACCTGCACGCACATCCATCGCCCCACTGCTGTGTTCCGGTGAGCTCCCTATCTTGCTCACTTTTCAGTTGAATCTCATCAAGTCCTTGTGTCCCTCTTATAGCGAGTGCACCTGCTGCCCACCTGCACGCACATCCATCGCCCCACTGCTGTGTTCCAATGAGCTCCCTATCTTGCTCACTTTTCAGTTGAATCTCATCAAGTCCTTGTGTCCCTCTTATAGCGTGTGCACCTGCTGCCCACCTGCACGCACATCCATCGCCCCACTGCTGTGTTCCGGTGAGCTCCCTTTCTTGCTCACTTTTCAGTTGAATCTCATCAAGTCCTTGTGTCCCTCTTATAGCGAGTGCACCTGCTGCCCACCTGCACGCACATCCATCGCCCCACTGCTGTGTTCCAATGAGCTCCCTATCTTGCTCACTTTTCAGTTGAATCTCATCAAGTCCTTGTCTCCCTCTTATAGCGAGTGCACCTGCTGCCCACCTGCACGCACATCCATCGCCCCACTGCTGTGTTCCAATGAGCTCCCTATCTTGCTCACTTTTCAGTTGAATCTCATCAAGTCCTTGTGTCCCTCTTATAGCGAGTGCACCTGCTGCCCACCTGCACGCACATCCATCGCCCCACTGCTGTGTTCCAATGAGCTCCCTATCTTGTTCACTTTTCAGTTGAATCTCATCAAGTCCTTGTGTCCCTCTTATAGCGAGTGCACCTGCTGCCCACCTGCACGCACATCCATCGCCCCACTGCTGTGTTCCGGTGAGCTCCCTATCTTGCTCACTTTTCAGTTGAATCTCATCAAGTCCTTGTGTCCCTCTTATAGCGAGTGCACCTGCTGCCCACCTGCACGCACATCCATCGCCCCACTGCTGTGTTCCAATGAGCTCCCTTTCTTGCTCACTTTTCAGTTGAATCTCATCAAGTCCTTGTGTCCCTCTTATAGCGAGTGCACCTGCTGCCCACCTGCACGCACATCCATCGCCCCACTGCTGTGTTCCAATGAGCTCCCTTTCTTGCTCACTTTTCAGTTGAATCTCATCAAGTCCTTGTGTCCCTCTTATAGCGAGTGCACCTGCTGCCCACCTGCACGCACATCCATCGCCCCACTGCTGTGTTCCAATGAGCTCCCTATCTTGCTCACTTTTCAGTTGAATCTCATCAAGTCCTTGTGTCCCTCTTATAGCGAGTGCACCTGCTGCCCACCTGCACGCACATCCATCGCCCCACTGCTGTGTTCCGGTGAGCTCCCTATCTTGCTCACTTTTCAGTTGAATCTCATCAAGTCCTTGTCTCCCTCTTATAGCGAGTGCACCTGCTGCCCACCTGCACGCACATCCATCGCCCCACTGCTGTGTTCCGGTGAGCTCCCTATCTTGCTCACTTTTCAGTTGAATCTCATCAAGTCCTTGTGTCCCTCTTATAGCGAGTGCACCTGCTGCCCACCTGCACGCACATCCATCGCCCCACTGCTGTGTTCCGGTGAGCTCCCTATCTTGCTCACTTTTCAGTTGAATCTCATCAAGTCCTTGTGTCCCTCTTATAGCGAGTGCACCTGCTGCCCACCTGCACGCACATCCATCGCCCCACTGCTGTGTTCCGGTGAGTTTGGAGTCGACTCTAAGGTCAGCCTGATTTCAACCAGCCCTTGTGGCTAACTGCTGCCTGCTGCCTAACTGCAACAAGGGTTGGTTGAAATCAGGTTGCTTAGCTGCAGACACATCCCTCACTCCACTGCTGTCTTTCGGTAAGAGAATCCCCCTACTGTCACATGCCGTTACTGTCACAGCCCCATCCCATACACATTGTCTACAGCTCTTGTAGCATGTGCACCTGCTGCTGACCAGGGTGAGCATGTGATGGGATCCTGGTCACCTGGCGCACACACCCTCGTGAGCCCATCAACTCCCCTCCACACATCCCCCCACCCACCCACCCACCCTTGCCCTCCGTTCTCCCCTCCTCTGCTCCCCTCCTTTCCAGCATTCGCCATGTCATTGGTGATGGTACCTCCCTCATGCCTCTGCCCTCCCTCCCTTCCTCCCTCCCTCCTGCTCTATCCTTCTCCCCCTGTCCCTTCCTTTATCCCTTCCCGCATCCACCACGTGATTGGCGATGGTACCTCCCCCTCTTTCTCAAGCCCTCCTTTCCCCCCTACTGTGCATGCTTCCATTGCCATCCCTTATTCCCTCCCTACTCCCCTCCCTTCCAGCATCCACCACGTGATTGGCGATGGCACCTCCCTCATGTGGCTGCTCTCCAGCCAATCCAGACCGTCCAAGCTCTTGCCGCTACCCATCGAACAATCTGGACCGTCCAAGTCAGATCGCACTGGTGATATCCCCATTGATGATGGTTCGTCCTGCAGTTCTAAGGTTTCTAACGAAGCTGGCAACATCATGGCGATTGGGGGGCCTGAAGGCAATAACGAGTCAGCTTCTGAAGGGGATGAAGTGGAGAGTGTGACGGGAAGCATGGTGGGGAGTGAATCGGCAGAAAGCAGCAGTGAGACTGCGGGAGGTCATGCGAGTGGTGCTGCTGCTGCTGGTGGTGATGGTATGGTTCGTAACTACTCTGATACCAGTGACAGGAGCAATGGGAGCAACGGGAGCAATGGGAGCAACGGGAGCAATGGGAGCAACAGGATTATCCGGTCGCATGGAGTGGAGATGATAAGGAACGGATCTGACTCTAGCAGCAGCAGCAGCGGAACCAGGAGCAGCAGCAACAGCGGCAGCAGCAGCAGCAGCAGCGGTAGCCACACCTGCAACAAAAACCCCAGGATTATGAGAGAAGATTCACAAGGAGTGAAGTTTCTCGCAGGAGCAGAAGCAGCAAAAGAAACAGGAGCAGCAGCAGAAGCAGAAGCAGAAGCAGCAGAAGAGGCAGCAGCAGGCTCTGAATCATCTCCAGCAAAAGCACATTGGGACCCTCTTACAGCATCAGTGGAGTGCGAATTTGAGAGTGAAGCTGGGAGTGTGTCTGCACCAGCACAGGAGACTGAGCCTACCGTGATACCAATCGCAACCCTCACGGCACCTGCCAATGCCACTGCTGCTGCACCTGCAACAGCAGCTGCTGCAACTACAACTGCAACTGCAGCCACTGCACCAACGAAGTCCAACACCTCCCGCTGGAGCTACATACTCCAGTGCACGCTCACAGCCTGGCACCACACCATCACCTTGTGGAGATGCACCATCGCCACTGTTGCTCACCTTATTGAATTCCTCCTAACCATCCTCTTCCTCTCAGACCACCCGTGCACGCCCGTTCGCTCCGCCATGCCGTTTTCGAGGCTGCGAAAGCAGGACCAGCGGACGCTTCCGAGAAGCTTCGCGGTGACGGAGGGGATTGAGATGGAGAGGGTGACTCGGGTTCGCAGGGCACTTGGAGCGGTGAGGTTTAATGTCATTGCGTGTGTGTTTGTGACCAAGTGTCATTTTCCATGCAAGGACAAATGTGGCTCTTTATATGTGTCATTTTCTTTCTGTCCATCTCTCTATCTGCCTTCTCCTCTCTACATATCCGCTCTCTAATCAATCCTAATCTTTCCTGCCACATCGTCCTCCCCTGTTCCATTCCTTTCGCCCCCCTCAGCCCTCACCTCCACTTTTCCCTCTCCAGATTCCCACAGTCACCCTCCCCATTCTCACAATTATATTGTGTTTCACTCCCACTCTCTGTCTTATCCCTCCCCCCATCCCTACCACACACAGACTGTGAACGACCTTATGATGGCAGTAATTGCTGAGGGCATAGAGAGTTACGTGCAAGTCAGTTGTCCTGCCTCTCATGGGTCAACCCAGCAGCACCCAGCAGTACCTTATTGTGTCTTCTCTCTAACTTCTCCCTCTCTACCCCTCACACACAGACTGTGAACGACCTTATGATGGCTGTCATTGCTGCGGGCATAGAGAGCTACGTGCAAGACCTGAGACGGCTCAAAACTCATCAGATGCAAACAGGGGAGCACAATCCCGAGTCAAGTGATCGGCGCCAAAAGTCAAGTGGATGGAGCAGCAGCAATGGTGCTATTCGGTTCAGAGCGGTGACAATGGCTGATCTGAGGAGCAGAACACGAAAGGGAACACCTGTTGTAAGTGGTACCTCTTTCCATCTCTTTCCACCCCTCATTTCCTCATTCCTCTGATCTCCTCTTTCCCATATGCCCATTATTTACCAGTTTCTGCCCTGTTAACTGCAAATCCCTCTCTTCTCTTGCCTCTTTCCCATGTGCTCCTGTTTCAGTGGGGCAATAAGCTAGGAATAAACGTCATCTCTCTCCCCATCTCACTGAATCCTCCTCCACTTCATCCCACTCCTCCTCCTACTCCAACGGCCACCTTGGAAAACCCCACGCATGCCATGTCAGCCCCACTGCCACGTGGCATCACCTCCTCCACTGCCACACCGCCAAGTGTAACAAGCAGCCACGTCATTGACATGCCGGCAGAGTCAGCACCACCGGCTGCAGAGGCAAAAGGCACATGTGGGGGCAAGGAGATGAGGAGAGTGCGGCGAGTGAGGGCAGAGTGTGGGCAGAAGAAGGTGTCCTGGGAGGCTCACTTAACCAACCTCTACGCTCGCGTGGCCCTCGCCCTGCTGGGACGAAAGGTAGGCAGGGGGGTTGGGGGTATGTGGACAGGCATTGGCAGTAATTGCCGAAGGAGTGTGGGCAGAAGAAGGTGTCCTGGGAGGCTCATCTCACCAACCTCTATGCCCGCCTGGCACTTGCACTTCTGGGACGCAAGGTAGGGGGATTTGAGGCATGGGAACGGCAATGGAAGCATAGTGGGGCATGGGGATGAGGCGAGTGAGTGAGGAGGGAGTGTGGGCAGAAGAAGGTGTCATGGGACCCATCTCACCAATCTCTATGCCTGCCTCGCACTCTCCGTGCTGGACCGCAAGGTAAGGCTAGTGGGTAATTGGTGGAAACAGGGTTGGGAGAGTACCATCCTCTGACCCCCTCTGACACACCCGCATCCTCCTAAGCTACCTCTGTTTGCCATGATCTGTTCTCTTATTTTGATATAAATCCATGTTTCCAACATGTGACATGCATTCTTTTTGTGCTTCACAACAGGTGATGGCATGGCTGTTTGCGAGGGTGTCCCAGCAAACCTCGATTACAGTCTCCAACATTGCAGGGCCGAAGGAAAAGCTGACTCTCTCCGGCCATGTTGTTTCCGCACTAACTATAACTACAGTGGGCCAACACCAGGTGCGCACACGAATAAATTTCAAGTCATGTGCGTTTGATAAGAAAATATGCCTAATTTTCTGTCTTTCCTCCTGAACATTTTTGCAGGCCATGACGTGTCACATTGAGTCATACGCTGGTTATTTGAAGATTGTTGTAAGTGCACTGGGTGACTACGTCCCTGATGCGCCTAGCATGTGTTATCATTTCATGGATGCATTCAAAAGACTTGAGAGGCAGACATTATTCTGTGATAGTCAGTAAGATGAATGTTTCTTGAGCTTTATTTGGAAGTGCAAGTACAACTGAGAAAGGTAACACAACTGCATTGTTAAACCAAATTTGACGTCATTCAGCTCCAAAAATTTCCTGGTGGGATTTGTAATATAGGGAATATCACCTGACACCAACTACAGTATATTGGAAAAGCACTGGAAAGCCAACCACGTGTCTGCCATTTGTCAGCTCGCCGCCACCCACCAGGAAAAAGCTCCCACTGGCAGCTGACAACAACCCCTGATTGGCGGGCGGCCATGCCGAGGGAGGACCTCGATTTTGGATGGTCCCTGGTGTGGCGCGGCTTTTCATTCGTTGTTATCACATTCCGCCGAAGCATTTTCGTTTCAACCCACCATAGAAATTCACTTTCCCTCAGTTTCACCCGAACGGATGTGTTTTCGTCGTCAGGCTAAAGCCCAGCGATTAGCGGTTTAGATTTGCCTCTTATTTTCTCTCCGTCAGCGCTTCTGCATGACACTCGAGATGCAATTGCGAAGCCGTGGGGGGAAGAGAGCGTGCGGCTCGGTTCCGTAGGCGATTTTCAGGCCCGTTTTCTCTTCTGTGATTGGAGGATCAGAAAAAGTAGACGCGGATTTGGAATCTGCGGGTTCGAACTTCGAGACAAGCCGCATGAAGCCTGCTGGTTTTCCTGCTTGTTACGGATCCAGGAAATCATCCAGATGTAGTTAGCAATCTGATGTTTAGCGAAGTTCACCAGAGTTTTTCACCATTGCTGACTAGAGCTGAACATGTAGCGAGAACGAGCCGTATTTGGCGGGTAGAGAAGCAGTGACTCCTCGTCGACGACCGCTGTGATATGCGTTTCGTGAATTCCACGCCCCGGTACTTGCGACTGTCACTGTCGGTACCTTTCAGCCTTTCAGATTTGTTCTTAGTTTCAGATTCACTTCTGAGGGTCGTTTGGCAGTTTCGTGAAAGGCTTCCAGAGGAGCTGAGAGGATCTCCGGGGTTATCCGGATTCAGAGGAGAATTGTACGCAAATGAGAGGATGATTACCTGAGCTGGATTTGCCGGTTCAGTCCAGACAGGCGAATTTTGTACTTCTTTTTTGGAACTGTGAACCAGGAGATATTTCGCAAGAAGCCTGTCAAGGTTCGTCGAGGGTTTCTTGGCGACCTGGCATCTTCGATCCATTGAATTCCTTGTACCTCTGCGTTCCGCTTCTGCTTTCCTCATATAATGCTTTCGTTTCTTTGCCGTTGCCATTCTCGTTTCCTGCTACAGCGTCCCAATTCCATCGCTATTGTCACACCCGTTGCCCGAATCCCTCGATCAGATGGATTTTCTGAGGGCTGGAACGCACATGATGACGTCATCGTTCCTCTACACCATCTCCTCTGGTCCCTCTTTCTCCTCCAACTGTGAGTTTCTTCGGTTTTTATTTTGTTATTATTTTTTTTTCTCTCAATAAACGTCTATCTACACAATCTCTTCTGGTCCCAATTTCTCCTCCACCTGTGAGTTCCTTATTGGAAAGTTAGTATCGTCAATTGAGAAAACACGACCCCTATTCCGAAACCGCTCGTGCTTCACGTTCCACTTAATCCTTGTTTACTGATCCTAAGCTCCCTCTCTCCCTCCGTCCGTCCCTCCGTCCTCCCTGACTCCAGTTTGGCCTTCCTTCTGCGGGCCCCACGACCCCTACTCCCAGCACTGCCTCTCCACCCCCCACCTCTCCTCCACCCCACCCAGCATCCCCCTCCTCCCATCCCATCACAACACCCTCTCCCACGCCTCCTTTTCTCCTCTATCTAGCATCATCCCTGCCACAGTCACATGGAACCAGATAGAGCGCCTAGCAGCAGAGGAAACCAGCCCAGGGTACCTCCCTCCGTGGCTGCTATTCCTCCCAGCCTCCCCGTGCCTGCTGCACGCGTCCTTCCTGCTCTTCTCAGCCTTCTTCATCATCTGCACCCTCTCTCACCTCCTCATCCTCCCCAAACCCAAACACGCACACCCCAGCCCCTCCTCTTCTTCCAGCCCCTCCTCTTCCTCCTCCGCCTCCCGCCCCTCTGCCCCGTCTGCCCCTGCCTCTCGCTCCTCCCACCCCATGGGGTCTGACCAAGATGGTGCTGCTGATACAGCAGATACCACAGGGGCTGAGACACACTGGGAAGCAGGGCCCGGGTACTGGCTCTCTCTCTTCCTCTCCCTCCTCCTCTCAGTTGCCTGGGCGCTGCTGATCCTATATGCGCTTCTCTTCATGCTGTTATATTCCGCTAGTAGCAAGCAGCATGGACCGTATCCTCATGAACTCGCATTTGCAGCCGGGCAGGTGGTAACCTGGTTACTGGCGCTGCGGGTGTTACTGCTGTACGGCAAACAGAGGGGTCAGAGGCTCGTGGGTTCTGCTAGGGTTTGGCTGTTTGCGAATGCTTGTGCTGTGCTGCTACTCTCTGCTGGTGTGGTGTTACGATTTGGTTCCCCTGGAGGGTTGAAGGCAGGAGCAGGAGAGGCAGCTGGAGAAGGGGTGCTTGTTGGAAATAGCCAAGGGAATTTTGGGGTGTGGAGCGATTTTCTGACATTGGTTACCCTTCCGGTGGCTCTCCTGTTCGGGGTGTTTGCTGTGAATGGACGGCCAGGATGGGCTCTGCCCCGCGCAGAATCTCAACCGTCGGATGTCGAAACTATAGAGGATGGGCTACGCACTCCATTGCTGATTGGTGGAGGGGCAATTAGAGAAAGCCACGTGGCAGGGAAGGAGAAAAAAAAGCATCAGAAATCAAATCTCTCTAGACCAACAGGGAATGCGTCAGGAGAAGAAGCAGAGCAGGGAGGGAAACGGCGACAGTCACACTTAGAGCAGTTGCAGGATGAAGAGGAGGAGGAGGAGCAGGAGCAGAAGAAGCAGGAGCAGGAGCCTCCTATGACTCTCTACGCCTCTGCTGATTGGCTCTCGGCTCTCACGTTTGGATGGGTCTCGCCATTCCTGGAGGCAGGTTCGGAGAAGACCGTGGCCATGGAGGACGTGCCGAGCCTACAGGCCTGCGACCGTGCCGAAGCTAATTTCCAAGCCTTTGACGCCAGCTGGGCGAGGCAGGTTGCTGCGGCCGAAGCTGCCGAAGCTGCAGCAGCAAGGGGCGGCAGCGCCACTCTCCCTTTCTCCATCAGCCCTCTCTCACTCTCCCAGCTGTTCACCTGTGAAAACCTCTGCACCGTACTCTACCGCTGCATCTCCACTCTCTCCTCCTGCCTTCACTCCCTCAAATCCTTCCTCACCTCGCTCTACCGCTCTCCGTGCACGCAGCAAGAAGACAGCAAAGACTCTGCCGCTGCAGAAAAACCCAAGGAAGAAAAAGAAGAGGAGGGGGAGCAGATACCGCCCAAGGCAACGGTAACCCGAGCTCTCTGGGAGTGCTTCTGGAGGCCGCTGGTGCTGACAGGAGTGCTGGCGCTGGGCAAGACGGGCGTGATGTATGCGGGTCCGCTGCTGCTCGCGAGCTTTGTGCAGTTTGCGGCGGGTGAGAGGGCGTTCCCAGGGGAGGGGGTGGTGCTGGTGGTGGCGCTGTTCCTGTCCAAGGTGTCTGAGATTGTCCTGGAGCACCAGTTCAACTTCAGATCTGAGGTGAGACTGTGGGAGGAGTAGAGAGAGGGGATTCGCAGGAGTGGCTGCTGGCGAGCTTTGTGCAGTTTGCAGCGGGGGAGAGGGTTTTTCCGGGGGAAGGGGTGGTGCTTGTGGTGGCTCTGTTCCTTTCCAAAGCGTCTGAGATTGTGCTGGAGCACCAGTTCAACTTCCGATCCGAGGTGAGAATAGAAATGATTTACGCGGCGTACACATGACTTGAGCATTGAGCAGGCACATTCACCTCCCTAGGCGAGGGCCTGCTGCTCATGCTGGCTCTGTTCCTGTCCAAGGCGTCTGAGATCGTGCTAGAGCACCACTTCAACTTCGGATTCGAAGTGAGGATAGAGAGGGTATGCAGGGGGTGCACACCACCACTTGAGCAGGTGGTACGCTCAGAGCCTCCTCGGGCACTCTGAGGGTTCCTGTTCAAGGTGTCTGAGATCGTGCTGAAGCACCAATTTAACTTCAGATCTGATGTGAGACCTTGAGAATAGAGAGGGCACGCAGGAGTGCTGGCTCTAAGGCGAGTGAGATCGTATTGGAACACCGATTCAACTTCCGATCCGAGATGAGACGAGGGTGAGGAGGGGGTGGTACAGGTCAAGACATCAAGGCTGCAGTGGTGAGTGCCCTCCATTGATAGGGGCTACTGCGACCGACTTCTTCTCTCATTGCCACATGCCAACCTCAAACTCGATGATCCCTGTAACTGATTCCGCCCCAGGTGCTTGGACTGGACATCAAAGCTGCACTCGTGGGCGCGCTGTATCGCAAGGGGCTACGATTGTCCAGCAAGGCGAAGCAGAGGCACACGATTGGGGAGATCGTGAATTACATGTCCACAGATGCTCAGGTGAGAGTTGGTGGAGATGGATAGAGAGGGTTGAAGAGGGACGGAAAGGGGTGAGGAGGGATGGAAGCGGCACTAGTGGGTGCGCTCTACCACAAGGGGTTGCGGCTGTCCAGCAAGGTGAAGCAGAGGCACACGATTGGGGAGATTGTGAACTATATGTTGACAGATGCTCAGGTGCGTGCGACGAGGGGTGGAGAGGGGTGATGATCATCAATTATATCAACTACAACCGGTGGTGCATGGAGGAAGAGGCGAGAGCAGGAGGGGCGGCGCCGAGGGGGCGGGCTAGCAGCTGCAGCTCTATTCGGCAAAGAGAGAGAGGGGGGGAATAGTAGAGGAGGGCGAGGGCGTGGGAGGAGTAGCAGAGGAGGGGGAGGATACGCCCTCGCCCTCCCCTGCTATTCCTCCCACGCCCTCGCCCTCCCCTACTATTCCCCCCCCCCTTCTCTCTCTGCAGAATGGTGCTGCAGCTATTGGCCCGCCCCCTCCGCCGCCCCTCCTGCTCTCGCCTCTTCCTCCATGCACCACTGGCTCACGTCTTTCACAGGATCATCAACTACATCTCCACTAATCTGCGCACCTTGCCCTGTTCAACCTGCGTTCCTCCCTCTCTAACCACACCCACCAGCGCCCAGCGGACCTCATGTGGGAGCTTCACAACATCTGGGTGCTTTGATGCCCATGAAGCTTCTATGCTGTAATCCTCTTCATCGTTCCCCACACCTTCCTTACACCTCCCCACCTCACAGCGCTTGGCAGACCTCATGTGGGAGCTTCACAACATCTGGGTGCTGCCGCTGCAGATTGTCTGTGCCCTCGTCATCCTGTTTCACGTGAGTGCCATCCCCGCTCATCCCCTTTCATCCCGGACTGGTGTCATTTGATCAATTAGAGTAGGCTCAGAGCACAACATCTGGGTGCTGCCGCTGCAGATCGTCTGTGCTCTAGTCATCCTCTTCCACGTGAGTGTCATCCCCATCCTCTCTGACTGTTTGTCATGAGATCGATGTGACTCCACTCAGAGCACAACAACTGGTTTCGCTGCAGATCGTCTGTGCTCTGGTCATCCTCTTCCACGTGAGTGTCATCCCCATCCTCTCTGACTGTTTGTCATGAGATCGATGTGACTCCACTCAGAGCACAACAACTGGTTTCGCTGCAGATCGTCTGTGCTCTAGTCATCCTCTTCCACGTGAGTGCGACTGCTATCGTTTCCTTCTCACCCTCTGATATCTACTTTCGAGGCGCCTTAAAAGTAGACTCGCCGTCTGTTTTTTTCCGCTACCTTGTGTCTCCCTCTATTAATGACCATCTCATTATGCACTTGTACTGGCAGTTTCTCCCCTCCTTCCCTCCTTCCCTCCGTCCCTCCGTCCCTCCTCCCTCCCTCCCTCCCTTCCCCCCCTCCAATGCAGGTGGGGGGCATATCCGTGCTCGCAGGACTCGCCATGATGCTGGCACACATGCTTGCCAATCTCTAACTGGCATCCGGCATCCACCGATTCATCACCGCAATCATGACAGCCAAACACGTCCCTCCTCTCTCGCCCTTCATCTCTCCCTCCCCTCCCCCAATACAGGTCGTGGGCATATCCATGCTGGCAGGTCTCGGCGTCATGCTGGCAGTGATGCTCGCCAATCTCCTAGTAGCCTCCGGAATCCACCGATTCATAACCGAAATCATGACAGCCAAGGACGCGCGCATGAAGGCCACATCCGAAGCCCTCTCCTCCATGAAAATCATCAAGCTCTACGCGTGGCAGCAGTTCTTCCAGGTCAAAATCCAGTCTCTCCGCGACTCCGAAGCCTCCTGGCTCGTCAAGTTCATGGCCTATGCAGCAGTCAACATCTTCCTCCTCTGGCTCACCCCCCTCGCGGTCTCCGTCGCAACCTTCGGCATGATGGTTGCGCTTGGAGTGCCGCTTACCCCTGCGTCGGTGTTCACTGCGATTGCGACTTTCAGGATTCTGCAGGAGCCGTTACGGTCGTTCCCGTCGGTGATTAGCGCCGTGACGCAGGCCATGGTGTCGCTGAAACGGCTTTCAAGGTTTTTGTCTGATGAGGAGTTGCAGTGGGATGCGGTGGAGAGGGTTGGAGAGGGAGGAGGGATGGGTGGAGAGGGAATGCGGGATGGTGTGAATGGTAGTGGGTATGGAGGTAATGGGGGGATCAGTCAGCAGCAGCAGGACGGGGAGGGGGAGGAGAGGGGGATGGAGAAAGGGAAGGGGGGGAAGGGGGAGCAAGAGGAAGGGAAGGGGCAGAGGAAGGAAGGAGAGGATGATGTGGTGGTGAGGATTGAGAACGGCATGTTCAGCTGGGATGCTGATCCAGAGAAGACCACGTTGACTGGCGTTGAGCTGGAGATTAGGAGGGGCATGCGTGTGGCTGTGTGTGGGACCGTGGGTGCTGGCAAGTCGTCTCTGCTGTCCTGCATTTTGGGAGAGGTTCCCAAGCTGCAAGGGAAGGTGAGCTATGTAAGCTTTGTAGATTGGGAGGATTGAGAGGATGGGGGGCGCAGCTTGTAAGTCAGGAGGGGCATGCGTGTGGCGGTGTGTGGGACAGTGGGCGCTGGCAAGTCATCCCTGCTGTCCTGCATTCTGGGAGAGGTTCCCAAGCTGCAAGGGAAGGTGAGCTGTTTCTCCTATGTGTGAGGAGACTATGTTGAGTGGCGTTGACCTGGAGATTTGCCGTGGCATGTGTGAGTCCTCCCTGCTGTCCTGCATTCTGGGGGAGGTGCCGAAGCTGCAAGGGAAGGTGATCTTCGGAGATTGAGAGGATTAGGATTGAATGGAGGGCGCTGCTAGTAAGTCATGTGTGGCATGCGTGTGGCGGTGTGTGGGACCGTGGGCGCTGGCAAGTCATCTCTGCTGTCCTGCATTTTGGGAGAGGTTCCCAAGCTGCAAGGGAAGGTGAGCTGTGGACATTGAGAGGATTGTGAGGTGAGAGAGGGTTGAGGGCACTGATTGTAAGTCAGGCGGGGCATGTGCGTGGCGGTGTGTGGCACCGTGGGCGCTGGCAAATCCTCCCTCCTGTCTTGCATTCTAGGAGAGGTTCCCAAGCTGCAAGGGAAGGTGAGATTTGGAGATCGAGAGGATGGAGGGCTCTGCTGGTAAGTCAGGCGGTGCATACGCACGCGTGTCTTTCTGTGGCACCGTGGGCGCTGGCAAGTCATCTTTGCTGTCCTGCATTCTGGGGGAGGTGCCGAAACTGCAAGGGAAGGTAGGCTTGTTTTCAGTGAGTGGTGGGGCATGCGCGTGGCGGTGTGTGGGACAGTGGGCGCTGGCAAGTCGTCTCTGCTGTCCTGATCTAGGGGAGGTGCCGAAGCTGCAAGGCAAGGTGAGCTTTTGAGATGAAGAGGATTGAGAGGATGGAGGGCGCTGCTTGTATGCCAGGAAGGGCATGCGCGAGGCAATGTGTGGGACCGTGGTAGCACTGGCATGGCAAGTCATCTCTGCTGTTGTGCATATTCAAAGAGGTGCTCAATATGCAAACTGGCACAGGAAAGGGTGAACCTTCCTCCCCCTGAAACTGTTGTGCATTCAGTGGCGTTCAGGATGCACCAATCCACGTGGATTCAGAATGGCACCATCTAGAGCAGCCATGATATCATCAGCCAATGCCCACACCCCCCATACTGGTTTTCTCCCCCATGCCCTCATTCAGGTTGTTGTGTCTGCTCCCATGGCCTACGTGCCCCAGTCCGCGTGGATCCAGAATGCCGCCATTCTGAGCAGCGGTGAATACAGTCAATACACACGCCTACCCTGCTCGTACTCCCCCTACTCTCTCTCTCTTTCCCCCCTCCTTCAGGTATTTGTAGCAGGTCCCACGGCCTACGTGCCTCAGTCAGCGTGGATTCAAAACGCCACCATCCGGGACAACATTCTGTTCGGCCAACCGCTAGACCGCGCACGCTACCACCACACGCTGCACCAGTGATGCCTCCTCACTCACTTGCGCCTCTTCCCCCATCCCTTCCTTCCCTCCTGTCCTCCTGACAGGTATTTGTAGCAGGTCCCACGGCCTACGTCCCCCAATCAGCGTGGATTCAAAACGCCACCATCCGGGACAACATTCTGTTCGGCCAGCCGCTAGACCGCGCGCGCTACCACCACACACTGCACCAGTGCTCCCTGCTCGCTCACCTGCGCCTCTTTTCCCCATCCCTCCCTTCCTTCCTGTCCCCTTAACAGGTGTTTGTAGCTGGTCCCACAGCCTATGTCCCCCAGTCAGCGTGGATTCAAAACTCCACCATCCGGGACAACATTCTGTTCGGCCAGCCGCTAGACCGCGCGCGCTACCACCACACGCTGCACCAGTGCTCCCTGCTGGCGGACCTGCGCCTGTTTCCTTTGGGGGCAGACACGCAGATCGGGGAGAGGGGGGTGAATTTGTCTGGTGGGCAGAAGCAGAGGATTCAGCTGGCGCGGGCGATGTACGCAGGGGTGGGGATGGGTGCGGAGGTGTACCTGCTGGACGATCCCTTCAGTGCTGTGGACGCTCATACGGGATCAGAGCTTTTCATGGTGAGTGGGTTGGGGGTTGTGGGGGGTTGTGGGGGGTTGTGATGGGTTCTGTGGGGTTCTGGGGGGTTCTGAGGGGTTTTGATGAGCCATTGTGGGTCAGAGCTCTTCACGGTGAATGAGTGCCACTCATTTTGCTTTATCCCTCCTCCTTTCTCCCTCCGCCGCTCATCCTTCCCTCCTCCTTCCCCTCGTCCGCCATCATACCATTCCATTGCAGGAGTATGTGCTCAAGGGTCAGGCAGGGAAAACAGTCATTCTGGTGACGCATCAAGTGGAATTTCTGCCCGTTATTGCCTGTTCCCCGTCCCTACTCCTTCTTTTACTCATCCCTTTCCCCCATGCTGCCTCTCCGTTGCAGGAATACGTGCTCAAGGGGCTGGCAGGGAAAACAGTCATTCTGGTGACACATCAAGTGGAATTTCTCCCCGCTGCTGACCTCATCCTGGTGAGTTGTTGACGTCATCCTGGAAGCATGGTACATGGTGGAAGCACACACAGACACGCTTCTTTAGAGCACTTGCACACCTGCCTTTTCCCGCCCTGGCTCTCCCCACCCTCTGCCCACGTGATAAAAGTGTTGTTTTGAGACGTCTCAAAACAGACACGCCTCTTTAGATCACTTGCACACCTGCCTTTCCCCGCCTTGTCACTTCCCACCCTCTCCCCATACGACCACGTGATGAAGGAGGGGCGAATAGTGCAGTCAGGGCCGTATGACCAGCTTTTAGCAGAGAGAACCGGCTTTTCTGCCCTCGTGCAGGGATGGATGGGTAGAGCACACACAGACACACCTCATTCTCCCTTCTCCCTTCCCCCCCCCCCCACCTCCAGGTGATGAAGGAGGGGCGCATAGTGCAGTCAGGCCGATACGACCAGCTGTTGGCAGAGGGCACGGACTTCAGTGCTCTCGTGGAGGCACATACTGATGCACTTCTTTCTCCTCCTTCCCTGTCTCTTCCCATCTTTCCTCATCCTTCCCTTCCCATGCCCAGGTGATGAAGGAGGGGCGCATAGTGCAGTCAGGTCGCTACGACCAGCTGCTGGCAGAGGGCACGGACTTCAGTGCTCTCGTGGAGGCACATACTGATGCACTGGAGAGTGTTGGGACCGCCACGGCTGCTGCTGCCACCACTGCCGCTGCTGCTGTTGCTGCTGCCGACGCAGCTGCAGCTGCTTCTCCTCCTGTCGAGTCTGTGACCTCCCCTCCTCCTGCTCCTGCTCCTGCTCCTGCTGCTACCTCACACACTGCATCCTCCACATCCTCATCCGCTTCCCTCCTCCCCAAGCAACCCACTGGTCCTATCCACAGCAACCCCCACCTCTCGCAGCTTCGGAAAGCCTCCGCGCCGAACCTGCGGAAAGGCTCGGAACCGAACCTGCTGCGCAAGGCCTCGCACTCGCAGCTTCGGAAAATGTCTGACCCTATGCTGCTGCACACAGCATCCCCAGAATCCCACCAAATTCTAGAGAACATGGAAGTGGGGGAATTAGATGGTGCCTCTGCTGGTGCTACTGGTGCTGCTGCTGGCTCTGGTGGTGCTGGGGGTGCTGGTGGTGCTTTAGGGGGGCCGGCAGGGGAAGATGGGGATGGGCAGTTGATCAGTGAGGAAGAGCGGGAGTCGGGGCGGGTTTCTTTGGCTGTATACTGGCAGTACATGACGAAAGCGATGGGCGGCTGGCACGTCCCGCTGCTGCTATTGGTCCAGCTGGCGTGGCAGGCACTGCAGATCGGATCTGACCTGTGGCTGGCCACGTACAGCTCAGCAGGGGCTAGGAACAGCTCAGCAGATGCGGGGTACACGTCAGCAGGAGATGAGTACAGCTTGGCAGGAGTTGGACTCAGCAACAATCTTCTCAGCAACTTCACCTCCTCACTCTCCTCTCCTCTCTCCTCCAATATCTCTTCCTCCTCCTTCACCCTGTTCCTCTCCTCTCTCTCCTCGCCCCTCTCGTTCCTCACCCCCTCAGCCATCACCCCTTCAGCCTTCATGAAACTATACTCGTTATTAGCTCTGGGCAGCGGCCTGTTTGTGCTGCTGCGAACAGCAGTCATATCGTGGGCGGGCGTAATGACCACCCAGGCGTTCTTTCGAAGCATGCTGCAAACCGTGTTTCGAGCGCCCATGTCCTTCTTCGATTCCACTCCTATTGGGCGAATCCTATCCCGGGTAAGACATACAGAAGCAGCCAGTGCTTTCTATTCAGGTGCCTGCTTCTTTTTCTCCTGGGGAAGCAGTGAGGTACTGCCATACGAGGCCAGTGGGGTGGGGGAGATGACCACCCAGGCGTTCTTCCGAAGCATGCTGCAAACTGTCTTCCCATCGGCCGCATCTTATCCCGGGTATGTGCTCTCACACAGTAAGGCACCCGCTGTCAGTCCATGGATACTCCACTCCCAGGGGAAGAGTACGGTACCGCTCTCACCCACCAGCCTTTCTTTTTCCGAAGCAGTGTACCTGCTGCTGGTTCTCCCAGGATAAACAGTCACATCTCGAATCGCTCCTCCCCATGCTGTTCCAGTCCAGCTGCCCGAGACCCTCGTCACCACGACTCCTCTTCTGCCCCTCCTCTACCCTGCTCTCCTTTCCCCTCCAGGCCTCCACGGATCAGAGCGCTCTCGACTTGGACCAGCCGTTTCAGTTCGTTTTGCTGCTCGCCATACTGTTCCAGCTGCTCGGCATCCTCTTTGTCACACCCTTACACCTTTCTCCCCCTGCCCATTCGCTTTGCCCCCTGTCTGTGTCCAGGCCTCAACATACCAGAGCGCCTTGGATCTGGACCTGCCATTTCAGTTCGGCTCTCTCCCCACCATGCTGTCACATCCTTCCCCCTCCTATTCCTCTTTCCCCTCGTTTCTCTCCTGTCGGTTGCCAGGCCTCCACAGACCAGAGCGCTCTCGACTTGGACCTGCCATTCGAGTTCAGTTCCCTCCTCCTTATCACTCTTTCCTTTCCCCCTCTCCCCGTTTCCAGGCCTCCACAGACCAAAGCGCCCTTGACTTGGACCTGCCATTCCAGTTCGGGTCTCTTCTCGCCATGGTGTTCCAGGTGCCCTCAATCCTCCTCGACACAACCTCCCCACTCAACCCCCTCCCCGTTTCCCCCTGTCAATCCTTCCTCCCTGTTTCCAGGCCTCCACGGACCAAAGTGCCCTTGACTTGGACCTGCCATTCGAGTTCGGGTCCCTCCTTGCCATGGTCTTTCAGCTGTTCGGGATTCTATTCGTCACATCCTACATCACGTGGCCCGTGTTTTATGCCATCATCCCTCTCACGTACCTCTACTTCTCCTTCCAGGTGAGAGTTACTCCAGGTAACACGGTAACACCTACCCCAGGCTATACCTGCCTGACCTGTATCATTGCCTCACAGTTACACCACAGCACGTGAACCCCTTCATTCACCACATGGCCCGTGTTCCTTGCCCTTGCTTCTATTTACAGCGACCATTAACTCAGCTATTCCCAGTCAAAAGGGAAATTGTCGTCATTTAGAAACCTTTCTATTCAGTGAGCTTTGATTTAGTAAGGAAATGTATACGGATGTATATGTATACATATGTGTGTGATTTTTTGTTCACTTAATCACTCTTCCCCCCCTCCTCTCAGGAGTATTATCTAATGACATCGAGGGAGCTCTCTCGTCTCAACGGGGTCACTAAGGCACCCATCATCGAGCATTTCAGCGAGTAAGGACCGGCCTCCTGGCCCTTTGAGGTGGAGGTTGTGATGCTTCAGGTTCACGACTGCTTCACACCCGGAATTTCAGGTTGTGATTGATCCGAGCGTTCACCCACCAGCCCTGATTTGCTCAAAGAAGTGCCGATAGGTACCAACAAACAACAGAGTGCCCTTTCCCCTCTCTCGCCCACACAACACCACACCCCTTTCCCCTCTCTCTTCCAGGTCTCTGTCAGGGGCAGCAATGATCAGGGTGTTTGCCCAGCAGGATCAGAAGATTGCAGAGCGGGTCGTACCAACAACCCTCTCTCTACCTCGCCTGCCTTAACCCCGTCCGTTATCCTCCCTAGCGGTTCCTGTCAGGAGCAGCAGTGATCAGGGCATTCGCCCAGCAGCCGCGATTCGCTCAGAAGAGCGCTGAGAGGGACGACACCAACAACCCTTCCTTCCTCAACCCCCCCTCCCCTCTCCCTTGCTCCTCTCAGGTCCCTGTCTGGAGCAGCCGCGATCTGCACAAAAGAGTGCAGAGCGCGTCGACACCAACAATCGCGTGGCCTTCCCCTCTTCCGTCTTTCCTCCAGTCTTCCCCTCCTCTCTCCCCCCTTAGGTCCCTGTCAGGGGCAACAGTCATTCGTGCGTTCGCCCAGCAGCCCCGATTCGCCCAGAAGAGTGCCGAGCGGGTCGACACCAACAATCAGCCCTCTCTGTTGCCTTACCCTCCCGCTCTCCCACTGCTTCTCCAGGTCCCTGTCAGGGGCAGCAGTGATCCGGGCATTCGCCCAGCAGCCCAGCGTCGATTAGAACGGTGCCAGGAGGGTCGTACCAACAATTTCCCCAAATCCTGCTTCCCTTACCCCCACCCTCTCGCCTTTCCTCTAATTCCCTCCCAAATCCCCGCATCCCTTGTTAGGTCCCTGTCAGGAGCAGCAGTGATCCGGGCATTTGCGCAACAGCCCAGATTCGCTCAGAAGAATGCAGAGCGAGTCGACACCAACAACCGAGTGGCCTTCCATTATGGCGCATGCACCGTGTGGCTGGGAGTGCACCTTGAACTGCTGGGGGCGCTGCTGTTCTGCTTCTCAGCTCTCATGCTGGTGTGGCTGCCCCCTTCAGTCATTTCCCCAGGTGAGAGCGGGCTACCACGCACAGTCACTCACTTTCTAACAACCGAGTGGCCTTCCACTACGTTGCCTGCACCGTGTGGCTGGGAGTGCATCTGGAGCTGCTGGGAGCGCTGCTGCTCTGCTTCTCAGCTCTCATGCTGGTGTGGCTGCCCCCTTCAGTCATTTCCCCAGGTGAGAGCGGGCTACCACGCACAGTCACTCACTTTCTAACAACCGAGTGGCCTTCCACTACGTTGCCTGCACCGTGTGGCTGGGAGTGCATCTGGAGCTGCTGGGGGCGCTGCTCCTCTGCTTCTCAGCTCTCATGCTGGTGTGGCTGCCTCCTTCAGTCATCTCCCCAGGTAAGCACACAGTTAATTGCTAGGATCCAGTCATTTTCCAGCAACAAACAGGCCAACAACCGCGTGGCCTTCCACACACACACACACACACACACAGACCTGTTCGGCCGGCATGTCTCTGTCTCTGTGAGAGTCTCTGTCGTACGGCCTGGCCCTCTCAAAAGGCCTCTTCTACGTTGTATGAGTGTGGTGCGCGCTTGAGAACCAGATGGACTCAGTCGAATGCATCCTCCTATCTCCCTCTCCATCTCAGTCGAATGCACATGGCACCCCTAAGGGCTTCTAACCTCCTCATTCCGCCCTCTCTGCTCCATCGTCCCCCTCTGTCCTTCCATCTCTCCTCCCTCCGCCACCACCACCACCAGGTCTGGCCGGCATGTCTCTGTCGTACGGCCTGGCTCTCTCCCAAGGCCTCTTCTACGTGGTGTGGGTGTGGTGCGCGCTTGTGAACCAAATGGTCTCAGTCGAGCGAATTCTCCTGTTCTCCCACCCCATCGTGCCATGTGCCCCCCAAAGAGCTTCCAACCTCCTCATCCCCCACTCTCCGCTCCGTCTTCCCCCTCTGTCCTTCGCTCTCTCCTCCCTCTCTCCTGCCCCCCCCCCCCCCCCCCCCGCTACCACCAGGTCTGGCTGGCATGTCCCTCTCCTATGGTCTCGCCCTCTCCCAAGGCCTATTCTACGTGGTGTGGGTGTGGTGCGCGCTTGAGAACCAGATGGTCTCAGTCGAGCGCATTCTCCAGTTCTCCCACCCCAACGTGCCCCCCGAAGCACCGCTCTCCATCCCATCCCACCGCCCTCCCTCCTCCTGGCCCAACCACGGCGCCATCACCTTCGAAAACCTCCAAATCCGGTACCGACCGGACCTCCCATTGGTTCTCAAGGGCGTGAGCTTGCAAATCAACGGTGGAGAGAAAGTCGGGGTGGTCGGGCGGACCGGCAGCGGGAAATCAACGCTCGTGGTCGCTCTGTTTCGGCTCGTCGAACCAACAGCGGGTCGGGTGGTGATAGACGGTGTGGATACCTCCAGGATCGGGTTGACGGACCTGCGGAGCAGGCTCGCGATCATACCTCAGGACCCGACCCTGTTCCAAGGCTCGGTTCGCATGAATGTGGATCCGGCGGGGGAGTATCGGGATGAGGAGATTTGGGAGGCGCTGGACAGGTGCCAACTGGGGGAGGTGGTTCGTGGCATGGACGAAAAACTTGAGGCGCAAGGTGAGGCTTTGTGATTGAATGAGGCAAAAGGTGAGAGGGGGGAAGGGTGAAGCGTGGGGTAGGTAGGGTTGCCTGGAGGAGGAGGTCTGGTTGCAACCTGCCCCCCCCTTTGAGCATCCGTTTCCCCTCTGACAACGTTCTGCATCCTGCATCTCGATTGAGGATGTACACTAACTTTATTCTCCTGCATCTGTTTCCCTGAAACAATGTTTTCCAGTGGTGGAAGGAGGGGAGAACTGGAGTGTGGGGCAGAGGCAGCTCTTCTGCCTGGGAAGGGCCCTGCTGAAGCGCACCCGCATTCTCATGCTCGATGAATTCATGGTGGAAGGAGGAAAGCATATCCGTTTTCTTCCTTCCTTTCCCCACCCTCCCTCTGCACTACACCAAACAACCCTGTCCCTCTGTTTTCCCTCCCTGTCCTGTTTGACGGTGCTCTCCAGTGGTGGAAGGAGGCGAGAATTGGAGCGTGGGACAGAGGCAGCTGTTCTGCCTGGGGAGGGCCCTGCTGAAGCGCACTCGCATTCTCGTGCTGGACGAGGCAACGGCATCCGTTGATTCGGCGACGGATGCAGTGATCCAACGGACAATAAAGGAGTGCTTTGGTGACGCCACCATCATCAGCATCGCGCATCGGATTGCAACGGTTATTGACAGCAATAAAGTGGTAGTGATGGATCAAGGTGAGCACTGTACCTTATTCGTTGTATATTCCTGAACGTATGACACACTTATAATGCATATATTGTGCATCAGATTGTCATGGTTATCACCCGCAAAGTAGTGGTGGTCATGGAGCAAGGTGCAGGACAGCCAGTGGTTGTACGTGAATTTGACATGCCATTGGTGCATTGTCTAACACATGTGGTTCATATGCGTATGTGTGCTTGTGTACTTCCTCCTCTGCCCCGTCCAGGCACTGTAGCGGAGTGTGACGAGCCGGCCAAGCTACTGGAGGATAAGACATCCATGTTCTCGCGGCTTGTAGCTGAGTACTCTGCTCGCTCTACCGAGATGGCGGATGTTGCAAGGAGCATGTCCATAGATAACCTGGAAGCTGTGGGTAGAGAATCTTTGTCATGACACACAAACTACATGGCACATAATGCTAGTGATACAATGCTAATGCATGCATTTTTTGAATAAACTGCAAGAAATATGTTTCCCGTCGAATTTTAAAGCAGGTGCCCGAAGCATTGTTTATACAACAGCCCGAGTGTACGAGTTCTGCATCTCGTCGTGTTATTATTGGGTTGTGGTTGTTGTTTTTAAGTGAAGAAAATCAACACAATTCTCATACGTACGGTGAGTCATGTGCGCAGTGAACGTACTGTCTTAGAATTACGGACGACGGATAGTCTTGCATCGAGCATCGATGCTGATGGAACGGAAACGCAATCCATTGGCGCAAGTCGTCGTGTCGAGCGTGTTTGTCACGTCATATGCAGCCAATTACGGCACAACGTGAATCTCGGGTGACCCGACCGAGTGATGGTTCGACATCGCCGAGCCAAAGATTCATTCGCCGAACCTTTCGCGAGCTCCACAATCAGATGTCACGCTCGTCGATATTGTCGAGAGTAAGAGCGAACCTACTACTGACCGTCAGATCTCACCCTCGACGGTCAATTGGGGCTGCCGCGAAGTTCGCCACACCAGGCCTACCTTCTGCTGCATGGTAGGGTGCGGGCCGTGAGGGTCTGCGTGGTGTGCATGTGGGTGGGTTATTCAAGGAGGGCGTGATTTTGGACGTTGAGCAGGGCAGTGCGCGGTTTTGTGTGGCGCAGTCAGGTGGAGGACGATAAGTACCACACCACACAAGCGGAAATCTCTTCAAAACGCCTCCTGATTCTCGCTTGTTTGCAAGCTAAGGTCCCCCAGCCCTTTTAGCCTGTCTTGGAACAGTCCCTAGTCATTTTGGACTGCTAATTTGCGCTCGCTTAGGCGGCTGAGGGGGGATTTCGTTAGGGCCGTTAGCGTGGTCGTCTTAGTTAGCCCTGTCTCCAGCTTACCTTCGGAAGCCGTTGTTTGAAGACTTCAATTTTTCCTTCTAAGCGCCATGGGTGGAGGTCAGTCGACTACTAATTTGCCACTGGTTCCATTTTTTTGCGTTTCCATTCAATTATAACCGTGCAATCATCGAGATTGTGCTCGTCAGCATCTGTTACATTTTTAGGGGTCCATTTTTGCCTACCTCTGCTTGTCGGAACTTTTTGCCTATTTCTGCTTGTTGGAACTTAATCTATGTACTTCGCGAGGCCCCTTGGGCGCTTGTCAACCTTCCGCTGATTTTTATTCCCTCCTGGGTTTTTTCTCAGGAAAATGGCCGCCGCGTGTGCGCAAGGAAGACGCGGAAGGTGAGGGAGGCGTGGAGCCGTCTTGGGAAATGGTACCGCTGTCGCCCACAGGATCCGACAGTGAACACTCGGACACGGAACGATCAGAAGACGAGGAAACAAAGCAACTGAAAGTCGTTGACACGGAACAGTCAGAAGAGAAGGACACGGAGCGACCGGAGCACGGACTACAAGTCCCGGATTCTGTTGAGATTTCAGCCGACGTATGCGCTCTCTGCGCTAGTGTGGTTGCTGACGTCGACTCTTCGCTTGCTGACGTTGAATACCCGCATGCTGACGTTGAATCCCCACCCGCTGACGTCGACTCTTTCACTGCTGACGTCAACTCCCCGCCTGTTGACGTCAACCCCCCGCCTGCTGACATCGACTCCCTTGCTGCTGACGTTGACTCTCCTCCCGCTGATGTGGAGCGCTCTGACGTGCCCGAGACTACGTCAGATGACGGCCACCAGACAGCTGAACTGATGGCCGAATTGACGGCTGACGGTCAGCAGCAGGTAGCAGAGGAGACGGCAGGTGAGGAGCAGGTGGCTGTTCCCGTAGATTGTCCAGTCGTCGTTAACGCCTCTCACGCTGCGAACGAGGGAGGCGAGGGAGGGGACGGGAGCGAGGGGATTTCAAGCGAGGGTGGCAAGGACGACAAGAGTGAAGGACGTGAGGTACGGCAGGAGGAGCAGGAGAAGGCGAAGAGCGTTCTGCTGCTGGTCGAGGCTGATCTCTCCTCTGCCCCTGCCTCTGCTACTGCCAGCAGCAACGATCAGAACCAGACGAAGCTGGCTCGGCGCTTGGCAGACGCTCTGCTGCACGCCGCAGGTGCCACCTCCTCCTCTCTGGCAGGCACAGATGCACCGCCCCTGGATGCCACCTCCCCTGCTCGTCTGCTGCTCAGGCGTGCTCTGGGAGAAGGCTCTTTGGACAAGCTGCCTGCCTGGGGGGAGTTGAGCTCATCTCTGCTGGTGGTGCCGTTTGCTCCAGGAGCAACTGATTCCCTGATGGCGGATATTCTCGCGTCTGGGCTCGAAGTACTGCCTGTTGCCACAGCTGACGTGGATAATCCGAAGGCCAGCAGCCAATCAGACGTTCCAGTGCCACCGGTGCACGTGTCAGCTGCTGTGCTTGTGCTCTCTGCTACCGACCTGAATGCACTCCGGCTGCTACTGTGTGAAGGGGAAGGGAAAAAGAACGAGGGGGAGGAGGAGGAGCAAAATCTCACTGCTGCCTCTGCTGCTGCTCTTCTGAAGAAGCTGCAGGGGCAGTTTGATCTGCTTCGTGTTTGCTTTCGTTGTAAGCCTTTGATTCCCTGGTATTTCGTCCCTGGTTTGCTGCACCTGTTCTTGTCTGCAGTAACAATCACTTTTTCCTACGGTTCTCCTCCCCTCTGCTGCTGTTCTCCTTGTCCCGTTAACCGCCCATTGCCTCTTACGTGATAGCCTCTCCCATTGTTACTAATTTCGTCTCTCCTTCGCTCCTCCCTGCCTGTCCCTCCATCCCCAATTGCCCTTTCAGACGCGCAAGGCGTTCCTATCGCTCTCCTCGACACCCACTCCCTCTCACCGGATACCCTCGCCCACTGCCACTCCTTCCTCCTCTCCTCGCTGCACCTACCCTCCTCATGGCCCATCTTCTCCATTCCCGCGCTGCTGAAACCTCCTGGCGAGCTGGATTCACCTGCACCTGTCGCCACACCTGAGTCCGAAGATTCACCTGAGAAATCACCTGAAGAATCATCTGACAGCAGCAACAGCAACACAGAGCTAGAATTAGCTTGCGCCCTCTGCCCTGCCTCTGTGGGAGCTCTGCTTGTCTCGGTAATGCACCTCTCGAGCCTTTCACTTGAGCTGAATCAACTGGGGAAGAAGAATCAAGCAGGGGCGAGTGGAGGAGCTGACACAGCCAAGTCAACCCAGTCAACTCAGTCAGAGGATACCAACAAGTGGGCGGCACTCTGGCACGCAGCAGATTCCCTCACCTCCGGCCGGCTCTCCCACACCCTCACCACTGTCACCCCACACCTGAACCACCTGCACCAGATGTACCTTCCCTTGAGGCCCCACCTCCACCAGGTAACCCTGCACCTGGACAGCCGCTTCCCCTCCCTCCGCCCGCAGATTGTCTCCCTCTACCGCAACCCACGCAAGCTGGTGCTGCCACTCTCCCCCCTCCTCCTCGCGCTCCTCCTCCTCTCGTTCCTCCTCTCGGGACTTGTCTTTTTTGTGCTTCGCTCCTGGGTGTACCACGGCGGGCCCCTGCCGTTTCCCTTGGATATCCTTCTCTCGCCGGTTTTCGATGCTGTTGCGGCTGTGTGTGGGTGTAATGCTGCTGCTGGGGGAGATGCTGCTGCTGCTGCTGGTGCTGCTGGTGCTGCTGCTTTTAGTGGTGGTTGCGGCGCTGGGCCTTATTTTGGGCCGTTCAATAACGAGTACAGGGGAGGATGGGGCAGCTGGTGGGGGTATTGGCCTTCATCCCCCCACCACCACCGGCAGCACTATTACTACCGCACTAGGTGGGCCCCGGCACGTTAGTGACTCACACTGGTATAAGGACAGGGGAGGATGGGGCAGCTGGTGGTGGTGTTGCCATCATGTTGCCGTCATGTTGCCGTCATTTTGAGGCGCCTCAAAAGTTGGCCCTCATCCTCCCATCACCAGCACCGTCCATTGGTTGTTACTAGCGCACAAGGGTTACCTGGCAGGGAGGGGAGGACATTCACAGCAGCAGTACTGTATTACTACTATCACACTAGCTGGGCCGGTCTGGAGTTGAGGTGACTTTTGTGGATACTACTGGTGCTTTTGTGTAGTACTGGTATGTTGAGGTGAGGCGATGCTTAGGACCATGTGCATGCTTGTATGTAGCATTATGCACTTCCAAAATGCTGTACATAAGTTGGAATACACTATGGATTCCAAAAAAAAGCATGCTTGTATGTAGTATCATGCACTTCCAAAATGCTGTATATAAGTTGAAATACACTGTATGGATTCCAAAAAATTGTTGAAATTCACTGTAGCATTCAGGTTTTCTCTAAACAATTGCGAACACTGCATAGCTGTTGTAACTAAAGCCCTCCAATGCAGTAGCATTTACACTAGTCCACTACCCCGGAAGGTACCTTCCTACCATCCAGCAGCAACAATACCGAGTGCCCTGACAACAGCACGATAATCAAACTCGTCAGGTCGCTTATTAAAAGCTTCTACATAGCGATAGCGAGAGTCCTCCGTGTAAAAAGAGTGTAGATCTCTTAGAAGTGTCCGCGCCTGTAACGGGGAAAGAACAAGCAGAATGGAATTCAGCAAGGGTTGTTGCCAAGCCTCGACTGTATGTGTATGCATGAACATGCGTGTGATACAGCACGTATATACAACACCTACTGTACTGACTCACCTTGTCGTCATTCAGCTTTCTTGGCAGAACCACATCACATCGGACCAAAACCACCCCTTTCTCCGCTGCTAGGTCAGGTTAGTGCGTGACTGTAAGAGCTTCAATGTTGTCCCATACACCACCTCCCGCTTCCTGTCTAGAACACCCGCTTCCGTTTCAATGTGACTGCCGTGTGTTGTGTTGACTCACCTCATCATCAATCAGCTTGCTCGGCAGAACCACGTCTCCCCAGACCAAAACCACTCTGTTCTCCGCTGCTAGGTCGGGGTAGTGCGTGACTTGACTGTAAGAGCTTCAATGTTTTCCCATAGACCACCTCCCGCTTCCTGTTTATAACACCCTAGCGTGTCGTGTTGACTCACCTCTTCATCAATCAGCTTGCTCGGCAGAACCACGTCTCCTCGGACCAGAACCACCCCTTTCTCAGCTGCTAGGTCGGGGTAGTGTGTGACTGTAAAGAATGGCGATGCGGAAGGGCCTCGGACCTTGAAGTCCTCAAGACCAGTGAAGAGCAAGTGGGGCATCTGGGCTGTGATTGTACCGAGGGGGGAACGGAAGTTGCGCAATAAGCAATGAGTGTGTGACTGTAAAGAAGAGCGCTGGAGCGAGGCCCCAAACCTTGGAAGTCCTCCAAACGGCTAAAGAGGAGGTGGGGCATCTGAGCTGTGCTTGTAACGAGGGGACAGGGGAGAAGAGTACAAGGGAAAGTTTAGGCATGACCATAATGTGCGAGTGTGTGACTGTAAAGAAGTGCGCTGCAGAGGGGTCCAGTGAAGAGCAAGTGGGGCACCTGAGGTGTGCTAGAAAAGGACGTTTCTAGTGGATGTGAGTGTAAAGAATGACATGCTGCATGTGAATGTGACTGTAAAGAAGAGGTGAGAGAGGAGCGTGAGAGGGAAAAAAAAAGGGGGACAGAAGGTTTCTGTTTGTACCTTGTGCGAGCATGGTCACGAATCCCTTGCTTCTCGCCACTGGAAGTACAAACATGGGACTGCAGTAGCCGGGGTAGGGGGAGAGGAAGATCGGGGGGGAAGGGGAGGAGAGGGGAAGAGAGGGAAGGAGAGGGGAGTAGAGAGAGGAAAGATGGGAAGAAAAGAAGGGGAGAGCAGGGTTATGATAGCATGAGCATTGTTCATGGGCAGACAGTATTCATTCCATATAAAACAAGTGTGCATACATCCGAAGGTGCATGCACCCACTCGCTTAACAGGGTGCATGTGAAGGAGCACAAGCTCTTCCCACTCGCCCCACTCGCCCCACTCGCCCCACTCGCCCCACTCGCCCCACTCGCCCCACTCGCCCCACTCGCCCCACTCGCCCCACTCGCCCCACTCGCCCCACTCGCCCCACTCGCCCCACTCGCCCCACTCACCACACCCTCGCTCGGTGCTGCAGCGTCTCAAAGGCAGCGGCAGGAATCACGGTGCTGACGTGTGTGCGACCCAGATGGTGCTGTTGGAAAACGAGATTTCGGAAAACAAGGCTGATCAGAAAACGGGATTCGGAAAACAAGGCTGATCAGGAAACGGGATTCGGAAAACGGGAGAGAAGAGGCTGCTCAGAAAGGTGATGCGCAAAGGTAAGCCATTGCACAAAAGCCTGTGGGGAATCACGGTGACGCGTGTGCGACACAGTTGGTGGTGGGCATTTTGAGTTCTAGGCCGCCGTACGTTGTTCCACGTGGCGGCGATCTCGTCGGGCGCGCATGCTCGCAGCGCGTCCACCGACATGATCTCCTCGAGCCGCTTCGGCTGCGGCATGGAGAACCCCGACGCGAACTGCGACCCGCGCGTCTGAGTCAACCGAGTCAACGGAGTCAACGGGCCCGACGAAGTCAACCGAGTAGACTGAGCTAACAGACCCGACGAAGTAATCCGAGTCAACGGAGTCAACGTGGTCAACGGGCTTGACGAAACCAACCGAGTCGACCCAGTCAACGGAGACATCAGTGTGGACGGTAGGATCCCGGCCGCAGTTACCGGAGGTGCCAGTAACGCGGATGAACACGCACGGGCAGCGGAAATCGGCCGTACGCCTGCCAGATCTGCAGCTGACTGTGGCATGCTAGCCACGCGAGACACGTCAGCCACGTCAGCCAGATTTGCTGCTGACGGAGCTACGCGAGACACGTCAAACACGTCAGCCAGATCGGATGCTGACGGAGCAATGCGAGGAACGCCACTTGTACCCAGCACCCGCCGAGCCGCGCGTGACGCGATCCGTGGTGCGATCATGGCGCCAGACCAACAGGCGCGAGTGTGCAGTGTCGGTTTGGGTCAGGGCTGGGTGTTAGGTTCGACTCTAGGCTTGGTGCGAAGTATGGTACTACTAGGCTCGGTTCTGAGCGTGCTGGCCGTCTGGGAATGCGCGCTGATTTACACGTAGCAGTGCCGCGGAATGACCGAGGCTATGCACGCGATACACTAGTGAGATGTATCGCACGCAGGGTACATGTAAGGCGCGTTGGCGTGAGATGCGACGTTTACGTGAGGCGCGGTGGGAGCTTGAAATGGCACCAAATGCTCAAATATGCCGAGATGAATGCCGAAGGAGCTGAGATACATCCAAATTGTTTTGGAGAGGATAGAAATCTGTAGCATCGTTTGTACAATGTGGACATTTTCGGTAAATTACACTGTTGTCGAGTCAGCCTTTGAAGGGTTTCAGTTGTGTCAGGCGGACTTCCCGCCATCCCACCGTTCCACGCACTTTCACTACGCTTGAAACTCGAGCGTGTTTAGTATCAAACTCCTGACCAAGGAACCACTTTCGTCTTGTGCGGACCCTCGTGAACCAGTATTTTCTCAGCACATTTCACGCGACGCTTACAGTTTTGAGAGTGTCGGTCATGTTCATGAACACTCCCTCACGAACCTCAAAGCCTCAAGAAATACTTGCAAGCCGACTCAGCCTAGGGACTTCCGAAACTGATGAGCCTAGAAATTAGAATTCGGTTTGGTTTGGGGTGTCTGATGCTCTGACATGTGAGCCTGCTTGATCTCTCTTTGACGGGCCAGGATATTCTGTTGCTTCAGTATTGCTCAGGTTCTTACACGTTGAAGTACTAGTACCTAGTCGCGACGATATCTAGGGACGATTTTCAGTATTGTGCCAGGCCGATTTACTCGGTATCCGTCGACGTGCTACCGCAATTAGCTCTGTTCGGTAGGCGACTGTTTGACCGTTGAGTAGCAAGTGTATCGCTGTGAATTGCTCGACGTTCCTTCACACCGACTTGGACGGCCAGGATAACTCTTTGCTTAGGAATCTTAACCAGCACATAAGGATCTCAGCCGTACATACATAAACAAATTCAAATTCGTACACTAACTTTCCGTTGTAGCCTGATTGCGCAAAGAACCAGCCAAGATGGTGTTGATAGCTGCGGTTCGTGATTACGTCAACAAGATTCTCAACGACGTCAGCGGCCCTAAAGTCTTGATTCTAGACGCAGAAACGGTAGGTGATGCCAATCAAACTGAATCCGTCGCGCGTATATATGTGTGCGTCGGGACCCTTGTCGAATTCAGAAGTCACCGCAGCCAAAACTAGATCGTTGTGACTTACACGTCTGTCCGACTGCTGTGAAAATTTGAGTTGCGTCTTTAGAAAGCTATGCATGCTCGTCTCCTGATTGCTTTTTCTCACGTGCGTCCCCGATGTTGACAGCCTCCACATTTTTCCGCTTTCTGCCGCTTGTACCTCCCCTCCGCTCTCTTCTCTCCCCTGGCCTCCCCACTCCCCTCCCCCTCCCTCGCCGCCTTCGCTTTTTCTTACCCCGTTCACCTCCGTTCCCACACCCTTTACACACCCTCTCCACCGATCTCCCCACCTTCTCTCCTCCTCCGTTTCCCCTTCCCCGTTCACCATTCCCGCCCCCTGCGATCCTGATCGTCCATCGTCAGCTACCTATAGTGAGCCTCGTATTAACGCAATCCGAGATTCTACACCGAGACGTGGTGCTTGTAGAGAAGGTTGACTCTAAAGGAGGAAGCAGCAGCGGCAGCGGCGGTGGAAGCAGGGGAGAAACAGGAGGGAGCGGGGCGGAGCCTATGCCACACCTTAAAGCCGTGTGCATACTCAGGCCGACTGGGGAGAATGCGAACCACTTAAAGCGGCACCTGAGGAACCCCAGATTCGGGGAGTACCATCTGTGTGAGTATAGCGAGGGAGTGAGCAGTGGGCTAGTGGGATAGAAAACGCACTGGTGCAGCGAACAGACTCACGTATCACTTGGATGGTAAATCTAGTCGACTCAGCAGGACGACAAGGAACAGACAGGACGTATTCTTCATTCTCCTCCCTCTTTCTAATCACAAACGTCCACGTTTCCGTTGGAATTGATGGTCACGAGTTTTGAGTCAACTCAACAGACCCCCTCTCCCCCCTCCCCGTTCCCCCTGCTCCCCCAACTTCCTCCCTCTCAGTCTTCACCAACATTCTCAACAACACGCTCATCCATGTTCTTGCTGACGCGGACGCCCAAGAGGCAGTGGTGCAAGTGCAGGTGAGCGGAGAGAGGTTGGTAGGGCGAGTGCAGGTGAGGTGAGAGGGCAGAGGTTGATAGGGCGAGTGCAGGTGAGAGGGCAGAGGGGTGATAGGGTACCTGAGGAGCCAGAATATGTTTTCAGTAAATGACAGACACACCCAGGCCCAGAGGCAGTGGGGCAAGTGCAGATGAGAGGCAGAGGGCTTTCACCAGGCAGGTTCGCAGCTGAGTGAGGCAAGTGCAGGTGAAGAGAGGCTAGCAATGAGCCTCCCTCTCCCTCTTCCCCTCCACCCCCTTCCCCCCCTCCCACCTCTCTATCAGGAGTACTATTTAGATTACTTCGCCCTGGACGCGTATCACTTCACGCTCCACGTGCCTCTCAACGTTTACTCCTTCGTCTCTCTGTCCCCCTTCGTCCTGTCCCTCTTCTCCCTGTCCCGTCTCTCCCGTTTTTCTTCTCCCTCCTCTCCCTCTCAGGAGTATTATTTGGATTATTTCGCCCTGGATGCGTATCACTTCACGCTGCACGTGCCGCTCAACGTCCACTCCTTCGTCTCTTTTTCCCCCTTCTTTCTGTCCCTCTTCTCCCTGTCCCGCCTCTCCCGTTTCTCCTTCTCCACCCCTCCCTCGCAGGAGTACTACTTGGATTACTTCGCCCTGGACGCCTATCACTTCATCCTGCACGTGCCTCTCAACCAGTCACTGTCTCTATTCCCCTCCCTTCCTCCATCTATCCCTCTCCTAGCCCGCCAACTCCCTCCCTCCCCTTTTCAGGAGTACTATTTGGATTACTTCGCCCTGGACGCGTATCACTTCACGCTGCACGTGCTGCTCAACGTCCACTCCTTCGTCTCCCTTTTCCCCTTCCTCCGGTTCCTCGTCTCTCCCTCCCCCCCCCCACCACCCCCCACCTCTCAGGAGTACTATTTGGATTATTTCGCCCTGGATGCGTATCACTTCACACAGAGGCTGGCTGAACACGCAGTGCTTGTCCTCCTTCTGACTCCTCCCAACCCCTTTCTCTCCCCACACACAATCTCAGGAGTACTATTTGGATTATTTCGCCCTGGACGCCTATCACTTCACACTGCACGTGCCGCTCAACGTCTACTCCTTCGTCTCAGCCACGGTCGACCTGCACAACACGCAGAGGGTGGCCGAGCGCTCGGTAGATGCCCTCTTAGCCCTGTGCTTGAGTCTCAAGAAGCGCCCGTCGATACGCTTCCAACGGGGGTCGGAGCTGGCGAGACGGGTCGCGCATGAAACTGGGGTGAGTGGGTGTATGTGTGCAAGAAGGGGCGTGAGAGGGCATGGGAGTGGCAGAGGAGCGCTCCCAGAGGAGCGCTCAGGAGATGCCCATCTCAGCCACTGTCGACCTGCACAACACGCAGAGGGTGGCTGAGCGCTCAGTAGACGCCCTGCTGGCGCTCTGCTTGAGCCTGAAAAAACGCCCTTCGATTCGCTTCCAACGGGGGTCGGAGCTCGCGAGAAGGGTGGCACATGAAACAGGGGTGAGTGGGCATGTGAGAGGGCATGTGCGTGAAAGAAGTGACGTGAGAGGGCATGGGAGGGAGAGAGCGCTCAGTGAGAGCTCAGTGGACGCTCGTCTCAGCCACTGTCGACCTGCACAGCACGCAGAGGGTGGCAGAGGGCTCAGTGGACGCCCTCTTGACCCTCTGCCTGAGTCTCAAGAAACGCCCTTTGATACGGTTCCAGCGGGGTCGGAGCTGGCGAGACGCGTGGCGCATGAAACAGGGGTGAGTGGGAGGGAGAAAGGGGCGTGTTTCGGCATGTGTGTGATAGAAAATGAGCCGAATTTGCATGAGTTCAGCCACACGGACTTTCTGCTGTTCATTGCTGCTCGTTCATGGCTGTTGTATCAGTATGCTCTTCCCGTCACCCTCTCCCACCCTCTCTCTCCCCCCAGCAAATCATGTACGAAGCAGAGAAGCCACTCTTTGACTTCAGACGCACCGACGCCCTGCCGCTGCTGCTGGTGGTGGTTGCTGTCATATCCACTTCAACCTCCACTCCTTCCGCCCCCTACCATATCTTGCCCCCTCTCCAGCGCATCATGTACGAAGCAGAGAAGCCACTCTTTGACTTCAGACGCACCGACGCCCTGCCGCTGCTGCTGGTGGTGGACAGGCGGGACGACCCGGTTACCCCGTTACTCACCCAATGGACCTACCAGGTAAGCATCGCCTGTATGATTTGACTAAAATGAGGGATGGGATAACCTGGTTAATTCCATCACTCAGTAAACGCACGCACCCACCAGGTATGCGTTGCAATCAATGGATTTCATTTCATACACGAGAGTCACAGCAACCTGGTTACCCTCGTTCTCGCTACACCTCCCCACGTTTCCTCCCGTCCACCCAGGCCATGGTGCACGAGCTGATAGGCATAAAGGACAACAAGTTGGATCTGAGTCACGTGCCCAACGTGAGCCCTGACCAGCGGGAGGTGGTGCTGGCAGCGGGGGAGGACGAGTTCTTCAAGCGCCACATGTTCGACAACTTTGGAGACGTGGGGAGTGCTGTTGCTAAACTTGTCTCGGACCTACAGAGCAAGGATAGGCGGAACAAGGGCATTCAGACGCTAGGTGAGTGCGGACCGAAGTGTCCGGATTAGAGGGAGGGAGGTGGTCCTGGCAGCGGGGGAGGACGAGTTCTTCAAGCGCCACACTTTGGAGACGTGGGGAGTGCTGTGGCGAAACTGGTGTCTGACTTACAGAGCAAG